GGAGGAGGAGGAGGAGGAGGAGGAAGAGTAGGAGGGGGAGGAGCAAGAGGAGGGGGAGGAGTAGGAGTAGGTGGAGGAGGAGGAGGAGGAGGAGGAGGAGGAGGGGGAGGCCTGGGGTCCTGTCGAGAGGGACAGGCCCCGCCACTTACACCCCCCGCCTGCCCCGCGACCCTCGAGGGACTTCCGCCCCGGCCGCTCCTCGACCAGGCCGGCGGGCGGCGCGGTGGGAGCCTGGGCCCGCCGCGCGCGGGACAGAGAGCCGCGCGGACCACAGAGCATCGTCGTCGTCGTCGCCGTCGCAGTCGCCGTCGCCGTCGCCGCTGCCGTCGCCGTCGCCGTCGTCGTCATCGTTGTGGTCGTCATCGTCGTCGTCGTCGTCGTCGCCATCGTCGTGCGCGTCGTCGTCGTGCGCGTCGTCGTCGTCCGGCGCAGCCCCCAGAGTATTGGCGGCGAGCCCAGGAGGGAAGTGAGAAGGAGAAACCCTTCTCAGCAGGGTTGGAAGTCCCCCGGCCTTCTGAGAAGTTATCTAAGCCTCCCCCGAAGAAATTACCCTGGCGAAAGACCCGACCAGATGCAGTTGTGAGTGCCGCAATTGTGAATATCTTCTTCGGTGGCGCTCCCCATGGGGTCACGAAACGCTGTACTGGGTGGGTGGAACGCAGGGAGCAAGGGCTGTGCTGGATGGTGGCGGACGCATGCGGGCGGTGCCACTGGAACCTTCCGTGGAACTCTTTATAGGACCACGAAGCGCTGTACTGGGTGGGTGGAACGCAAAGGGCGAAGGCTGTGCTGGGTGGTGGCGGACGCATGCGGGCGGTGCCACTGGGGGCTTCGGTGGAACCCCCTATGGGGCCGCGAAACGCTGTACCGGGTGCGTGGAACGCAGGGAGCAAGGGCTGTGCTGGGTGGTGGCGGACGCATGCGGGCGGTGCCACTGGGGACCTTCGGTGGAGCTCTTTATGGGGCCACAAAACGCTGTATTGGGTGGGTGAAACGAAAAGGGCAATGGCTGTACTGTGCGGTGGCGGACGCATGCGGGCGGTGCCACCGGGACCTTCGGTGGAGCTCCCTATGGGGCCACGAAGCGCTGTACTGGGTGGGTGAAACGCAAGGAGCAAAGGCTGTGCTTGGTTTCCCCGTTTATGCGGCCACGAAGCGCTGTACTGGGTGGGTTAAACGCAGGGAGCAAGGGCTGTGCTGGGTGGTGGCGGACGCATGCGGGCGGTGCCACTGGGGGCTTCGGTGGAACCCCCTATGGGGCCGCGAAACGCTGTACCGGGTGCGTGGAACGCAGGGAGCAAGGGCTGTGCTGGGTGGTGGCGGACGCATGCGGGCGGTGCCACTGGGACCTTCGGTGGAGCTTCCTATGGGGCCACGAACCGCTGTACTGGGTGGGTGAAACGCAGGGAGCAAGGGCTGTGCTGGGTGGTGGCGGACGCATGCGGGCGGTGCAACTGGGACCTTCGGCGGAGCCCTCTATGGGGCCACGAAACGTTGTTCTGGGTGGGTGAAGCGCAGGGAGCAAGGGCTGTGCTGGGTGGTGGCGGACGCATGCGGGCGGTGCCACTGGGGGCTTCGGTGGAGCCCCCTTATGGGGCCACGAAGCGCTGTGCTGGGTTGGTGAAGCGCATGGAAGAAGGACGATGGAGTGGAGGGGGAGGAGGAGTAGAGGAGAAACGCGGGGACCGTTCCACAAAAACTTCCCCCCCTCGCTGGCCGCCGAGAATAGTCCGGGGCAACCTCACCCCCCCCCAGCCCTGTGGCGCAAAGCGCCCCACGGGCGCCGCAAGAGGTGGCGCTGGGGTGTTGAGACCGCCCGTCGAGACCGCCCCGGGCAACTCGGGGGGCCTGTTGCGGCCCGCTGAGACTCGGGGGGCCTGTCCGGGCCAGGCGAGACAACGTGTGGGGGGGGGGTGCCTGTGCGCGCGCAGCCCGAAGCCTTATCACATCCGTAGAGCGCTCTGGAAAGGCAGGAGCGGGAGTTTGGCCTCTGACCTTCCGTCCGAGGGGGCTTCTGGGTCTACGCAAGCGGTCCTGGCACGACCAGAAAAGTGAGGCACACTGCTGGAGCTGATCCCACGGGGACGGGGATGTGGCCTTTCCAAAGATCCGAGGCTCCGAACAACTTAGAGCGTTTTTATTCGTTTGATGTTTTCGGCATCGGGGGGCCCCCAACGGGTCCCAGGGGTCCACGCGTCGAAAAAATTGGAGCGCCAGATGTCTGGGTGGCTCTTTTCCTAATGGCATTTGGTCAAATTCCCTTGTTTGCAATGTGGATTGGATGATCTGCTCAGAAGCGTCTGCACAAGTTGGCCGTGAGGTGCCAGGCTCCTGTGAGCTGGTCCGACTGCTTTGCGAAGGCTTCGGAGAGGAATGCACCCTGCGGTTCACACGGACGTCTCCGCATGAACGGAGTTCCTGTGATATGTGGCGAGAGCTCCGCGGGGCGAAGCTCAATCCGATTGGACAATGCCAACGAGCTCATCCACCCCCTGCTCCTGCTTCTGCTGCTGCTCCTCCTCCTCCTGCTCCTCCTGTTCCTCCTGTTCCTCCTGCTGCTGCTCCTCCTCCTCAGAAGGGAAAGTCAACTGCATGAACATGAATTGTCAGAGTTCTGCGCGGATTTCTTGGGTCGGCGCTGGACCCCTCAGGCGGCGCCTCCGGCGCCGGCCTTGGTGCGCGGAGCGCGCCAATGAGGGGAAGGAGGTCCGACGCCGATCTGAATCCGCCGACCCTGTCGGCGTGTGGGGTGTGTCCGGTCCCGTCGACGGGGAGCCTTCATCCGTCGCCTCTTTCCCATCCTTCTCTCTCACGTCGGGGGAGAAAGAGAGAGAGAGAGAGAACCCTTCCTCGTTCGGGGACCGGGTTCGCAGCTTGAAGGAATTCCATCCACGTCTTCGTTACGTCAAAAGGAAGCCCCTTCCCTCTGTCCCTTCCCCGGCGGGGGGGGGTCCCAGTGGGGAAGGGGGGGGGGTCAGATTCGCATCGCCTCTGGGGGTCCTCCTCTCCCACGCCGGTCCTTCTCCGGCGCGCCGGCCCTTCTCCGGCGCGCCGGTCCTGCTCGGTTTCTCCTCCCTCCTCCCCAGGTGGAGAAGGATCCCAGGGGTGGGAGGGGAGTCGGATACGCATCCGCCCCTGGGGGTCCTCCTCCCCCTCCCCTCCCTTCTCCCACGTCAGTCCTCCTCCGGTCCTCCTCCCAAGGGGGGGGGTCCCAGGGGGGAGTCATTGTCCTCCTCCTCCTTCTCCTCCTCCTCCTCCTCCTCCTCCTTATCTCCTCCTCCTCCTCCTCCTCTTCCTCCTCCTCCTCCTTCTCCTCCTTCCCCTCCTGGTCGTCGTCGATGTCTTTCAGGGTCGGCGGCAACGGCCGTCGGGCCTTCACAATCCGTGCGGACCTCCGAGATGTTGTGCAGATGCAGTTGTTTCTCCCTTTCTGCAAAGAAGGATGAGGAGGATGAGGAGGCTGAGGAGGAAGAGGATGATGATGATGATGATGATGATGATGATGATGATGATGATGATGATGATGGTGATGATGATGATGATGATGATGATGATGATGATGATGATGATGATGATGATGATGATGATGATGATGATGATGATGATGATGATGATGAGGATGAGGAGGAGGAGGAGGAGGAGGAGGAGGAGGAGGAGAGGAGAGGAGGAGGAGGAGGGGAGGAGGAGGAGAAGGGAGAGAGGGAGAGAAGGAGAGGAGGAGGAGAGGAGGAGGAGGAGGAGGAGGAGGAGAGGAGGACGAGGAGGAGGAGGAAGAGGAGAAGAGGAAGAGGAGAAGGAGGAGGAGGAGAAGGAGGAGAAGGAGGAGAAGGACGAGGAGGACGAGGAGGACGAGGAGGAGGAGGAAGAGGAGGAGGAGGAGGTGGAGGAGAATATGCAGCAGCAGCAGCAGCAGCAGCAGGAGCAGGAGGTGGGTTCCCTCTGGAAGCTTGTGCTCCTGCCGTTCTGGTTCTGGTTTCGGCATCCCGCCCCCCCTGGCGCCCTGCCTGCCCCCGGGGCCAGCCGAGGCGGGTGCCAAGATGATCACGGGCCTCTCGGTCTGCCTCGCTGTGGGCTGGAAGGGCGCCCGGAGACTCTGCACGAACGTGCGCACCTGCTGCCAGACCTGCAGGCGACCGGGGGACCGTGCGGGACCAGCACAGAGTGCCAGGGCAGAGACGAGGGGGAGGGGGAGGAGGGGGAGGAGGAGGAGGAGGAGGAGGAGGAGGAGGAGGAGGAGGAGGAGGAGGAGGAGGAGGCGGAGGAGGAGGAGGAGGAGGAGGGCGACGGCGACGGCGACGGCGACGACGGGCGCGGGATACGGAGGGAATGGATTCTAGGTCACCTCACTTCGCGCATCGCGCCCCGCGATGCGCGACACGCAGTGGAATACGCACCCTCGCGCCATCGGGTCGCCCTCTTGGAGAAGGGCAGCCCTCCAGTCCAGACCGCGACGCGCGAAGCGCGATGATCTTTGCGATCCTGGGGGTGACCCAGAGAATGCTTTTCACGATGAGGTAGGCGTGGGAGGAGAGGGAAGCCAGAGGGGGGACAGAGGAGCTGGGAGAAAGAAACCAAGGCGATACATTGAAATCCTCCAGAAGGATCCAAGCCCTCAACTTGTGAGGATTTCTGTGCGCGGCGTGCTTTCATGGCATTCCTGGCTCCCTTTTCTGAGCTTACCGAAGCGTTCTTGGGAATCCAAGCTTCCAACATGAGAGGGTCGGATGAAGGGTGGAGGGTGGAAGGGGGGGAATAGGGGGAAGTGAGGGCGGAAACGACAAGGGTGACGAATCATTTGGAGAGAAGAAGGGAGATGAGAGCACGCGTGCGGTGCAGGAACGAACAAGCTGTTACACTTGAGAGCTGCGTTCTTCCTCACCTGACGTGTGGAAAGGACACACACACACCACGCCCCGCACCAAACGAGAGGATAACGAAGAGGGATGAGAGAGAGAGAGAGAGCGGAAAGAGAGAGAGAGAGAGAGACAGAGACAGAGACAGAGAGAAGAAACCAGGCACGATTGAATGAGGTGCTCGCGCGTGCGTAGACTGGCCTGGGCGAACGGCATTTGCAAAGTGACCCTCGCGAGCGCGATCGAGTGCGGCGGGGGCAGGGAGGAGGGGGAGCACGAACGGAGGGCAGAAAAGTAAGTGCATGCGGGATGTAGCCATGCAGAGGCCTACGGCGGATCGTGAAGATGGTGACGGTGGTCCCAGAGGCCCGTGCTGGAGCAATGTCGGAAGTCTCTCATGCAATCTCGGAGGCCCTTGGGGCCACCCCTGGAGGCCCGAGTCGCCGCAACAACAATTGGGCTTGGGATGATTTGAACTTTACCACGTGTTCGGTCCCAAGAGCGTTAGAGACTGCCCGAGAGGCCCCCGAGACAGCCCCATGACGCCCCCCGAGGCCCTCAAGATGGGCCCAAGAAGCCTCCAAGACCGTCCCATGACGCCCCGCGAGGTTCTCAAGATGCATGTAAGCCGACCAAACAAAAACGCGCCACCGCCAGACCGACGAACGCCAAGTAGGTTCAGTGACCCCGAAAGACCACCAAAAAGGCCTCAAGAGAATCCCCCAAAATACTGCCAAGAGGCCCCCATGACACACCCGGGAGCCAAGAGGATCTCCAGAGACCTCAGAATCACCAAAAGGCTTCTGATCCGCGGCCCAGGCACGGCGGCGGGATGGGTCTAAGGCCACTCAATAACGGTTCACTTGGTACACGCCGTAGCCTGTTTGCCCAAACTGCCACGGATGGGAAGGCCATCATCATCTTCATCATCCCCATCATCATCCTCATCCTCATCCTCACCATCACCATTACCATCAGCATCACCATCATCACCATCATCACCATCACCATCACCAGCATCACACTAGTCATACTCATCATCAGCATCATCACCAGCATCAGCATAATCATAAGCATCAGCAACATCATCATCACCACCATCATCGTCATCACCATCAGCATCATCATCCTTACCATACTCATCATCATCATCATCATCATCATCATCATCATCATCATCATCATCATCATCATCATGCGCATCATCATTATCATCACCATTATCATAATCATCGTCATGAGCACCATCACCATCACCATCATCATTAGCAGCATCATCATCGTCATGAGCACCATCACCATCATCATCATCATCATCATCATCATCATCATCATCATCATCATCATCATCATCATCATCATCATCATCATCATCATCATCATCATCATCATCATCTCCATCATCATCAGTATCATCATCATCATCATCGTCATCATCATCAGCATTATCAGCATCATCACCATCATCACCATCCCCATCATCCCCATCGTCAGCCTCACCATTACCATCAGAATCAGGACGTCGGGGCCAATAAAGACTCTCGGCAACCATCTCAGGCTGGTGATGAGCTTCCGACAGCGCCAGCTGACACGAAGGCTCCGACCCCGCCGAGTGCTCCAACGGGGGGAGGGCGCGCCACTCACTCTGGGACCCCTCGACCTCGCCGCCTCAGGGCGGACCCGGAGGCAGGATTCGCAGAGCGCCCCCGACGGGGAGGAGCGCAGCACCCGGCCTTGGCCCCTGGCAGCTCCGGAAGGCTCCAGGCCAGCGCTGCGGGGTGGCGAGGCGGCGGCACCGCAGAGGCGTCTGCCCGGCTCTGTCCTGCTCCGCACGTGTCAGCGTCGGGACCGCCACCCGGTGGGCACAGGGCACGTCCGAGAGGACGCGAGGCTCGCCCGAGCAGGCGAGTACAAGCCAGCCAGGGGGCGTCTGTGCGGAGAGGCAGTTGCGGTCTTGAACGCCTGCCAAGCTTGTCTGCGCGGAGCGCGCATATGCGGGCCGTGTCTGGGACTCGCGCCTAGGATCCGCACGAACTATAACCGCATCGCATACTACACCACCTGAATGTAACTACAACCTGCGTATCGGAAAAGCGTTGCTCAGGCGAGGCTCACTTCGAAGTCGTCTTCCAGCCCCTCGTGAAAGAAATCTCGACCCAAAGACCCAGGAATGCAATCCGAAACGACACCACAGCGTCTACAGCCAAGGAAAAAAGTATTGCGACGGCGTTCAACGCGGTCGGGCTGGTAGGCTGTAAGCTCGCGGTGCCACTAAACTGTGCGCGCTCATGGTGACGCTGCTGCTCCTGAGCCAGCCTGAGCCCGCTCTTCCCCGGATCAAAACACGCCCCGCCCCTGGAGGTTATCCTGTCCGCCACCCGAACAACACTCGCAGAAACGCCAACATCCCCGTCACATGGTCGTCTCCAGGAGGCATATGACCCGTGACACTACCTCGTACGCCTTCTTCATGTCGCTCAGCTGACAGTACTCGTTGACGCCGTGGTACACGGACATCAAGCCAAAACCGAGCAGCTGGATGTCGAAACCCTGCTTCTGCATCATCTTGACCAACGGTAAAGAGCCGTTTACGCTGAAAGGCTTCACCGTCGCGTACGTCTCCCGGCATGCCTGAACCAGCGCCTTGTGGCCCTCGGAGTCGAGCCTGCAGGCGATGCCCGCGTACATGCGGAAGGTGTCGACGTCGCCCTTCCACTTCAGCGAGAAGGTGCCGCGCCTCAGCTCGCCTGGCTGCGTCATGACGCTGTCGTCGAGCGCGAACTTGCTCCACGGACCTTTGCTGGGAAGCTCGTGGACGTCTTCATTCAGATCCTTCACGTACGACTCCATGGCACTGATCACGTCCTCCACCTCGTAAAACGGCGAGAGCCTGATGTCCCCGGACACCTTCGCCTCTGGGCAGATCTGGTTCAGCGAGCCCGTGGCGCACTCTATCTGCGTCGGCTTCATGTTGGAGCCCACAGAGAAGCCGTACCCATCCTCGCTGGGATGCGGCGCGAAGTCCTCGTAAAACCGGCGCTGTATCAAGTTCAGGCCCTCCACCAACATCTCAATGGAATTGATACCCTTCTGGGGGAACCCGCTGTGGAAGAGCCGGCCATTCGCCGTCAGCTCCCACGACATCATGCCCGCCGTTCCGCAGCAGGGCTGCGAATCGGCGGAGTCTACCCAGTACACCGGCCCGCCCTTGACCTCGTCCAACTTCCCGTTCTTCACTACCATGTCGACACCAACCCCCGTCTCACCGCCCTCCTCGCCGGCGATGAAGAGGACGACGATGCTGCGCTGCAACGCGGGCTTGGCCTTGGCCAGCGCGACCATGAACCGCGTCAGCAGCGCAACGTGGCCTAGGCAGTCCGTTGTGCCGCGGGCGTAGAGCTTGTCTCCCTCCACGGTCAGCTCGAACGGGTCCTTGTCCCACTGCTCTGGGTCCGCCGGCACGACGTCGAAGTGGCTGCCGATGAACGCGACTGTCTTGCCAGTGGTGCCAGGGTAGACCACCTTGAGGTTGGAGCGGTTCGGGACATACTCCAGCTCCTCGACCACCAGCGGGCCGCCGCAGGCCGTCGAGTAGGGCCCGAGCTCCTTCATGACAACCTGCGCGGCACGCTTCTCCTCGGGGTGAACGCCGATCCGCGGGTTGTTCTGCAGGTTCTTCGACTCCGCGATGAGCCTGCGAAGCAGGTCGACGAAGGGCTCGGCCTCCAGCGAGCGCGACACCCTGGACATCTTCTGGAAGTCGGCCAGCGACTTCGTCAGGGAGACATCCGCGGATATCTTCGCAAAAGGCTTGGTGACCCCGGGAGCCGTAGCCTGTCGCCTCAGGTGCGTCACGGGAGACGCGTACTTCCCCGACACCCCGGGCGAGCAGTAGCCGTCGGGGCGAACCTCCTGGGAAAACCAACAGATAATTCAGCTACTCCCCGGACCTCTCCCGGGCTGCGTTCTGACCAGGATTTCCAGGCAAATCCAGCGGTGGCGACGAGGGCCTCCCAGGAGGCCGAACAAGATGCGCGGTAAGGATGCAAGGGCCTTGGAGGCCCATGTCAGCGTTTGTCGAACGAGGCTGACAAGCAAAAGTCGCTGAGGATGGGACGAAGGGGCAAGGATGCAAGGGCCTCCTCGGGAAGGCTGCCCATCCTTACCGTGTGGGTTGACTGTAGCGGTATCGGTACCTTTTCCTCCTCTGGGTGGGCCTGTCTTCCACCACCACCACCATAAGTTGGAGGGGGGAAGGAGGTGGAGGACGAGGCGGAGGAGGAGGAGGAGGAGGAGGAGGGGGAGGAGGGGGAGGAGGACCCCCTCCCCCTCCAACTTATGGTGGTGGTGGAAAACGGGCCCATCACCTCTGACCTCCTGGCCGCCGGGGCCCCGCTTGCTCTTCCTCCGCAGCAGCGCGGCGACGCTGCCAGCACCGGCGGCGCCGGCGAGGCAGCCCCCCGCGGCAGCCGCGGCCAGCGCGGCCGGCATCGGGCCGGGCCCTGCCCTGCCCGGGGCCGCCGCGGCGGGTCGGGCGGCGGCAGGCCTCGGTCCTCGAGCGTCGAGCTGGAGCCACAGTGCGCAGGCGCTCAGGGACACGCGAAGAAACGTACACAAATCCAAGCAATCCCCACCTCTTCCTGTGTTTCCCAGGTCTCATGCTTCCCCACATTTTCCCGAACATCGGCGTTGATTTGTGTCTGTGCGTCTTCTTCCGCTCCTGACAATGGCCGAGTCCAGCAGGAACCCCAAAAGGTTGTCACCTTTTTGGGACACATCTTTTCATTCCGCCAGCCTCCGCCAGCCTTCCGCCGGCCTCTGGCGGAGGCGGCCTCGTTTTATTTCCGCCGCCTTCTGCCGAAGAAGAGATGGCAACCCTGTCGACCCTCGAAAGCCGGGCCCTTTTGGAACGCTCCAAATGGTTACGGCGGATGACCCTGGGAGGTCTTCTGGCCACTCCCCGTCTGGGATCTGCTCCCGGGCCGCTGCGAAGGCGGCCCGCTCGATCGTGGGGAGCGGTTCCGACGAGATGGCAGTAGCTCCCGGTTCTCCCACTCGGCCGAAGGGGAAACGGTCCAGGGCGTCGATGCCCACGAATTCTGTCGCCCTTGCGGCACATCAGGGTCCCCGATCGGGGTTTCTTGGACGCATGCCACGCACTCCATGGGAGCATAGCGTCGCAACAGTGACGGAAGTAGCGCAGCGAATCGTGCCCTGTCAAGCCTCATACTAAGAATAGGCTTAAGCAGCATCGCGTTAGCTGGGAAGGGGTCACGCATCAGAGTGCAGAGATCAACGAGGTTGCATGACGAACGCGGCAGAGACCCCCAGATAACCTCAAGGAGTCACAAAGTACTGCATTGACTGTCTGTCAGGAGGGGGAAGGTGAGCAAAGAGGGAATGGAATCCGCACGCGCCTCGCCGTTGCAGACCACCACCACGGTGAGCTCGTCGTGCTCGCTGAGCCCGCGCCTCACATCGTGTACGGGGGGAGAGTTCGGAGGGCTCTCACACGGATCCCCCCTTCGACAGCCCCCCGAGTCGCACCATGTCAGGACCACAGGAAGGCCAGAACATATCTGCACAACAAATCTGGGCCTCTCCTCCTCCTCCTCCTCCTCCTCCTCCTCCTCCTCCTCCTCCTCCTTCCTCCCTCTCCTCTCTTCCTCGTTCCCCTCCTCTTGCTTTCCTCATCCTTCCGTGCGCTCGAGACTGTGCGCAACAGCCCGTGGCCACCAACCCGCTTCTGATAACGGAGTCGTGCTCGGGGCCTCGCGCCAATAGTCACAGGTGTAACGGTGTCGTGGCGCGGCGGTTTCACAGTGCCACGGCGGGTGGTGGCGGTCGGGCTGCCGTGTCAGAGGCGCTATAGTATCGTGACGTTGCGGCGGTGTTGCGTCTCAGTGTCATCGTGCCGCAGCGTTCTGGCGTCGCGGAGTCTTTGCACCATGCTGCTGTGGGATCCTGGCTCGCGGTGCGTGGTCTCAAGGCCAGGGCTGAAGCTGGATACTCGAGCTCGGTCCAGAACTGGAGCCAGAGCCACAGCCCCAGCGAATGCTGCAAGGAATCTTCCGCACTCTTGTTTCGCACCCCCCTGGCTGCATCCGTGCCTTCACGACGTGCAACTACGTCAGCGCGCTGAGAAAGAAGCGGCGGGCGTGGACAGAGGTTCTGTTCTGCCCCATCGGAGAGCCAGACAGACAGCACGAGCATCAGCTTGCGGAGGCCCAGGCGGGCTTCTCGCGTCGGCGCGCTGGAGCAGGGCGCAGAAAACGACAAAATCTGTGGCGCAGTGGTGCGCCCCCACAGGCGCCCGGCCCGCGGTCCTGCCCTCGCCAGCAGCGGCCCGTGGGGCCCGCCGCGGCCCGCACCGCCCGCGATACCTCCTCCCCCAGAGATTTGAGTCTCCTGCAGCAGTTGGAGCGGCCCGTCTTTGGCAAGTCATCCGGGAGCCCTCCAATGGGACGCACAGAGACGTGCTAATACTAGGTGTCCTCCTTGGAGGCGCGCGTCCGACCCGAACATATAGTATACCCATCTTGTAGTGTACCCATCTCGGTGCGCGCGTCGCCCCTAGGGGGGGGGGGGGGGGGGCGACGCACATATAGTATAGGCATGTTGGGGTGACGCCGATCCAACGGGCTCCCGGGCCGCCAGAAACCCACTGAGCACGAGACACCGGCCCTGGGGCAGCGGTCCAGGGCCACGCACCGACAAAAAAACTGGCGCGCGGGGCGCCAGGGACGGTCGCGGCGCTCTGGAAGGCGAGGCTCGGGCACGCGCGAGCAGGAAGCAGGGGCCCACGGCTCGGGGAAGGCACCCCCCGAGACATGGGGCCAAGACGCCGCCCGGTATTAGCCACGGGGTGCGCCCATTCTGCACCGGAGCGGGACCCGTCGCCCATCCACAGGGAATGGGGGCGGGGATGCCCGAAAGCTTCTTGGTCGGGGGGCCCGAACGGGTCGAAGACGGCGCGCTCACCCAGAAGGCGCCAGCCCCGACCTCCCGAGGAGGGTGGAAGTCGGCGGATGGGTCCCTGGGGCGATCAGGGGATGATGAATTTCTGCGGAGCACCTGCTGGCAAGGCCGATCTCTTCTCTGACGGGCTCACTGTGCCCAACAGGGGTGCCTGGGCCGAGGGGGGCCAAACAAACGGGAGCCACGTGGCATCTCTTCCCCTCGCCCCCCTCGGGCCGCGCCCCTGCCCTCGAGCAACTCTTGGGCGTTCCCTTCGCTGGCCACCTCACGCGGGCGTGGGGGCAAACCATCTCGTTTCACTCCCGGGAGGGGGCCGGCTCGTCGGCGAGAATCAGCCTCGGCCCTGGTCGTGGGAGATCTGTCGGATGGCCCTGGGGCCCGACAACGGGCCCCGTGAGGCCGATATCCACATCCGGAAGGGGGCCCGAGAAGGTACCGAAACGTGTGGACAATCTGTGATATCGGCCTCTGGGGCCTCCTGGGGTCCAGAGATGGCCTCCAGACGGCTCAACATGGCCTCCAGATGGCCCAAGACGGCCAGCCCCAAGACGGCCCAACCAATATGGCCGCCCCAAGAGGGCCAACAAGAGCACCTCCAGAGGCGAAACACATGTATATTCATTTCTGTTTTGCAGAATTTTCGCGGTCTCGCCTTTTTTCGAATCCTGGGGGCCCATGACGGTCCAAGCAGCTTCCAAATTGGCCCCAAGACGGCCACAGAGGCCCCCAAGATGACGCCAAGACGGCCCAAGAGGGCCCCAAGATGGCCCACGGAGACCCCCCAAGACTGCTTCGTAGCAATTGTGGCTCAAGGCCATGGCACCCTCCCGTAGGGTGCAAGTCTCGACACGGCGCTCTGAGCACCAAGGGATGTGCTTGGCAGAGCCAAAATCTACACAAACGAACGGCTTCCCGGCCCGACGAGGGCTCGTATCAGCACGTGGGGCGCGCGGATGGCGGGCAACGGCAGCGGCTGGCAGCTGGTGGCAGGCAGGAAGGGCAAGAAGATCACATCCGGAAGCGGGCACGGCGGCGCGGGGGCGCAGTGGCCCAAGCCGGGCGAGGCAGCTCAGTGGACGTGTGGCGCTGCGGCACGGGGGCGAACCGGGGCTCACGCACAGAGTGTCGCAGGTGCGGGAAGCAGAGGCCGAAGGCGCAGGGGGGGGGGCGCGGTAAGGCAAAACCGCACAAGCTCACGCTCGAGGCAGGCCTCAAGGCGGCGTTCAAGCAGATCAAGAAGCTCGAGGCCGCCAACGCCGAGCTCAAGGCTGGCAAGTCCGATGGTGGGACGCCCATGGCAGCGAATGGGAGTCCACCGTGGGCCGCGGATAAGGACAAGCCGAGTGACCTTGAACGGCTCCTGGTCGCGCGGAAGCAGCTCGAGCCCCTCCCGTACAGTGGGGCTCCCCCCGCATGGCGGGTGCAAGGCCTCGAGCAGCACGACAAGGACATTGCAGCAGCGCGCGAGGCTCGCGACAAGGCGAAGCCACTGTCGGCGCAGCTCCGCGAGGCCAATGCCAAGGCGGCCAAGGCAATCAAGCAGCGCGAGGCAGCTACTGCCGAGACGCGCAAGCTCCAGGAGGCCATGCTGGCGGCCCAGACTCGCGAGCAGGAGTGCCGCCAGGCCGAGGCCGAGGCGAGGGCGCACGAGCTCGAGATCCAGGCGCGCGTGGCGGCCGAGGGCCCCAAGTCACGGGCCCCAGCCGCGGGCGTGGATCTCTACCGCGTGCAGCTGGAGCAGCTCGGGGCGCCGCGCGCGCGCGCGCCCTCGCAGCAGGAGCAGCGCGCCGACGCTGCGAGGCGCGCGCAGGCGCAGCATGCCGTCGGCAGGTGTGCAGAGCTGGGAGGTCCTGAACGAGAGACGGCCGAGGGGAGCCCCAGGAGGCTGGAGCCTGTTTTCTTTAGATCCAGGCAAGCTTACTTGCATGGCGTTGGCCCCCCCCCCCTCTTCCCCCTCGCCCCTCTTCACTCGAACACGAGCGTGCAAGTGCCTTTCGACTTGCGTGATTTCCGCACGTCGAATTGTTCTCGGCTTGCTTCAGACTCAGCCCCCCCCCCCGTCCATGCGAGTAGACCTACCCGAATCCACAGAAAAACAGGCACCTGAACGAGAGGCGGCCGAGGGGAGCCCCAGGAGGCTGGCGACGGCGCCTCGGAACCTGTGCAGCGCTGTGCTGATCCCTTCCTCTCCGTGCTCGGCCGCGCTTGTTCGCCCGCCCACCGCGCTACGCTTCCCATTGCCCTCCCTCCCATGCTCGACCGCACTGGAGGCCTCCCAACTGGGGTCCGAGGTGATGGGGTCGGTGGATCGCGCCGCATCGTCGCATCCGCGACGTCGGCGATGCATCAGCGACGTCGGCGTGGAGAAGACCTGGCTCCACGTTGCGCCGCATCGGCGATGCGGGGCGATCCTCCGACCCTATCTGCTTCGACCTCATTTGTGAGGCCTGGACTCTCGCATCCGACCGCGCTGGACCAGGTCACCACTGGGATACCAAAAAGGACGGATACCATCCGATACCGCTGCTCCACGGACGTCTCCCGGGGCGCGTTCTGACAAGAATTTCGAAGCGAATCTGGCGGTGGCGACGAGGGCCTCCCACGAGGCCCCAAAAGGGGAAAACGAGGGATGAGTAGAGGTATGGGTGCCTTCTCCTCCTCTGAACCACAAACTAGATCACACCATGCCTGGCGAGACCACCGAAACGGACCAGGCCAGACAGACAAGACGACTCACGAGCAGACCATGCCAGACCAACGGGAGGCCAGAGCAGTCCAAAAACTGGAGAGGAGAGAGGGTCGCCGATGCACCCTGCGGCAGCCCCCCTTGGGGCCGACTGCAGACACTTCAGCTCCGCAGCGCAGGAGCAGGCCGTGGAGAAGTGTATCGGCGTTGCGCCGAGTGGGAAAGTGAGAGGGAGCAGGCCTTCTCGGAAGGCGGCGGAAGCCTTCCGGCCTTCTGAGACGCCCTCCTTGTGTTTTCGGAGAAGGCTCAGAGAGCTGCTCAGAAGGCCAGAAGCCGTCTGAGCCTCCTGAGAAGGCCCACCCCCTCTACCTTCTCACCTGGGCGCGCTGCCGACGTCAAGAAAGGGAGGTGGAGGAACAGGAAAGATGGCACAGGGCTGCAGCAGGAGTATGCGGGCTCGACGACGGGAAGCAGAGGTCAATGAATAACACGAAGAAGAGGGGGGATGGATCATCATCTGGGAGCGCATTTCCTGATGGACGCTTCAGGGGTCGCTGAATAAGTAGCCCCCAGGAGATCCTGCTGCTCTCAGCTGAGACACCGAGAAGCTGCACGAAGGCAACGTTTGGGAGGCTTTGGGAAGCTCGTGGCCTGTGGACCGTCTTCAGCGGTCTTGACGATCTCATGACCGTCTCGAAAGCCCCTGGGGCAATTCAAATGATCTTAAGGCTGCCAGGGTCAGTCGAAGCCGTCTTGGGCGCGGCCTTGGGGATTCCTTAGGCCGCATCGTGCCTTGCTGGGAAGCGTTAACAAGTAGCACGACACGCAGTACAAGGCACTTCATGAAAACGACGTCCAGCACAACTTCGCGCCATAGGTATGCAGGGCAAGCCCCACAGCTGTTTTTGAAAGCGCCCAGGCAGGCTCCAGGAAGGCGCACAAGGCAGCCACGAGAAGGACCCAGGGCAGCTTTAGATGGGGGGATGCCCAAGGGCTCCTGAGAGCCTGGCAGGACCACGATGGGACGCTCTTGGAGGGCTCTTGGGACCTTCTGGGGGGGTGCCTCTTGGGGCTTCTTGGGGGGGTCCCGGTGGGCTCTTGGGACTTCTTGGGGCGCCTGGGGGGGCCTCGCCAGGACCCTTGGCGTCTTGGCTCGAACTGTCCGTTTGGATCCCCGCTCTTGCCCATGTCTTGAGGCCGTCTTGAAAGCCTCTTGTGCCGACTTGGAATCCTCTTGGGCCGTCTTGGCGCTCTCTTGAGTCGTATCGGGCTATCACAGGAGGCCTCTTGGGCTGTGTCGGCACTTTCTCAAGGACCTCTTGGGCCGTCGTTGAACATGGGAAGGTCGTAAAACCGATAGCGCTCACACTGTCAAAGATCCAAACGGACATATATGATTTGGGCATCCTGGGGCCCTCTTCGGTGTCCCCGTGGTGCCCTTGAAAAGCGTCATGACAACTATCTTAAGCTTCTTCTAGCGTTTCTTAAAACGTCTTGGGGCTCCCTTTGCTCGTCTTGGGGGCCTCTTGGGTCTCTCGTGCAAGTCTTGAGAATCTCTCAGAGGGCCCTCCCAGGGGCCCCAAATGTGGGGAACCCAGAAACGTACAAGGGGGGCAGCTCGATGGAGCCCAGCCCCCTGGATCGCACATACATACATAGATGCATAAAGACAGACATGCATACATGCATACATACAGACATACATGCATGCATGCATACATACACATATTACGCATAAGCTTTACATATATTGTATAGGTATATGTATGTATACCTATACCTATACATATACATATATATACATTTATCTACAAAACTGCATTGGCGCTTCGCGCCATGCACCTTGTTCCGTGTAGTTTCGAATGCAGGCGGCATGCGTGCGCGTGGATATGGGGCGGGCCACCGCCAAGTCGGAAGGGGTGAGGGGTGCCTGAGCGGGAGCGACCAGACAACACCAGCTGAGGCCATTTCAGGACGTTTCGGGGCCCAGAGGCGCGAATCTGTCTCAGGCGAGTGGTTGGGCTACCATGAAGCAGGGCATCCTCCTCCTCCTCCTCCTCTTTCTCCTCCTCCCACTTTTCCTCCTTCTCCTCCTCCTCCTCATCCTCATCCTCTTTCTCCTCTCTCCCCTTCCTCCTCTAATTCATCCTCCTCCTCCTTCTCCTCCTCCTTCTCCTATACCTCCTCCTCCTCCTCCTCCTCGTCCTCCTCGTCCTCCTCCTCTTCCTCCTCCTCCTCCTCCTCCTCCTCGTCCTCCTCCTCTTCATGCTATTTTCGGCATCCGCGCTGCTGGGCTGCCAGCTTCGATCCCCAAAGAGGCCCAATTCTGGCCCAAGAATGCCCAAATAATTCAAACTCCGTGAAAACAATTGGAAAATCAATGTGTTTGGCCTTCTCGCCTTTTCGCTTAGGATCGCTCTTGAGGCGTCAAGCTGGCCCCAGCACGGCTCCGAATGAGTCCCCCGACGAGCCCCCAAAAGGCCCAAGGCTGACCCAAGAGGGCCCGGAGAGTGGGAAATCAGAGAAATCCCACTGGAAAACCAATGTGGTTTGCCTTCTCGCTTTTCCTTTCCGTTTGGCTCGAGAGGCGTCAAGATGACCCCAGGATGGCCTCAGAGAGGCGAAAGCCGCGGCCCACAGAGGCCCAAGGCTGGCCGAAGAGGGCCCAAATAGTTGAAAATCCGTGATAATACATCGGAAAATCAATGTGTTTGGACTTCTCGCCTTGTCGCTTCCGATTGGCTCTTGAGGCATTAAGATAGGCCCAGGACGGCTGCAAATGAGTCCCCAGCCGAGCCCCAAGAGGGCACAGACTGGTCCTAGAAGGCCCAGAGATCTGAACATCCAAAACGATTTGACAAGCAATGTTTTCGGTCTTCTCGCCTTTTCGCTTCCTGTCGGCTCGAGAGGCGTCACGATAGCCCCAGGATGGCTCCAGAGAGGTACAAGCCGAGGCCCACAAAGGCCCAAGGCTGGCCGAAGAAAGCCCAAATAATTGAAATCCAATCAAATCCCATTGTGAAATCAATGTTTTTGGCCTTCTCGCCTGTTCGCTTACGATCGGCTCTTGAGGCATCAAGATAGCCCCAGGACGGCTGCAAATGAGTCCACAGACGAGCCCCAAAGTGGCCCAAGGCGGCTGAAGAATGCCCAGAGAATTGAAAATCAATGAAAACCATGGGAAAAACAATGTTTTCGGACTTCTCGCCTTTTCGCTTACGATCGGCTCTTGAGGCGTCGAGATAGCCCCAGCACGGCGCCGAATGAGTCCCCAGACGAGCCCCAAAAAGGCCTAAGGCTGGCCCAAAAGGGCCAGGAAAGTCGAAAATCACAGAAAACCTAAGGCGTAAGACAGGCCCGAGGATTCGAATTTCGTTCGGGGGGAGGGGGTCAGGGGGAAGCGCTCTTTCTGGGGCCCCCGGCCCCAAAAAACATATGAATAGGAATATGTATATATATATATATATATATATATATAACACCACATGATGGTTGGGAAACATACATCGTCGGAGTTCCGAATCCCCGTCTCTGCCCAGGGCCTGGCCTGATCTCCAGTGCCCTGTCGATGTCCTTGGCCGCCTCGCTCGGGCCCAGCTCCTTGCAGGCCCCGCCGCGGCATGCACCCCGCCCCGAGCCGATCCCCCCCCCGCTAACGCCGCCCCTGAACCGCTGGAGAGGTACAGCCGGGTTCGTGCCGTGACCACCTGCGCGTTTGCTACTGACGCCGCGCGGATCGCTCCACCTCGAGCGATCGGGTGGATCCGACAACGAGGATCTTTCGACGTCGGCCGATTCTGGCCCGGCGGCGGCGTTGAAGGTTGACAGGCCTGCACTGGGGCCGCCGCCTCGTCGTCCCGACACGAACCTGCCGTAAAGCACATAGAACGTGCACGTGTGGGCGTGCGCTCGGAGGTCGGTGCGAGAGCCCCGGCCTCCGGGAAGCCAGTGTGGGCCCCGGGATTCGCGAGGACGGTTCGCAAAGTGTCTGGCACGGTAGCCACAAGGAGCGACATCCGCGTCTGCTTGCGACCGAGAACTAGATCTCATCCAAGATGCCCAGAAAGGATTTCCTTCATCCACACTGGTGGAACATGCACCACGATCCATAATTCTGACCCGACTTGTTCGGCCGGCTCGAACTGTCCACGCACACTGCGGTGGGGATATCGACAAGGACGACACGAACTTGAGCCATGATCCAAGTGAGCCTGAGCCCAACCTCGTTCTACGAACCTGCCGTCGTTGCCGCACGCCTTTCACGAGACACCACCCAATGCATCGCAGAGGTGCTGCCTGCGCTTTGCAGCAGCCCGGGCGTGGAGGACTGTGGCCTGCGGGCGGGGACCAGTACCGCTGCCGCTGCATTAGGGGAGGGGTGAGACCTGCAAGCGAGGAGCGCCTTCGTTCAATGTCACTCCTTGACCTTCTGAGGCATCGCCTACGCCCACGGGCTCAGTCCGCCCGTCGCTGAAGGGCACGACGCCATACCATGAGAGGCCGACTGGTGACAATTGAAGTGCTGATGCGTCTTCGACCTCTCGCAGAATTGTCGAGGGCGCCCTCGGTCGAGGTTCCAGAATCGCCGTCCACGAAGCAACGAACCCATTGACAATCACACATGCTGCCTCGTGCCCAGCAGGAACAAGGATTAACGCTTGTGCTCGCGTCACCATTCGCTTGACTGGGGTGCATCCTTGGCAACACGAATGCCCACCTGCGTGGCAGGCCCACGGGGCAGTCCTCATTCGAACGGGGTGCTTCCCGCAGTGACAAGGAATACATGCAGGGACTCATGCGGAGGGGACTCGGGGACGGGGAGGTGCATTGCAGCATCGTCGACGCACCCTCCTCCTTCACTTCCCCCTTCGCCCTCTGCTCCTCCTCCTCCTCCTCCTCCTCCCCCTCCTCCTCCTCCTCCTCCTCCTCCTCCTCCTCCTCCTCCTCCTCCTCCTCCTCCTCCTCCTCCCTTGTGCAGGTCGGCACGGAGGTTGGCCCCCTGGACCCCTCCCCAGCACCACCCCGACCAGCGACAGAGAAAGCGGCGGCAGGGAGGCCAAGAGGCCAGGGGGGGAAGCAAAGATGGTGCGGCAACGAGAACCCTTGGGCTGGCTCGCCCCCCCTCATTCCGACCGATAGCCCCAGGTAGAGAACGCCGAACAGAGCGTTGGGAAGGGGGGACATAAGGCCCCGACGGGCGCCGCAGCTGGTCAGACCGACCATGCTCGGTGTGGAGGGACTGCAGAGCCACCTGGCCCATCCAACCCTGCTCGTGGTATGCAGCTCGCGTGGCCTCCGGGCACCGCTGCCGCTGCGGCGGCGGACGGGGGCGAGCCGACTGGTCGGCTAGGCAGCTATTCTCCGCAGAGGAAGGCCGTAGGCCTGGACTGCACGTGGGACTCTTCAGTTCGGCAGGGTGGGGCAAGCGTCGGTGCGCCCTACCGCAGGGGTGATCAGAGTCTGTATGATGCCTGGGGGTGCCACGCCTGCGTCGCAGGTTGACCACTGACCGTCCCGGAAGCTATTCGGATGCCTCCAGCGCGGTTGTCGCAAGCTGCATTTCCGATGATTAGAAGCAAAGGAAAAATGGAAGAGCATGCACAGACGATGCCCCCCCACGAGTGGCTCCGCTTGTTCGACATGCCAGCGCGCGTAACAAAAGCTGCGCGAAACCAGATGACACAAACAGTCAACATGAAACTTCAGCTGAGGCCGCCAACGGCGCGGGAGCAAGGATCCAATGCTGGAGGCGACGGGGAGGAAGGGGTGGCGCCGCCCTGAAATCAGCGGCCGCTAGCGAAACGCACACGGTGGCAGCTGGAAGTGCCCGCCATCGACAGGCGCTCTGGAACGGGGGGATGAGAGGGAGGAGGGGATGGGCATCCCCCAGCGCCTGGACTTCAGCCGCCCCGCCTCTCTGGGGGAGCGGCCGAAAGCGGCAGCGAGCGCGACCAGTGCGGTTCGCCAGCGCCTGAGCACCATGCGGCTGCAGCCCAGCCAGCCTACCAAAGGTCAGCTGCCGCAGGCGGAGCACCGGCGAGGCCCGACGCCAATGCCTACCGCGGGAGGCGGCCCGTGGGAAGAGGTGGGGCATCTGCCGTCGCCTGGAAGGCGGCCAGCCAGGCTCCCTCAGATCAGCGGCTGGGAGCCAAAGCCGGAACTTTTGCGTCGCAACGGTGTGGGCCACACCCTGATGGGGCCGGAGCAGCCGTGGACTAACAATCTGTGCATCTGTGCGGTGGTCAAAGCAAACGAGCGGCCGCGGAGAAGGAGGAGAAGGAGGAGAAGGAGGAGACAGAACCAGGAACGATGCCCGAAACACGCGTGCTGCAAATGTCTACAATGCGAGTGCACCCAGCCAGCCAGGATCCCAAGTCAGCGGCTGAAGCAAACTGGCACAGATGTCTCGTGTAAACGATCGCCGTTGAAAGAGGCCAGGCAGTGGGGAAGGGGAGGGAAAAGCGGGCAAGGGTGGCGGTCACGGTACGCCTGTGTGTGGCAGCGCATGTGGCCACGGAGCGCCGATTGTCGCGTTGGGTTCAAAATGGACATTGCTGCGCGATGTCCTTCCTCATTGGTTACTGAAGCAGTCGAAACCGACATTGTCCTCCGAATAATCGCGGCCGAGGTGGTTGCTGGCATCCGAATGGTCGCTGCGGCGCTCGTCGAGTAAATCAAAGGTAACATTGCTATTTCGTCCCGAGTCGGCTCGCACAGCGTCGTGTTGCTGGAGAATCGTCACCAAGCTCTTGGGAAGTTGCTGATGCTCTTGCGCTGCATCGCCCTACGGTTTGCTTTCAGCCTGAGCGGTGAGCTCTTCGGTGCCACTTTGTAGACACCACGCTAGATTTTGGCCGCCGGCGGAAGGCCTGCGTTGCCAAACTTGCTCGTGCGATCTAAGTGGCCGCTGGGCTGGACGCTGGTGGGTGTCGTCGTGTGGAAGGGGGAGGGCGAAGCATACTGAGACACATAAGAACAACCATGCTACCACAAAGAACAATCATATCAAAGTTTGAATTATGATGCTACGCTTAACAAGGGCAACAACCATGAAACTACGAAACGGTAGAACAGAAATACAACAGAACATGCCAATGTCAATACAAACACGCACTAGAAGAACACCACCGCTGCGGACGGCCGTCCGGGCCTGTCCGAAACCACGTGGGTTAGGCAACGGTTTCCAGAATCTGTTAGCCACCGTGTGCAATGACGGGGGAGAGAGGAGGGAACGGGTGGTGGAACGCAGACATGGGCAAATGGTGCCGTGTTTGTGTGGCTGCAGTCTCCAAGCCCCCTGCGTCGCTGAGGGATAAAGAAGAGAGTGAGCATCAGCATCTGGAGGGAGGAGGACGACCTCGTTGGGCGCCAGGGGCTTGCAGTGGAAGGTCTCCGCAACGGGAATGCCCGCTGCGGGGTGCCTCCGCTGCAGGTGTGGGCAGTGCCTGGGCGCTGCCCAGCCGAGGGCGTGGTGCCATGCCACTCGGGCGACGACGCCATCCCCTCCTCCTCCTCCTCCTCCTCCTCCTCCTCCTCCTCCTCCTCCTCGTCCATTTTCAACACCCTCCTCTTCCTCCGCATGGTCCTTCGTTTCGTCCTCCGCTTTGCCTCCTGCTCCTGCAGAGACACGCGTACGCTCGTCCTCGTCCACCTTCCATCGTGAATTCATCCAACCTGGAAAGAGATGGAACCCCTCTCCCGCTGGCTGTATCCTCGGACAACACCACGCTGCCCTGGGACGCCACACCTGGAGCAAATACCGTCAATAGGACCATGAGGAGCACACGCAATAGGAAAACTGAATATGGATGAATACTCTGGCGAGGGGGATGGGGAGGAAACTGACGACAAGAAGGGTGAGCCTCGACAGCAAGACAGCGATTCAGAGCACGACTATGCGGAGTCGGAAAAGGACGAGGACGCGGACAGAGTCGGTGTTGTTGCTGAGGTCAGAGGGCGGGACGAGCGCATGGAGGAGGACAGGGAAGGCGATTGAGAGATCGGGCTCGGTAAAAGAAGGGCAGTGCCGCCCACTCTGCACAGGAAGCTATTGCTTCTCACGGCAACCAACAAGCAACACCGCGATCGAGCGAGGTGCTACCCGGACCAACCGGCATGCCACGCACAAAGGCATCGGCACGCCGTCAGGATACACGAAATTCGAGAGGAGAGCTCGCCGTCAGCACGAGAATGCTGAGGCCCACGACGTCTTCCCCTTGTGTGCCGCACATGTAAGAATCCTCCCCCTCCCCCTCCCCCTCCCCTTCCTCCTCCTCCTTCTCCTTCTCCTCCTCCTTCTCCTCCTCCTGTCTGGCGGAGAGACTGGACGGCGCACGGCTATGCCTGTGTCTCCCCTCTCTCCCTACTCTTCGGGGGTGCACCCGAAGAGATGGGGGCCAGGACGAGGGGGGGGGGGGCTGGCGAATCGGGGCCCGAAGCACGCGCGCGGACCAGAAGGGGGGGGGCACGGAACACACCGAAAGAAGCAGGAGCGGCCGTGACACCTGGGAGGGGCCCAGCTGTCACGTCCACACATCCCTGGCCCTCGCCCCCACCCTCGTGGACGCCACCCGCCCCCTCCTCCTTCCCCAGCAAGAAGGCGCTGGTGGCCCGGCGTGGCACGCCCACGGAGGAGACCGCGATCCGTCCATGAACCGACGGATCGATCCACCCACTCGTCCTTCGACCGATCGCTCGATCGAGCCGCCGCGGGATCCAGCGCTCGGTCGGCCGCTGGGTCGATCGACGGAGCACGGAGGTGCCGACATGGTCACGCCGGCCGAGGCAGCGAAAAGGCGGGGGGCGGGGCGCCTCCGGGCGTCTGGGCGCCCTCGCTCTGCCCCGCGGCCTCCAGCTTCCGCTGGGGGTGCCGCGCCCGTTTTCTCGCTTCCGCGGCGCGCGCTCTGGGCAGGCGGGCCCTCGGAGCCTCGGAGCTCCGACCCCTTCCGACCCCTCTGGCCCCATCGAGCCCCTCGAGCCTCCTCGTCTCGCCCCTTCGGACCTCGATCCTCGGATCCTCGAGCAGCCTCGAGCATCCTCCCCTTCGGGCTCCCTCGCTCCTCGAACCTCGAGGAGCCCTCGCTGCCCACGTCCCCCCCTCCTCCTCCTCCTCCTCCTCCTCCTCCTCCTCCTCCTCCTCCTCCTCCTCCTCCTCCTCCTCCTCCTCCTCCTCCTCTTCCACCTCCCGCAACTGCCACCCGTGCCTCCACCTCTGCCTCCTGTGCATGCTGCCCGAGGGCCAAGATCTGGTGGCGCGTCCGTGCGCTGGCACCCATCCTTCAGTGGAGAAAGAAGCGGGGGAGGGGGAGGGGGAGGAAGAGTAGGATCTGCTCTTCCCGCTTGCTGGCTCACATTCTGCTTTCTGTTCTCTTCCAATGCCCCCCCGGCTTCGCTGTGCCCTCAGTCAAGACCTGCGAGGGCAAACTGCTGCCTGAGAACCATCAAAAGTGTTATGTATGGTATGCCTGCAATGAACTATGTTAATGGTAATAGAATTGGATATTTCAAATAAGATCGATACATGCGTATACATATAATATGCTCCCATTTGATGTTGCAATATATTATGCAAAGGGTCGACGTCACGGCCCGCCAAGAGGAACCCTGGGGCGTTCGGTGCGGACTCTTCCCTGGCGCCTGCGCGGGTCGGCTCGCGTCGTGCCCACGAGGGTTGACGGGCGTGGCGTGTAAACCTACTGACTCACGGCAGCGACCCATGACAATCGCATCGCCATGACTCACAAGGGGGGTGGCAGCCTCAGAGCGCGCCTGCCCCCTGACCTGCTGCGCCGGCAGTTCCTCTGCGCCAGCGCGACAGGACGCGGCCGCCCCTGGTGGACTGGCTGGCAGGGCTCCTCCCTTGATGCAGCGAGCGGGGCTCGCACCGTGTCCGCTTGCTGGATGGGAGCTGTGAGCACCGACTTTTGCCGAGAGGCCGTTCAGAAACCGCTGGTTCGGGCTTCGCTTCGCTTCCCGCGGTGTCCCAATAAGCGCTGGCAGGGGGGCGGATTGGAGGCTCCGCCTCCGCGCGCGCAAGCGGTCAAGATTGCGGAGGCCACGAGAACATTCCCCCCAAGGGTGCAACCCTGCACTCGTGACAGAATTTCGTGTGCCGGCTCGTCGAAGACTCCGCCTCCGTCGTCACAATAAATCGCGGTGGAATTGCGAGGGCCACGCGCCCGTCACTGCCAGACAGGGCGAGTCATCAGTAGCGCCGAGGATGTTCGGCTTCAGGCGTGCTCCGCTGGCCGATGGGGGGTCATGGTGTTGGCAGGCGGGGCTGCGTCCCAGCGCGGCCTGGAGAAACCGAGAGTGCAGTCGCGATGCTGAGCTCATGGTGGTCGGCGTCACCGCTCACCCATCGATGCGGCGACGGAGTGACCACGTGTTCCCCCATCATCGCGAGTGAGCCATGCATACGACAATGCTCTCCAAACAATTTCAGTGTGATGGCCTCGCGGAACGCGACGGAGCATCCGTTTCTCGTCGGCGGGAAGGTCGCCCTGGACCAATGAAAGAGCGTTGCTCATCAGACTCTGCATCGTAATGGAACGCGCCACCATACGTGACCGTGCTTTTCAATCAGTCCACTTGAGGGCGCTGCCACATACGTAAATACCACATTACGGAAACGCCAAACATGAGTCATCATCAATAGCGACCGCATCATCAACTAGTGTGCAAGAGCTCCGCGGCGGTCGATAACCTAGCTGAAATCGAATCTCAGATGGCTCCTAAAACTTTATCTCGCAGTGGTCGGCTTGGTGGGCGCGCTGACTGTGTCATCACACTGGCTTGCAAGGAACACAATTGGGAGCGTGGGCACAAACACACGAATCTTGTACGTCATCAACTGTGTGAGCTCCCAAAAGGCCCCCACGACGATCTCAAGACCCTCAAGACCCCCAGAAGGACCCTGCCAGCAGGCACAACGGGCCCGTGAAGGACTCACCCGTGGCCATCGCTTTCCCTGTGGGGGTCGACAGAATTGCGCAAGCCTCTTGAAAATCAACACTGCTCAAGACACTTCCGGGCGCCGTCCCTCCGCTCGAGGCGGGTAGTGGTACGCATCCGGCCCCGGCCCCAGGCCCGGCCCCAAGCCCCAGCCCCGGCCTCGGCCCCAAGCCCCGCACCAGCCCAGCTCCAGCCCTGACTCCTGCCCCGGCCACAGCCCCAACCCCAGCCCGCCCCAGAGGAGACAGACGGATGTCCTCCGTCTCCTCCTCCTCCTTTTCCTCCTCGTCCTGGTCCTCCTCCTCCTCCTCCTCCTCCTCCTGCTCCATTTCTCCTTGTGAGCAACTCCTAGCCACTCCGAGCCTCACAATCCTACGCTCAAGAATGATGGCTTCAACCAGATTGCCTCTCCGCTTAGACTGGACTCCCCCCATCCACCCTTCCCTCCCACTGCTCGCCTCCACTGGTACCTCCTCCGTCCCCCCTCCCTCCCTCCCTCCCTTCCCCTCCCCTCCAACCTCACCTCTCTTCCTGACGCCCAGCCCAAACCAGGCAGCCCCCTGCGCCTGCATGTAATAGGAGGAGGGGCTGACGGCCCCGCTGTAGCTCACCGTCATCCTCCGCCTGTGCCCGCGACGCGGACGGGCGAGGAGCCGCAAGGCCAGGCGTGAGTTGACCTCCCGATACCGCTGACGCTGCTGCTGTCGGTGCTGCTGCCCCAGCTCGTTCTCCTAGCTTCCCTTCTCCTCACGCTCTTCGTCGCTGTTATCCGCCCTCCTCCTCCTCACGTCCTCCTCCTCGCCGCCTTTCGTGGAGGGCAGAAAGTCCACCCCCATAAGGATCACCCCGACAAGCGAAGCCGTTTAGTAAACGCACCCGAGGAAGGAATCGAGCAGGGCAGGGCTGTTCAATAAGCGCCCAGGGTCGTTTAGTAAACGCCACTTGTCGGGGTCGAGGCGTTCTTTCCTCCCTTGATTTTATGTCCTCCTCCTGCTCCCCTTCACCGTCTGTAGCGATGCTCTACGCCGCCCTCCGCATCATTGTCCTGCTCCTTCTCTTCATTCCGCGAGGCCCGTCTGCAGAGCAGGAGCGACTGTTCCATCGTTGCCGACACTTCGCGTTACATCGTGAATTGTCCGTTTCCGATGTTGCCTGCTCATTACATATCCACGTCGTGGTCGCGCTCCTAGTATTGCCCCAACACGGAGGCAAAACATAATTACGCCGAAAGGTTTGAGAGGGAACATATCCGGACACCATCAAGCAATGCATTCCCCAGATAATCAAAGCGAAAGGTACATGCGAAACGTACAACGAGCTTAGCGGATGCCTTGCGAGACCTCCGCGGCAGTGTTGGGTCTTGCTTAGCTCCTGAGGGGACCGGAACTGATGTCAAAACGAAACACCAACCAGACAAAACATCCCGCTCTCCCATCTCCCCAGGCCCTGACCCCTCCCCCCCCTGTTCACCCCGTCCTCCTCCTCCTCCTCCTCCTGCTCCTCCTGCTCCTCCTCCTCCTCCTCCTCCTCCTCCTCCTCCTCCTCCTCCTCCTCTTCCTCTCGACTCGCCTCGCCTCTCCTCTCCTGCCTTTCCCTCCCTCCGCACATCCTGCCCACTGTTCCACGCGGCAAGATTCGGGGCCGCGCAAGCATGAATTAGCGATCCATGGATTTGGCGTGCGGTAGCCAAATCCATGGATCGGGGAGGTGCCCTCCCCAAACTACGGCCAGTGCCGCCTCGTTCGGCGGCGGGAATTCGCGATTTCCCATTGAAACGGGACCCGCCGCTAATCCACGCCCCCCTGATCCGTTTTTGCGATCGCCTGAAAGGTGCGCACCTTCCCGTGACTTGCCCGCTCCCCCGGTGCACAGTCCCCCACGAGTGACGCTCCCCCGTGCATCCTGGCGGCCTCCGCCCTGCCAGCGCCACTCCACGGGCCCCCCCGCCGCATCCAAAGGGCCCCCCCCCCTTCCCCAGGGGATCCTCGCGTTACCTCTCTTTGTCGTCGCGCTGGGCGTCTTCGCCAGAGCTCGGGCCCTGGGGCCCTCGCGTGTCGACACGGTTGGAGAGATGCGGGAGACACGGGGTGTCGAAGGCCCTGGCCGTGGTCTGCAAAGAGGCCCTTCCTTTTTCCTCGCGACGTCGGGTCGGCCCTATTCCCGCCCATCGTGTCCACGAGTCTTCCTTTTTCCTCGCGACGTCGGGTCGGCCCTATTCCCGCCCATCGTGTCCACGAGTCTCCCGCGAGCCTCGGGGGGGCGACGGTGAGAGCCAATACTTCTGCTGACACCTCGTCCCGAAGGCAGTGCTGGAATCGAGCGGGCAGCTCGAGCTATAGGGGGTGCCGGACGGAGACGAGCAACATGCGCAGGAAAGAGACATGGCAGTGACGTGCGGACCAGGATGGGAAAGCTGGATGAGGAGATAGAGGGGTGGAGAAAGCATGATGACCACCTGAGCTGGTGACCCATCAATTTCGCTGCAGCCACGTGGGTGCCGTGGCGGACGTGGTTCATCTGCACCTGTCCCGGCGGCGCAGGCTCATGCGGGGATAATTGGCGCTGAACGTTCTGGTCCTCGCCTGAATTATTTGTCTTTGGTTAAGAAGATGGTGCGGCGTCGCCGACACCGCTCTCCTTTTTCGCCTCAACGCCACATCGACGCCCTAGACGCGGCATCGACGCTACCGACGCCATCGCCGTCACATCGACGCTGTCGACGCCGCTCTCCTCCTCATCCCTATCCCCCTCATTTTCGACCTTCTCCTCCCTCCTCACTTTTCGCCTCATCATCCTTCCTCCCCTCCTCTTCCACCTACTCATCCCCTCCTTCTCGACTTGGTGCTGCGACGCCCTCTCTTTCACCACCACCACCACCTCCTCATCCCCATCCGACTTGTCCACCTCTTCTTCCTCTTGCTCCTGCCCCTCTTGCTCCCGCAGAAAGTGGGTGCTTGTTTCAGCTGGTTTACTCGATTGGTCTCTACTTGGTCTCTACTTGGTGTCTTGCTGGGGCTGCTTGCTTGGCTTCTCCTGGCTTGGCCCTGTGCTGTGGAAGTCTGGTGTTCCCGGCGGTTCTCGCCAGGCCCTCGCTGGGACCCTGTCGCGGGCCCCCCTCGCTGAAGCTTCATCGAGAAGGAGGAGGAGGAGGAGGAGGAGGAGGAAGAGGAGGAGGAGGAGGAGGAGGAGGAGGAGGCACGGGAATCCCCACACGATCGAGTCTCACGCGAGAGGGCACCACATAACAAGGTCCCACGAGATAGGGCCCCACTCACCCGGACCGTATCGCGGCTCGAGCTCGAACGTTACGAACAAGCTTCCCAAGCGAGGCAACTGACTGATGTAAGCGAATTCCGCCCGAACTCGTACCTTATCCGTCACCGGCTCGTGCAGCCGAGTGCACTGGAGGTGCATACCATCAACAAATACATCATCATCGTCATCATCATACCAATCAGCACAACCGCCATCACCATCACTATCATCAACAGCATCATCATCATCACCATCACCATCATCATCATCATCATCATCATCATCATCATCATCATCATCATCATCATCATCATCATCATCATCATCATCATCATCATCATCATCATCATCATCATCATCATCATCATCATCGTCAGCATCATCGACATCACCGTCGTCATCATCGTCATCAGTGCCATCGCCAACACCACCATCATCATCACCATCATCATCATCATCAAATATCACATGGTCGAGCCCCCCGCGATAGGCAGGGACAAGGCGGACGGCCTGTGCCCTGGACTCCATCACGTGCCTGCGCCAGTCGGACCCTGCGGTCTGCAGCCTGCATGGGTCCAGTGCGCTCGAAGAGCGGGCCACCGCGAAGCAGATCTGGCCTGGGCCCGGGGTGAAGGAAAGTTCGAGGCCAAGGGAGGCTGTGGAGGGAAATAAATCGGAGGCGAACGAAGACGAGGAAGGAAGGGGCGGATGAAGACGAGGAGGAGGAGGAGGAGGAAGAGGAAGAGGCGGAGGAAGGCAAGAGCAAGAGGAAGAGGGAGGATAACTAGTGTTTTGTTGAGAGGGAAGAGAACAAGTGAGGAAGAGCAAGATCATCGAGAGCGCGGAAACGCGTCAGCACAGACTGGGTACCCAGGTCAATAAGAAGACATCGAATGCACAAGCTTAGTTACTGGTCCGTGTTGACTGGCTGTCGCCTCCACCAGATTGGACGAAATCGCCGAAATGCAGTCCGTGAGAGCGCGCAGGCCCGTCAGCAACAAACAGACAGCATGTCTACAGGAGAACACTGTAAACTCCCATATTTAGTGACTGGTGTGTGCTGATTGGTTAGCGGTTAGCGTCTATACCAATCATGAGGAGGATGTGATGGGGATGAGAACAAGGAGAAGGAGGATCACGACGCGAAATGAGTAGGAGTAGGAGGCAAATGAGGACGTGGACAAACAGGATGAGCGGAGTGAGGAATCCACATCATCGAAAGCAATCTAGAAAGCATAGCACCTGCCAGCAACCAAGTACATCCATCATCTCGTTGAGGTCAAGACACGTCGCCAGCTTTGCTCGAGCGGCTTGAGGCACAATCTGGACATCTGTGGGCAGCTGTTGCCTGTTGCTACAGTCAACCCGTATCATAAGGACGAGCGATAAGGATGCACGGGCCTTGGCGGGCCAAGTTGACGTTTTTCGAACGAGGTTGGCCAGTGACAGTGGCCAAGGATGGGCCGAAGGGGCGGGGATGCAAGGGTATCATTGGGAAGGTTGCCTATCCTTACTATGCAGGTTGACTGTAACTCAGACCACGCTGGTGCGCCGCCCCTCCTGTGCTGGTTCGCACGTGCCCGTGTCATCAACCGCCAACACCTGTGACTACTCTTCTGCGACCTCCTCGCTGCGACTGCCCGAGTTACATACCTGCTCTTACAGCTGCGCACTTGCTTCGTGTCCCCGTCCGGCTCCCTTCCTGGGTCGGCGGAACGGTCGCAAAGCATCTGCAAATCGAGATGCACGAATTCTGAACGACAAACGTGATAACCCAACACTTCCCATCATTGTTCTCGAGTGTACTGCCAGATACGCGCTGGAATCAACTCCTGCTCGCTGCCCTCGGGATTTTCTTTTCTTGGCTGTCTACCGAGAAGCGCAGGCAGGACTGGATAATGCAACGTCAGAGTAGGGGAGCCGAGTGGTCTTACGCTGCCCCTTGGCGCGTAACTAGCTGGAGCGGGCTCATGCGGCACGCGCTTGTATTGTGTTTCTTATCGTCGACTCGCGACTCGCAAAGATGCCAGGGCCCTGGAACGCCGAGGTGACGTTTTCCGTGCGGAGGCGCAGCAGAATGCCGAAGGATGCCGAACACCGAAGGGGCAAGGATGCAGAGGGCAGACTTGGAGAGCTGCCCCATCCTTACTATCATGGCCGACCGTAGGGTCCGCAGGTGGCCTCCCATATCCTCCGCCTCTGCCGCCCCCCTTTCTGGGCACGGCGAGCCTGTGCGCAGGGGCCTGTCGAGGTTCTGCGGGCAGATATGCACGCGGTCGGAGCTGAACACGCCCAGCAGGATGGCACCTTCACGGTTTTTTTCCGCCCTGCCCTGGCAGCCTCACCACTGGAGCGAATGCAAAGGGGGAACCTGGCTGGGGGAGGAGCCCGGACTGCTAGGAGGAAAACGAACGGGCGGGGGTGCGGGGGGAGGCGTGACAGGAGAGGGGAAGGGGAGCGAGGGAGAAGAGGAGCCAGGAAACAGAGGGAATCCATCATTCACCTCCACATGCCCTTGCTCCTGCTCCTCCTTCCCTCCCTCGCCCTCCTCCCCATCCTTCCACTTCCACCTCCCTCTTCCACCTCCTTCTTATATCCCTAGAAATGATATCCACCTCCCTCTTCCACCTCCCGCTTCTTGCCCCTGGAGATGGCATCCCGCCCCCCGACTCCTCAGGGCGAGATCCCACCAAGATTCGAATGGGATCCCAACTAGACCCCTATCGGATTCCAACGGGATCCCAAGAGGGTTGCAATATGAACCAATAAGATCCCAATCGGATCGTGCCCAAGAAGGCCCGAAGACGGGCCAAGAGGGCCCCACGAGGCCCCCTCGGACGGTCCAAGAGGGCCCTGAGTCGCCGAAAAATCGTTCCAATACGCCCATGATGGCCATGATGGCCTCAAGATTGCCAAAGAGGCCTCCAAGACGCCCCAAGAGGCATCCAAAGCCTCCCAAGAGGCCCCCCAAAGGCAACAATCATGTAATGTCAGTTGGTTTTTGGATGATGTTGCCGTTCTCGTCTCTTCGGCTTTCCGACGCTCCAAGACGGCCCAAGAGGCCCCCGAGACCACCCCAAAACAGCCCAAGAAGCGTCCAAGAGGGCCCCATCAAGGCCTACTAGAGCCCCAACACTGCCCAAGAGGCGCCCAAGACGGCCCAAGAGGGCCCCAAGACGGCCCCACAAGGGACCCACGAGAGGGAGCACGCACAGAACATCCAAGCGTACCGCCCCAAGAGGCCCTAAGGAGGCCCCAAGAAGCGCCCAGGAGGCCCCAAGAGGCCCCTAAGAGCCCCCAAGAGGTCCCAAGAGGCGCAACATAACATCCAAGAGGCCACACGGCCCCAAAGAGGCCTCCGAACTGCCTTCAAGAGGCCTCCGAGAGCCTCCCACGAGATCCCAGCGAACATCCAATAGGCTACACACCCACAACCCAGGCACGGTGGCGGGGTGGGCCGAAGGCACTTCGATACATATGTATATGTACATATAAGTGTGTAAATGTGTATATACATATACGTATACACAAATATGTGTGTAGACAGGTCTACTTACTTGTTTATATGTAAATATGACTGCATATATGTATGCATACGTGTCTGCATATACGTTTGTGTGCATGCATGCATGCTTGCATGCATGCATGTATTGATGGATGGATGGGTGGATGAATGGATGGATGCATGCATGCATGTATGTGTTTAGATATGCATGTACGCATGCATGCATGCGTGTACGTATGTATGTACATGTGCACGGGTGTGTATGTATGTGTGGATGCATGCATGTCTGTGTATGTATGGTTGTATGTGTGCATATGGGCATGTCTGTACCCATGCGTATATGTGATTACGCATGTCTGCACGCATCTATATGTGAGTGTTTCATGTATGTATGCATGCTTGTATGCATGCATGCATGCATGCTGCAAATATGTATGTGTGTATGCATGGATGTATGGAAACGTGTATGCATGTATGCATTAATACACATATGCATATATATGTATACATGTGTATGTATGCATGCATGCATACATGTAGTGACGTATGGCTGTAGACATATAGGTAGGTGTATGCACGTATGTGTGTTTGCATGCATGCATGCATGCATGTATGTAGTTATATATGTATACGTACAGGTATAGTGTACACGTGTGTGGCGGGCCCGGAACCTTCCAAAAAGATGTTCGAAGGTCCTCAGGTACCCGCCCGAAATGCCGTGGGTCCCCGTGGCCATCCTGCGACACCGAAACTTCTGAAGGGCACCCGTTGTCAAGCCACTTTCATATTTGGCGTGCCTGCTGCATCCACATCGCACAACGGTGCAGGTAGGCTGCGGCCAACATCCGCACATCCACATCGCACATCCGATCGGGCCACATGACCATCTCCTGAGAGCCACCTCGCTCGCGAGGGGCCGCGAGTGGCCGCGGGCCAACGGTCGAGGGGTCTACGCCTTGCTTCGCGGAAGAATCGGTGGAGTCCGCCGCGTTGCTTCCACGGCCGCCTTCTGGGTGCCTCGTGCGCGCCCCGTGCCCTGGCCGGGGCGGGGGCGGTGTCCCGAGGTTGCGCCACGTTGCTGCCCGTGCCGCCCCGTGGGCGCCTCGTGGGCGCCCCCCTGAGCTGGGTGGGTCTCCCGAGGTTGGGCCGCGTTGCCACCCGTGCCGCCTGGTGGGCGCCCCGTGCTCCGACTTTACACGGCATGGGTTTCAGCACAAAGCTTTCACCGCAGAGCTTGCGCCACGCACATTGCATCGCATCCCTTCGCCCACAGTTCATACCGCCTAGCTACACGACGCAGCGTACACCACATAGCTTGCAGCGCCTATGTTTTACTTCCACAGCTCACGCCACATAGCTTGCACGACATAGCTTTCGCACACCGCATATGTTCCACCTCCAGACTACAACGACGCACTGTTCGGGGCCCACGCTGGTCACAGACACATGTGTATATCGGAGGTTGGGGGGGAGATCGCAATGGAACGGAGACGCCCAAACAGGAAATCGTTTCGTTTCGTTCGTATCGCGCGTGCGGGCGAGGCGAAGCTGCGTGGGCGCGCGAGAGGCATAATGAACCCGACGTTGCTAGGGCGAAGTCAAAACAAATGATTCTCCCCTTCCCGCCCGTCCGGCGGTGTCCCGCGGTGCCCCGCGGTGTCCCGTGGTGTCCCGTGGTGTCCGCAATTGCTAGGGCGAGGTCAAAACAAATTATTACTCCCCTCCCGCCCGTCCGGCGGTGGCCCGCGGTGTCCCGCGGTGTCCCGCTTTGTCCCGTGGTGTCCCGTGGTGTCCGCAGTTGCTAGGGCGAAATCAAAACAAATGACTATCCCCCTCCCGCCCGTCCGGCGGTGGCTCGCGGTGTCCCGCGGTGTCCGTGGTGACCCGTGGTGTCCGCCGCTGCTAGGGCGAAGTCAAGACAAATGATTCTCCCCCGCCCGCCCGTCCGGCGGTGGCTCGCGGTGTCCCGCGGTGTCCCGTGGTGTCCCGCGTTGTCAGCTGCTGCGAGGGAAACATCAAGACAAATGATTCTCCCCCACCCGCCCGTCCGTCCTTCCGTCCAGCGGTGGCTCGCGGTGTCCCGCGGTGTCCCGTGGTGTCCCGTGCTGTCCCGCGGTGTCCCGTTGAGTGAGATCGATAGTGAGATCGATAGCGATATCGATAGTGAGATCGATCGGAAGTTGGGGGGTGAGATCGCAGTGGAACGGAAACCCCCCACTGGGAAATCGGTTCCGGTTTCGTGTTCGTGTTCGTGTCGTGCGTGTGGGCGAGGCGAAGCTGCGCGTCATCCTCCTGTAGCTAGGCCGAAATAGGAGCGAAGGTCCGTTCCCCGTCCGCCGGTGGCCAAGAGGTGTCCCAGTGTGTCCGGGCGGTGTCCCGGGTGTCCCGGGTGTCAGTAGGAGCGAAAGTCCGTTTCCCGTCCGCCGGTGGCCGGGAGGTGTCCCAATCCCTAGTAGACAGAAAGTAGATTCTGGTAAAGTCTATCTTTGGTGCGCGCCTGCTATGGCGAAACCGCAACGCATCTGAGTCGGAGCGCGCGAGACGCGAGTCCATTTTTATATTGTTTTGCTATGCAATTCGTGTGACCAAATGAAAATAGAGACGTGCAAAATAGATAATGTTACCAGATATAGATTCAGCTTTGTATGATACGTAGATACTAATATGCACGCTTCCAATTAAAAATACGCATTGCAATTTCCTTTAGTTGAAAACAAAAACTCATCAAAACAAATAGAAACTGGTTCGAACAAATAGATACTGATAGATTCGGCGCGCGCCGAATCCTTGGACGAGCCCAGAAATAGACACTCCCAACTCCGCTGAAACGTCAGAGGTTAAAAGATTGGGTGGTTCCCTCGGGATTCCTCAAGAACCCTCAAGGATTCCTGAGGATTCCCTCGGGATTCACTCGGGATTCCGAAGTATTCCCGAAGGCTTGCTGAAGGATTCCCTGGGGATTCCTGCGGGTTCCCTATAGGGGGTCTTAAAGATTCCCGACGGATTCCGGAGGATTCCCTATAGGGATTCTGAAAGATTTCCCTCGGATTTCTAAGGATCCCCTATGGGCTTGCAAAGGATTCCCTAGGGATTCCTAAGGATTCCTGGCGGATTTTTAAAGATTCCCTACGGATTCCGAAGGATTCCATAAGGATTCCCGAGGGATTTCCTAAGGATTCCTAGGGCCCAAGCTGGTCTTCTCAGCTCTACTATGGTCGCCACTTCGTGCTTCAAACATTATGTTGAGCAACAATAGAAATTAAATATATACTAGTTAGACGCTAATAGACACCGACATCTTGCAACACAGCCGATGCACAAACATATTTTTAGACACTGTCCGAAATAGATACCTTTAGATACTATGACCACCGGGCCTCAGCGGGAACACGATAATTTCTGAAGCATCCATTTCTACAAAATAGATACCAATAGATACATACTGTGTGCACGGCGCCTCAACGGGAAGCTCAGAATTTCAAAAAATGTCTATTCTTGTTTTCGGCTGTGGGCCGGGCGGTGTCCCGGGTGTCCAGGGTGTCCCGGCGATAACGCATGTCGCTAATTTCATAATTCATGCTTTTCGGCGCCTGCGGCGGGCTTTCTTATCCAATCCAGCTTATCTTCTCCAATCCATCCTGTCCAATCCAATCCATCTTATCTTATCCAACCCATCCGATCCACCCAACCAAATCCATCGATTAATTTGTTTCTGCGCCTGCGGCGGGCCAATCCAATCCATCTTATCTTGTCCAATCCATTTCCTCCAATCCAACCCATCTTATCTTGTCCTACCCACTCCACCCAACCCAATCCATCAATTCATTTTTGTCGGCGCCTGCGGCGGGCTTTCTTATCCAATCCTGCTTATCTTATTCAATCCATCTTGTCCGATCCAAGAGAGGGAGAGAGAGGGCGAGAGAGAGACAGAGAGAGAGAGAGACAGAGAGAAAGACAGCGATGAGATCAAGGTGACAGGCTGGAGGTCAGTCAGGGTGGGCATTTGATCTAAATCCCCCCAAACCTCCTTATCGCCCGCAGAGCGGTCGTATAGGTAGTGAGATCGATACTGAGATCGATGTGATGCCCCGATGTGTCCCGTGGTGTCCCAAAAAATTAAATCGATAGTGATATCGGTAATAAGACCGACAGGTGTCCCGTGGTGTCCCGTGGTGTCCCGTTGAGTGAGATCGATAGACAGTCAGATCGATACTGAGATCGATTTGGTGCCCCGAAGTGTCCCGTGGTGTCCCAAAAAGTGAGACCGATAGTGAGATCGATAGTAAGATCGACAGGTGTCCCGTGGTGTCCCGTGGTGTTCCGTTGAGTGAGATCGATAGTCAGATCGACAATCAGATCGATAGTGAGATCGATTTGGTGTCCCGAGGTGTCCCGTGGTGCCCCATTGAGTGACATCGATAGTAAGGTCGATAGTGAGACCGATAGTAAGATCGGAAGGTGTCCCGCGGTGTCCCGTGGTGTCCCGTGGTGGCCCGTGGTGTCCCGGCGGTGTCCCGTTGTGTCCCGTTAAGTGAGATCGATAGTGAGATCGATATTGAGGTCGACAATTGTCACTGAGTGTCCCGTGGTGTCCCGTGGTGTCCTGTTGCGTGAGATCGATAGTGAGACCGATTGAATCACATGATGGTTCCCCCAGTCTCCCGCCCCCCACAACCTCCTTATCACTCGAAGGGTGTTCGTATAGGTGTATATATCGGAGGTGAGGGGGTGAGATCGAAGTGGAACGGCGATCCCCCCACCGGGAAATCGGTTTCGGTTTCGTGTTCGTGCGTGCCGTGCGGTCGAGGCGAAGCTGCGTGGGCGGGCGAGAAAAGTCTCCTGTGGCTGAGGCGCGGCCGGACCAAATGTCTCCCTTCCGGGCGGCCGGGGCCCCGCGGTGTCCCGCCGGTGTCCCGCTGGTGTCCCGTGTGGCTGAGGCGCGGCCGGACCAAATGATTCCCTTCCGGGCGGCCCAGGCCCCGCGGTGTCCCGCCGGTGTCCCGCGGTGTCCCGCGGTGTCCCGCGGTGTCCCGCGGTGTGTCCCGCCGGTGTCCCGCGGTGTCCCGCGAGGATGATGATGATGATGATGATGATGATGATGATGATGATGATGATGATGATGATGATGATGATGATGATGATGATGATGGTGATGGTGTCCCGATGGAGATGATGATGTTGATGATGGTGTCGATGATGATGATAGTGTCCCGATGATGAGGATGATGATGCTCATGATGATTATGTTGATGATGACGACGATGGTGTCCCGATGATGATGATGATGATGATGATGAAATCGATGATGTTGGTGATGATGATGTTGATGGAAATGGTGTCCCGGCGATAATGATGTTGATGATGATGTTGATGATGATTATGGTGTCCCGATGATGATGCGGATGATGATGATGATGGTGATGATGATGATGGTGATGCTGATGGTGTCCCGATGATGATAATAATGATGATGACGATGTTGATGATGATGTTGGTCATGATGATGATGGAGCCCCGATGATGATGATGATGATGTTGTTGATGTTGATGATGTCGATGGTGATGATGCGATGATCATGATGATGGTGGTGTCCCGAGGATGATGACGATGTTGGTGATAATGTTGATGATGAGAACGATTGTGATCACGTTGCTGCCCCGATTATGATGATGATTCTGATGATGCTGCTGATGATGATGACGATGACTGTGTCCCGATGATGATGATATGATGATGGTGATGATGATGAGAATGATGTTGTCCCGATGATGATGCTGACGTTGATGATGATGTTTATGATGATGACGATGACGGTGCCCTCATGATGATTACGATGTTGGTGATGATGTTGATGTTGATGATGTTGTTGATGGTGATGATGATAATGATGACGTTGATTGTGAGAGCGATTGTGATATCGATAGTGAGATCGATATTGAGACCGAATGTGAGATCGATTGTGGGATCGATCGGTTGTGAGATCGATTGTGAGATCAATTGTGAGATCGATCGAATGAGATAGATCGAGTGAGATCGATTGTGAGATCGACCGGGTGAGATCGATCGAGCGAGACCGATCGTGAGATCGTTACTGAGATCGATAGTGAGACCGATCGAGTGAGACGTTGGTTCCCCCCCCCCCGAACCTCCTTATCACCCGAAGGGTGGTCGTATAGGTACATATATAGCTGTATCTGTGTATACGTCGGAAGCTTGAGGAGGAGATCGCAAAGTAATGGAGAGCCCCCATATGGAAATCGGTTTCGGTTTCGTGTTCGTGTCGTGCGTGCGGGCAAGGCGAATCTGTGTGGGCGCGCGAAAGACATGATCCCGCCGTGGCTAAGGCGATTCGGATGCAAGAATCCAGCCCTCCGGTGGGCGTGCGGTGGCTGGCGGTGTCCCGCCGTGGTGTCCCGCGTTGTCCTGATGGTGTCCCGCGGTGTCCCGCCGTGGTCGCGCGAGGGGAATGATCCCGCCGTCGCTAGGGCGATTCGGATGCAAAGACCAGCCCTCCGGTGGGCGCGCGGTGGCTGGGGGTGTCCCGCCGTGGTGTCCCGCGTTGTCCCGATGGTGTCCCGCGGTGTCCCGCCGTGGTATCCCGATGGTGTCTCGTGGTGTCCCGTGGTGTTCCGTGGTGTCCCGCGGTGTCCACACGGTGTCCCGCGGTGTTCCGTGGCGTCGGGTGTGTGAGGTCGATCGTGAGATCGATAACGGCCGAGATCGTCATCACGGTCATCGCGGCGCAACATCGCGAGTGACAGCACATCGCGGCGCAACATCGTCATGACGCGTCGTCGCCAACTCAAGGGCGCGCCACCAGCATCGTCATCATCATACCCATCGCAGTTGCCAGCGGTTGGTTCTTCCCCCTCCCCCCAACCTCCTTATCACCCGAAGGGTGGTCGTATAGGCAGTTCTATATACGCACATAGAGGTATGACGGATGTCCATATGCATGTTTATGCATACGTCTATATGCCCAACCAACTCTTGTGCTTGAGGGTTCTCGCATGCCTTTCTTTCGTACTTGGGCGGTCCGCAAAGTTGTTTCCACCTTGCCGCTTCGTGCCGCCTCGTGGGCGCTCGTGGGTGCCCCGTGCCCTGGGTGGGTCCTGCGAGGTTGCGCCTCGTTGTCGCCGTGCCCCCTCGTGGGCGCTCGTGGGCGCCCCTTGCGCTGGGTGGGTCCGCCGAGGCTGCGCCGTGGTGGCGCCGCGCGCCCGCTCGTGAGCGTCTCGTGGGCGCTCCGTGCGCTGGGAGGTCTTCCCGAGGTTTCGCGCGTGTGGCGGGTGGATTTCCCGAGGTTTCGCCTCGTTGGCCCCCTTGATCACATAGAGTGCACCGCGTAGCTTGCAACGCATGACGCACAACACATAGCTCACGCGTAGCTTGCACGACATAGCTTGCACCACACAGCGTAGTCGAGGTATCTCCCACCACACACCTCACACCACATGTATTACACACCATACCTCACAACATATAGCTCACACCACCGAGCTTACATAACATATCTTACACTGAGTACTGTACACACCATAGCTTACACCAAATATATATGACGCTGCATGGCTTAAACAACATCTCTTACACATGATGCTTGCACATCATAGCTTGCTCAGCACAGCTCACACCACACAACTTACACCGCATAGCTTGCACCACACAACTTGTACAACTGATCTATCACCTCTACGATACATTAACTCACTGTTTGGGATCTACGCCGGGTAACATGATGCTGCTGAAAGACTTCGATGGGCATTCTGGGTTTTCGCTACGCTGGCGCCCAAGCCCGCTTGTGGGCGCCTCGTGGGCGTTCCGTGCGCTGGATGTGTTTCCCGGGATGTCTCCTCGTTGGCGCCCGCGCCCGCTCGTGGGCGCCTCGTGGGCGCCCACTGCTTCCCGTGGGGCGCCCGTGCCCGCTCGTGCGCGCCCCGTACGCCCGGTGTGTTGCCAAAGATTTCGCCGCGTTGGCGCCCGTGTCCGTTCGTGGGCGCCCCGCGGGCACCCCGTGCGGCTCTTACACCACATTGCTTGCATACGAGATCTTCCCTCCATGGGTTGAACCACATATCTGGCAACTCATGACTCACACCACATAACTCGCACGACATGGCTAACACGACGTAGCCCACGCCATGTCTAGTACATTGGTGAGCTTGCACTACAGCGCGCGAACTACTGAGCATACACAACATAGCTCACACCACACCACATAGCTCACACCACATAGCTTGTACCACTTAGCTTGCACACAATGGCTTACACCACGTATCTCACACCGCAGCGAAGCTTACGCAACATAGCTTTCACCAGGTAAAATGCACCAGCACCACAGAGCTCACACCGCAAATGTTACCCAACACACCTTACATAACATAGCTTGCACAGCCTGTCTTCCACCTCCAGAACGCAACAAGTCACTGATGTAGTGTCCACGCTGGCTCACACACGCACACACATGCGCATATGAATTGACATACAGATGTATGTATACATATATATATATAGATATAGATGCAGTTCTAGTGCTTATATATATATATAGATAGATAGATAGATAGATCTGGTTGGCCAGGGCTCTGCAGCATCGATGTCACGCGGAATGCGGTTCCCTCGTCCGCCTCCCCCAGAGGCTCATGGTGCTGGCGGCGGTCTGGCCTGTCAGCTTGAAGATGTCGTAAGCGACTTTTCCGAACCACTCACCGTCGAACTCTTCGGAGAGGGCAAACCCGTACACGCCTTCGCCGGGCTGCACTCCCCGCCGTTTCCGCTCACTGTGCTAGGCAGTTCACCAGCACGCCCTTGCGAGCCGATCCCCACGCTTCGCCTGGCTGATGCATGGCCTCACCATGTTCAGAGAAGGGGGAAAGAAGGGCCATGTTCAGAGAAGGGGGAAAGAAGGGGGGTCCAGGGGAGGGAGGCGAGGGTGAGGAGGGATTGGGAGAACGAAGGACCTCCCTGTCCCCATCCTTCGTCCCCATACTGTATGTCCGAGATAGCGTGGGCATTCGCAATCCACACCAGCACGTAAGGACGTCACCCTGTAAGTTGTGTAGCAAAATCCTTATCAGCTGCGTGCCATGCCAGCTGCGCATCTTGTTCTGCACATGTTCCCCTTCTTCTAAGTGGTCAAGTCATTGTGTCAATGATTTCCCACCAAGCATTAAACGCGGAGCCATCATGCCATTGTCGATGGAAAGAGCTGAACCAACAACATGGTGCTAGAATACATGGGCTTCGACTAGCTTGCCAAGAAACGCGAACAGGCTGATTGGTGGAGCCCATCTGTGTTCGACTGAAATCGAACGGCTCTTCACTCCTCGACCCCCGCCTATCTTGCCTGGGAAACACAGGAGGCTCCGACTTCTGACTGCTCGGTCGCAGACCGACTTTTTCCACACGCTACCTGCACTATTCCCATTCGCCGGGGTCGTTGGAATCGGTTTCTCAATCATTCGGGCACGCGCTGACATGGGTGGGGGTCCATGGATATGGCGCGTTGGCACCAGATCCACATATCGGAGAAAGTACCCCCCCACACTTGCAGCCAGCGCCGCAAACTTGCAACCAATGCCGCCTCATTTGGGCAACGCAGAGCGTCGTTCTCGAAGGATAACGAGGACAGTCGCTCGTCCACGCGCAGTGATCTATGCTTGCGTTTTCTCGAATCAGTCGCCCTCTGCACTCCTCTCCTCCTTCACTCGTAGGCGGAAAACATATGCGTACGCACGGCCTTGCGGAACCGTCCCCTGGGCCGCGGATGCGAGGCGTTTGTCCGCGGATGCCCCAACCAGAACGTATCCGTGCGACCGCGTATGCGCGGTACCGCCCCCCGGAAGAGACCGCGAGGGCGCGGATACGGATCTGTTCGCCGCTCGTGATGCAGAGGCCTGCCCTCCCGCGTTGTACCGAAGGTATCGTGTGCCGAGGATCGAGGGGGGAGGAGGAGGAGGAGGAGGAGGAGGAGGAGGAGGAGGAGGAGGAGGAGGAGGAGAAGGAGGAGGAGGAAGGATGAGGAGGAGGAGGAGGAGGAGGAGGAGGGAGGATGATGATGATGAGGAGGAGAAGATCTGGGCTCCAGAGATCTTGGCAGGCCCCCGCCCCTTTTGCCTTCACTGTACATCAGGGGGCCAGCCAGGCAGAGGCAGCCTGGGTCTCACGCGGGTTCGCCGCGCACTGTTATCTGCTTCCATTCCCCATACCGTACCAACACGACAGGACGAAGGGATCGCCCTGAACCGGCGTGGCACAGACGCAGACGAACGGAGAGAGCACGTGCACGTGTATTGCTTCGCTTGTTTCAGTCAAAAACATTGTTGGACTCCCATCACTCAAGACAGATGCCCCCCCATAATCGACGTAATGACGGCCCCTGCCCAGGAAAGACATGGCGGGGCGCAAACTGTTTTCGCGACGTCAGGGCCATCATTGGAAGTGTTTGTGTCAGCAACAGTTTGACTCTAATTCCGGACAGGCGAATGCTCACAATTGGAAATTCCAGGGACGACCGAGTAGCCAGTCCCGGACCAGAGTGGACTAAGGCAAAGGCAAGGGTAAAGATGACTCTACCCAGCGCCCAGAGGCACTCAGGATGTTCATTGCTAAGGTCATGTCAATCACGAGAGCTCAATTGTCATACCTTCCTCGTCATCAGGTCAAAGCATTCGAGGAGCCCCCGTCCCCTGGTGACATCGAGGCAGCTCGCGAATATAAAGGGAGAGTGTACCAACAGACCGATGCATTAGCAAACATGGCCATGGCATCGAAGACGGCGAACCGTCCTTGTGATGACATCCTTTTGGGATTAAGCATTTTGAAGTACATGATTCAGTTAGCGGCCAAGGTGTCCACACAGCTAGGGCAGCTATGTACAAGAAACGAGCAATTACAGTACAAGCTGAAAGCACTGAGAGACAACGTGGTTGACATGCAGGAGAAAGAACATAACACAGCGCATGATTTAGATATGGTTGTCAATCACACAAATGAGGTGAAGGATCTTGAGCTCTATGAAGTTAAGTTGACTACAAGGAGGATGATGACCATGTTTTCGCACCATGTTGGCTGGGGCCATTGGGCGTGCGAAGCACTTTGGGATGGATAAGCAGAAATGTGCATTATGGGATCGAGAGTTGCGTCTGGCTGTTGTCTGCACCCCATTAGGCTCACCTGAGCCCAAAGATGCCCTTTTCGAATGCCCGTCTTGCACATTTGTTGCTGTCACCCAACAGTCTCCGAGAGCCCACATGGGACGGTACCACAAGAAATTGGGGACCCCCACGTCTTTGGCGACAGGAGCGCTGTGCCAGATTTGCTTGACAGACTTCAGGCGGAACGTGAGACTGGTACAGCACCTTAGGAACTCTCCGACCTGTTGCACATCGTGGGCGCAGGCACCGGTGGGTTTACCCACCAGCGACGAGTTGGACGAGGCCCGTGCTGATGTCTGCGCGACAGCAGCAGACAATCGGAGGCGAGGCTTGTCCGATGCCCATGCGAATCTCCCGCCAGTCCGTTGCACAGGACCGCCCATTGGACCGACAATCAAGCGCACCAGGGCGCAACAGAAGGCAGAGAGAGAAGGTTCATTCTGCACCTCTTCTCGGGATTCAGGAGAGAAGGCGATTTTCAATGGCAAGTAGAGAACATTGTTCGAGACCACCCTGTGCAGATTCAAGTGCTGAGTATTGATGCTGCAGTGCACCCTACGTTTGGGAACTCACCTCTCCCGAGGCAGCGGAGTTGTGGGTGCGTATGCTACGCTCCGGGCGTATTGCTGGTGCCTTGGCAGGACCCCCGTGCGAGACATGGGCCTCTACTAAGTTTACTGAGGCCCCTGCAGATGCCCATGGCGGTTCCAGGCCTCCTAGACCACTCCGCCTAAAGCAACAGCTGTGGGGGGTTGGATATCTTAGGGCACGCGAACGCATGCAGGTCCAGGTGGGCAACGACCTGTTGAGAGTTACTATCAGGATGATGTATGAGGCCTGGGCCCACGGGATCCCTGGGATCATCGAGCACCCCTCTGTGCCCGATAGACCCCCTGAGGCCCCTAGCTCCTGGTTTCTCCCGCAACTCAAACGACTTGCCATGATGCCTGGTGCTACCCAGCATCACGTTCACATGTGCATGTTTGGGGCTCGTGTGCGCCAGCCCACCACCCTCAAGTGCACACACCTCGGGGCCTTGGAGGAGCTTATTGTGCATCAGGAAGGACAGGGGAAATGCACGCACAGGTCAAGACATCGTGGCATGTTCGGAATCGGTGAGGAAAGAAGTTGGCTCACCGATCAAGCCAACACTTATCCGAGGAAGTTTTCTGAATTTCCTAGCAGCTGCAATTGTGCAGCAGGTCGTTCGGCGATTCCCCCAGCTCGACGCTTCGAGCTCCGTTCGCACACCCATAGCTTTGATCTCTGTGAGGCCACCAGCTGATTGGACAGCCTGTGACGAGAGACAGTTGCGAGGTTGCATTGCCATCGACACAAGTTGCGACGGATGGACTGTTCCGAGGGGGTTGCGTCCATTCTGCGCTCCCCTGGACCCGTACACCATAGGGGGCGTCTCAATGGATTGCATGATTCATAATGGATCCATAAGGAGTGCCCCACCCAGCGTATGACGACGACGGTTTGCTTCCCTATCTTCTTTTGATTGCTCTCTCAGTCATCTCTTTCACACTTTATGAGTTGCAATCTCGCCACCTTGCCATTTTTCCGTGAAGGGCCATACAGCGAAGGGAAGCAGGGTCCAAGGACTCCGCCAGATGCGCCATCTTTAAGGCAGTACCTGTATGGTGTGCATGGGCATTCCCATGCACGCGCCACTGGCAGTAACGGAGGAGTGACAGGTTTGAGGGGAAAGCTCTTCTTTTCCGCCCTCTCTGTCCCCTTGTCCTGTCTTCCCTCGAGTGTCCACCCACTTTAAAGGTAGTACCCCTGGCCCGCTCAGTGCGGATAGCGCCTTTGCGCTTGGCAGTGCTTGCTGTTGTCTCCTGGCTCCTGCTTGCTGCTGCTCTCTGCCCTGTTCTTCACTCATTGGGCCTCTCTCTCATCCATCCATTGGCGTCGACTGTCTGCCTGCGACCGAACCGAACCGAACCGAACCGAACCGAGGAGGAGGAGGAGGAGGAGGAGGAGGAGGAGGAGGAGGAGGATCGAGGATCGAGGATCGAGGATCGGGGTTCGCCGCCCGTGAGCAGCTGCTTCCTGCCCCCGCTGCCCGCAGCGGGCGAACCCGCCCTGGCTCGAGCTCGGCGTGCCGACGTGCGCCCAGGGCCCGGCGCCGCGGGCGGAGCGTGCTGTCGCGATGTCCGCTCGGCGGTGCGCCCAGGGGGTGAAGGCAAGGCTCCTCCTCCTCCTCCTCCTCCTCCTCCTCCTCCTTCTCCTCCTCCTCCTCCTCCTCCTCCTCCCTCCTCCCTCCTCCTCCTCCTCCTCCTCGCCGCCGCGCTCAGAGCACGCGAGCGGAGAACGTACAGTCGGAGCGTTGACCTAAGGAACCCCAAATAAGGAACGAGGCCCCCTTTCTTCCATAAGCTAAACTTCGATCTCCGATCGAGAGCACAAGGAAAACCTGAGGCAAGCTGTGAAACACTTCAGGAACGCGGAGCCCCTCCCCAACCAAGAGGGTTCCTTCTTCAGGGCCCCGACGGTATCCGTATCCGCGCCCCCGCGGCCTGGATTCCAGGGCGCGCTCCCGCGGATACCAGGTCGCGTCGCACGGATACGCTCTGGTTGGGGCACCCGCGAGAAAGCAGCCTGCACCCGCGGGGTGGCGGCCCAGGGGCCCGGCCCCCGAGGCCGCAGTGCAGCGGCATCGGCGATGCGGAACGATGCCTGGACCCCACCTGCTTGGACCCCCCCCCCGACAGAGGGAGAGGCGCACGCGGACCAGGAGGGATTGAACCGGAGGCACGAGGCCACTCGTCATCCGGAGGGATCCCCTGGACCCCCCCCCCCGACAGAGGCAGAGGCGCACGCGGACCAGGCTCGCCCTTGTACCCGGTCGTCGGCGTCGTCCGGGCGGCCCCGTACTGGGGCCTCGGGCAGCGGGCGCCCGGCGCCTTCGGACAGGATGCCAGTGGCGCGGATGCGCCGAAATTAGCTTGCCTCTCTCCTCTCTCCTCTCCGCTTTCCCTCCCCCCTCCTCCTCTCCTTCCTACTCTCTGCTTCGCCTCTTCCTCCTCCTCCTCCTCCTCTCCATCCGTCCCTTTTCCTCACATCTTCCCCCGGACCTGTTTCAGGGGCGGGTCCAGCCGCAGCGGCGGGGAGACCCCTGGAGGTCCAAGAGGGGCGGAACGAGTCCAGGCTCGATCCTCCAACCTCGAAGAGGCGGGACAAAACACAAGGTTGCTCCGACGGAAGGACCCCGCATGATGATGTTTCTGTTGGCTTGCCTGGGAATATCCTCCTGCCTCGTCCTCCTCCTGCCCGCTCCTCCTCTCCCTGCCTCATCCTCCTGCCTCCTCCTCATGCTCACCATTCCTCATCCTGCCTCTTGACCTGACCCCCCCTTCTCCTCCTGCCTCCTCCTGCCTCTTGCCCCTTCCTCCTCTGTCTCCTCCGGCCTCCTCACCCTGCCTCATCTTCCTTCTTCTCCTGCCTCCTTCCTTAGGATATGTGGAGTAAGAACTCGATCACTTCTCCTGTCACGACCATCTAGCGCCCCCTTTGCATGACCGCTGGACCCTGCGAGAGGCCGTGGAAGTACTGGAACATCCAGAAGTCAGTCACCGAGTTGTCGCTCGCTATGCTGGCCCTGTGACTCTCGGTGATCGACTGTCGGCCGGGGGCTAGACAGGACGTCGAAGCAACAAAGATGAGGGGGACCGCTGCGGTGGGGGACTGCCTCGAGGGGGAAAACGCCGACCAGGAATCGGCGATACTTCGCTGGTAAATCGGCGACATCCCCCCGATAGCGAGTCCGCAACCTCCTGGGCGGGGTGGGCAGTCGGACCCATGCCAACGATTGCTGCCCCCCCTCTCCTGAGGCCGTCCCCGCCTTCACGCTGCCCCGGAGACGAGCGGCAAGGAGGGGGCTGCGCCCAGGTCTCCGACGATATGCTCTTTCGACCAGGAGGTTTTCCTTCGATTTCGGCCTCCCGGGCCCGTTCTCGGGCCCACGGGTCATCACAACTGGATTTGGCGCATGAAACATACCGATGGGAAGCGGTCGGGACCCCTGGGGCCGCGACATGAACAGATCAGATCGGCGGATGTCAGGGTGGAGGGGATGGGAGGAGGGTGTAGTCGCCGCCCGTCACTCGGATGCAGGGTGAGGCTACAAGACACTTGCGCATGGAATACCCTCAGAGGCTGGCCACGAATTCGGGCTAAGGATGGATCGAACGGCTCGACGCATGGGTATCCTTGAAGGGTCGCGCTTGACGCATGGGTATCCTCGAAGAGTCGCATCATCCGTATTGTGCGCGGCGACAGGGAAGGGTGGGAGACGGACAGGGCGTTGGGAGGTGGATTGGACAAGTGATGAGAGAGGGGGGGTTGGAAGAGAAAGTGAAGGTGATGGGAGGGGGGCGTTCTGATGCGGGCAGGGGGCCCGAGAGAACGCGAGGGTGCGCGACCAAATCAAGGGAGTGCTCTTGGGACTCGCAGCTCCAGGTCGGAGGAGCCCAAGAGGCCACCACGACGTCCCAGGAGGCGCCTCCAAAAGCGCGCTGCCGCCAGACCGCTGGAAACCTGCCCCCCCAGATGGGCCCATGACCCGCCAGAGGCCACCAAGAGGCTCGCAGAGGCCTCCGAGAGGCCCCAAAGAGACCCCCCATGGAACCCAAATAGGCCTCGCGGTAGGTTCTTGTCGTGACGGCCCCGGCGTTAGTTCCCGACCACGTGAGCATCGTTCAACCCTGAACGATCGGTGATCTTTCGATCGCCAGATCGTTCCATATTGGCAGATTCTGAGCTGCTGGCGGCGCTCAACCGTGAACGCCAACGCTGGGGTCGCCGCCACGTCGACGCGACACGAACCTACTGAGCTTGACTGTGGACTGCGTCTGCTGGCTCTGCTGGGGACGCATGAAGCTCGCGACGGCACAGCTCGCCGGCCACGGAGCCATGTCCAGCGCTGTCTGCACCACATTCAGCGCACCACCAGGCAGCACGACCCTGCGAGTGCGAAGCGACTCACTCCAGAGGCGGGGTGCGTGGCTGCGAATGGACCACCCTGTGCGCGAGGTCCGGCAAGGTCACTGCGCCTTGTCGCTGACAAGCCAGGGATGTCCAACGAGACAGCCCGACGGCCAGTGCACGCCGCAATCCCTGGGCCTGGGGGCCTCCAAGGTCGGGTGTCGCTAGAAGTGGTCCTGGCCTAAGGTGTCCCTGGCTTTTCGCGGCATTGTGGAGCCCCTGGGACTCTCTGGGCCTCGTGAGGGGTGCTCTGGAGGCCACCCGGGCCTGCCCAGAAATCCTGGGGACACCCTGGGCCAGGGACAAGTTCAGCAACACCCGGCAGGGTTCTGCAGCCTCCAGCCTCTGCGGCCCCCGGGTCTCTGGGCTGGTTGGCACCCAGGGTTCACCACGTGAGATCCACACGGCCATCCTCGCCGCGCGAAGCGCCTGGCCGCCCCCCCTCCCCTCCCCGCCCCCTCCTCGCCCCCCCGCCCGCCCCTCCCCCTCCCGCGCGTCCTCTTCCTCCTCGTCGTCCTCCTCCTCCTCCCTCCTCCTCCTACTCCTCCTCCTACTCCTCCCTCCTCCTCCCTCCTCCTCCTCCTCCTCCTCCTCCTCCTCCTCCTCCTCCTCTTCCTCCTCCTCCTCTTCCTCCTCCTCCTTCTCCTCCTTCTCCTCCTTCTCCTCCTCCTCCTGCTCCTCCTCCCCCGTCCTGCCCGCGCCTGCGTCCTCATCCCGCACGTGCTGCACGCCGCGGGTGCCAGACTCGGCACACGAAGGCGGTACGGTGGGCCGCCTCTACAGCAACTTGGACGTGGAGACGGCCGAGGGCACTGCACTGGTGGGCGCCACGCTCAGGGACAGTCCACCCCAGGGCAGAAGAACACAACCCAGAGACCCGATGCCCCGAACAAATGAGAGCAGCCGGTTTTTGGTATCGTTTTCGGTCTCCCGGGGCCCTCCCCCTGGCCGTCAAAAAACCAGAGTGAAGACCGGCCCTGGGGAAGAGGTCCAGACCTCTGGGGGCCCACGCATCGACAAAGATTTGGGGCACCGGATGTCTGGCGAGGTAAAGTCATCGTGCTACCACGAGTGCGAGGCGGGGATGTGTCCAGATCCATCGCCCCTATAGGGGGCGAGCATACGGGACAAGCTCGGGACCTTGACGCCTGGGGGCCGGGAAATGGATAGTGCTGCGCCGCAGCGTGCTGGCTCCTCCTCCTCCTCCTCCTCCTCCTCCTCCTCCTCCTCCTCCTCTTCCTCCTCCTCCTCCTCCTCCTCCTCCTCCTCCTCCTCCTCCTCCTCCTCCTCCTCCTCCTCCTCCTCCTCCTCCTCCTCCTCCTCCTCCTCCTCCTCGCTCGAGGAGCGGTGGCGGGACCGCGCCCGCGCAGGGGCCCCGACGCCCCTCCCGCCCTGAGGCGCCTCGTCGATGCTCGCCGACGTTCGAGGCTGTGACGACAACCTCGTCGAACCTGCCAGCCTCGACAGCCTCTCGGACGCGAAGCCCAGCAGCGAGCTCCTCTCCCCGGGCGGCGCGTGCAGCCTGCTGGGCATGCTCGCCCTGACCGCCAGCAGCACTGACTCCGCCCTGTCGACCTGGGCCCCGCCGGCCAGAGCCCACAGCTGGAGAGGGCCCCGATGGACGCGTCCGATCAGGCGGATCGGGCCTGCGGGTCGGTGGGGAGGGATCGGCAGCGAGGGGCCCCGGGATTCGCGCGTTGCAACTTTTGTCGCCCTAGGAGTTTCCGCTCGGTTCCGGGCCCCCGGGCCATCTCAGATCGAGCCAGCTCGGAAAATGCCGCAGAAAGATGGAGTCTAGAATCCAGGGCTCCCGTCGCGATTCTCGCGCTGCAAGTGTTTCCCTGCGGCGTCGGATCTGAGGGAGTGTGGGGGAGGTCTGAGGGGGAGGAGGGGGCTGGTTCAGGAGAGCTCCAAACGATGCCCCACCGCCAGCACTGGCCAGGTGTACAGGCCCTCCTGGCCTGGGCCCGGAGGTCTATACACCAGTCCAGGGCCCAGGACGACCCTGACCAGGGCTGGTGGCGGTGGTGCAGTGCCGGCGCCCCTCTGACGGTTCACGGGGGGGGGGCATCGGCTGGAAATCCGCGAACGCGTCGCCGCCACGGTAGCGAAACCAGACTATCCTCGGCAGGGTGGTAGGCCGGGGACCCAGGTCGGCGATGTGCGCGGGCAGCAGAGGCGGCGCTCCCACCCAATACCCCCCCCTGGGGTGCGCCAAGTTCGGGCTTCCGGTTAAGACTTGTTTTTTCCTCGACCAGCCTGTGTTGGGTTCTCGCTCTGAGCAGAGCACTGGTGTCCACTCCTTGTCCTTCTCCTCTCCCTCCTCCTGCGCTGCTCCCTGGGTGCGCTACTCCCCCGGTGGCTGCGAACTGCGCAGCTGTCGCCACGTTCGTGGGCTCCTGGGAGGTCCAGCGGAGATGAGGGCACGGGGGGTCCATTTGAGACCTCGTGGCTCCTCAAATGATGCTGCGAACTGCGCAACTGTCGCCACTTTCCTCTGCTCCTGGGAAGCACGGTGGAGGTGAGGGCAGCGTGGATCCAATTTGAGACCTCGCGGCTCCCTCGGGTGCTGCGAACTGCGCAGCTGTCTCCACTTTCGTGGCCTTCTGGGAGGCATGGCGGAGGTGAGGGCAGCGGGGTTGCACTTGAGACCTCGCGGCTCCCTCGAGTGCTGCGAACTGCGCACCTGTTGCTACTTTTGTGGGCTCCTGGGAGGCACTGCGGAGGTGAGGGCAGCGGGGATCCACTTGAGACCTCGCGGCCCCCTGGTATGCTACAAACTGCGTGCCTGCGGTCGCAACTTTCGCGGGCTCCTGGGAAATCCAGAAGGGTCGGCGGCAACGCGCACTCATACGAGACCTCGCTGCGCCCTGGGTGTCGCGAACTGCGCAACTGTCGCCACGTTCGTGGGCTCCTGGGAGGTCCAGCGACGTGCACCAAGCCGAGACCTCGTTGCTCCCTGGGTGGCTGCGAACTGCGCAACTGTCTCCACTTTCGTGGGCTCCCGGGAGGTCCAGCAAAGTCGGCAGCCACGTGCACCCAGCCGATACCTCGCTGCTCTCTGGGTGGCTGCGAACTGCGCAGCTGTCGCCACGTTCGTGGACTCCTGGGAGGTCCAGCGGAGTCGGCGGCCACGCGCAACCATACGAGAACTCGCTGCTCCCTTGTATGCTGCGACCTGGCAAGCACGGCGGAGTCCAGGGCCACACGGATCCAGCCGAGACCTCGTGGCTCCCTGGGAGACTGCGAAGTGCGCAATTGTCACCGCTTTCGTGGGCTCCTGGCAGGCACGGCGGAGATGAGGGCAGCGCAGATCGTGCATATCTGGCGATGTGTTCCTTTGTGTGGAGCGTTGATGCAACTACTCGCCTCACGTGGAGCAGGGGTTGGGTATGTCTCGGGTAATTGCTCAACGCCCTTGGGCTCGGCGGTTTAAACATGGGGCCCTGAGGGGATGGCGCCCTGAGGATGAGTAGCCTCAAACACTGCAGGCGCAGCTTGGGATTCATTTCCAATTCTCAGGGCCGCATCTCTTCGGCGACACGGCGCGATCCTCCGACCCCCCCCCCACTCGGACCCCATCTGGGAAGCCTGGAGCCACCGCGGCACGTAAAGGAACAGCGAGGGCGACGGTGGAATGGCCCTTGGTCTTCTGGTCATAACTAGCTTGGCTCTCCAGCGGCCGTTCGGGGCGATTCGGGCCCCCTGGAACTCTCTCGGCGAGGTGCAGCCGCTGAAGGCATCCCGAGGCTGGAAAACTGCCGAGACCCGACGAAACCCTCGCCCTCCCGCCCTAAATCATCCGACGACGCCCGACACCGCTACTCCCCCGACATCTCCCAGGGTGCGTTCTGGCAAGCTTTTCGAGGCATCTCCAGCCGTGGCGGCGAGGACCTCCCCTCGAGGCCCCCCAAAACGAAAACGAGGCAAGGCTCAGCAGGGGAGGCCTGGAGCTCGGGCCTCCTCCTGTCGGGGGTGTCTAGGAGAGGGGCGTTCAAGCGGGGGGTCGCATCCATGGCTCAAGGCACGTACTCCAGATTTCGTAATAAAGGGAGGGGGGTCTCATTTCGGGGGGGGGTCTCTTCCAGGCTATCTTGGAGGGCCTGGGGGGTCTGGGGACGATGTTTTGGAGGGTTCTCCCACGGGGGAGGTCTGAAATGGCTTGTCTTGGAGGGTCCAGACCCCCTCCCTTTTATTACGAAATCTGGAGTATCCGATCCAAGGGGGGCCAAGGGACCTGTGAATATCACACTAGTGGCGATGAATGCCGGAAAGACGTTATGGTCCCGGCAATGAGATCCCCCGCCCCACCAGTCCTCGCGATCCTCCTCGATGTCTGGTCGTTTTCGGGCCATGACTCGGGCCTCCTGAGGCTGTTCGAGACGACCCGGACACCCCCAGAACGCTCCCGACGAGACGAAGCTACTGGAAAGCACCCAGAGGCTGGAAAACAGACTGGAGACGACGAAAACGCCGCACCACCTCGAACCCTGACATCTGACGCTGCGAGAAAATTGCAATCTTGTTGCATGCAACATCACGGCCTCGAGCCCCGACCCACATCTTCCTGAGGCATTCCTCGAGCAGGCCCGGTCTGCGCGGGTCCCGGGGCGCGAGATCCGGGAACGCGCCCGCAACGTCGGGGCCTCCGGGGACCTCGCACTTCGCGCGTCGAGCCCGGCTACAGAAAGGCCCCTCGTGGCCGCCCTCGATCCTCGCGGCCTGGCGCCCGGGGCGTCCTGAGCCCCAGGCCCTCCCCCTGGCCCGGAACTGGCCCACGGGGGCGCTGTTGTCGCAGTGGCTGGACGCGTCGGACGCGGAGGAGCCGACGAGGCTCCTCGAGGGGCCGAGGGCGCCAAGGCAAGGATCGGATCGCCTCGGCAGGGGGGCGTCGTCGACTCTGCTCGAGCTCCCCTCTCCTGACGTCGGGTGAACATGAGGCGGGGCCTGCTCGAGCTCCCCTTTCCTCCCGCTCCTGACCCGCTGACCCACTGATTGTGGAAACGTCGTCCAGACGTAGCCATCCCCCCAGGGCTGGGTCAGCCCCGGGGAAGGACGATCAAACCAATAGCTTGGCGAATGGTGCCTCCTGCCGCGGCGATCCGCAGGGCCGACGGGGCCCCCCCTCCCTTGGGGGGCCACACGTGCGGAGCTTAAAACTCAACCGCGCCCTGCCCGGCGGCCAGAAACCACCACGGCCCCAACCATCCACGCCAGCCTGGGACTCAACATCTGAGCCCCTAAAAATGTCAACAGCGGGGCGTCCCTCCCGTCATGTCCTGCCTCGGAGTCCTGATTGTTGCCTCCTTTCTCTCTCCTCCTCCTCTTGGGTGGCTTCCCTCCCAAGACGAGGGGAAGGAGGGACTCAGCTATAAAACTTCTAGCAAGTCTACTTGCATGGAGGTGGGAGGGGGGAGTGGCGAGGCGCAAGGCGGGATACATTGTCGCCGTATCCTCCAAGCAAAATTTCGAAAGGCGGCGGGAGGGGAGGGGGAAATGCAATGCACATAAGTATGCCAAACACTAAATCAAAATGCGCTAAGGGCTTGGTTTCAAGGTTAGGCCGCTCGAAAGCATCGTGCCAGATGCGCAACGATCACGTTTTGCTTCCAGACGCTTCGCACATGTGCTGGTCTGCGTAGAGCGCAAGCATCCTCCCATAATTCACCGTTGCGTTTCTCCTCATCTTCTACGCTGCACCTAATTCGTTTGACCACCAAGTGAGGACGAGCCTGGCTCATCGGCCTCCTCCCCCCTCCATCCCATCCTCCGGTCCTCCGGTCCTCTTCCCCGGGTCGCTCACGTCGTGAAGCAAAACGACGGAGAATGTTGTTTCTGTTTGCAGCGTTCGACTATTGTGGGGCCCTCGCCAGGCCACAGGATCGTCAAAAACGAGAAGAATCGCGACGTCGGGGGTAAGGTGTCACCTCCTCCTGTCCGCCCCCCTGAGACTCGACGGTGCGAAACCACTGCGCAGACGCAAAACTTCACGAGCGGAGCCCCAGACCCCATCTTTCTGCGGCATCTCTCGAGCTGGATGGATATGTGGCGGCCTCGGGGCCCACAGCGGATTGAAAACTCCCGGCGCACCAAACTGCAGCGCGTGAGTCTCAAGGGAGGAGTCTGGCTCGTCGGTCACCTCCGCCCTCCCTCCATCCATGCCTCCATTCCACCTCCAGTCCTCACCCCCCCTTTTACATCCGCTGATGCGTTTTTGTCTTCAATTCGCGGCTCGAAGAAGTCCCGACAACTTCTCTGGGCCAGAGAATAAACCCCTAGAGGGCCGCAGTCCAGGGAGGATCGCCGGTTTAAAGCGTCGCATCGTCCGCGAGGCGGGAGCGCATCCATATCCACTGCCTGGGAACCGACGCCCTGGTGCCCCATCGGGCGGCGGATATGGATACATGTTGGCCCCCGAGGGTTCGATTCTATACATAACCACCGCCTGTGGAGGTCCGCGAGGATCGATCCCCCAAGCGGTGGGAGATGGATAAATCCCCGCCTCGGATCGTCGGAGATCGAGCCCCTTCTGCGCCCCCCCTCCTGGTAACGCTCCTTTCCGAGCCCATCGACGGCAACGACGTTCGGCTCAGCGATTTCCGCTCGATCGGCAGGCCGTCGCCCCTCTGGAGAACGTGGTCGAGAAAGTGCTCCACATCCTCGGGCCGCAGCTTCGGGCCAGGGAAGAAGAGGAGGAGGGGGAGGAGGAGGAGGAGGAGGAGGAGGAGGAGGAGGAGGAGGAGGAGGAGGGGGGGAGGAGGAGGAGGAGAAGGAGGAGGGGAGGAGGATGAGGAGGAGAAAGGAGGAGGAGGAAGAGGAGAGGAGGAGGAGGAGGAGGGGGAGGAGGAGGAGGAGGAGGAGGAGGAGGAGGAGGAGGAGGAGGAAGAGGAGGAGGAGGAGGAGGAGGAGGGGAAGGAAGGAGGAAATGGGGGAGGACGAGGAGGAGGAGGAGGAATAACAGGAGAAGGAGGAGGAGGAGAGGAGGAGGGAGGAGGGGGAGGAGGAGGAGGAGGAGGAGGAGGAGGAGGAGGAGGAGGAGAGAGGAGGAGGAGGAGGAGGAGGAGGAGGAGGAGGGAGGAGGAGGAGGAGGAGGATGAGAGATATCATGAAAAGAAGACGGCACTGAGGACGACGCCCGCAGTGAAAGTGCGACGCGCCCGCCCGACCCCCACCCCAGGGGAGGGGCGCGACCTGGCCGAACGGCCTCGCGAGCACCAATTCGACGATGGCGATCTGGCGCACGGTCTGCTTGCGCCCCTGGCCGCGCAGGACGAGGATCATGCCGTCTGCGGGCTCGGGGTCGCCGTGCGGCAGGCCGAACTGCCACGCCCCGCGCCCATCGGGCCAGCGCACTCGGTCACCGTAACGAGCGCCGCGCAGGTCCTCGGCGCTCCCCCCCTCGCCGCCGAGCCCCCTGCTCCAGGCGACTCACGAGCAGGGAGTGCCGCAGCACCATGTTGGGCAGCCCCGCGCTCGCGGTCAGGCTGACGGCGATGCCGCCCTTGTCCTTGTTCTTGTCCGTGCCGTTGCCTGAGGCTGTGCTGGTGGGCGGGCGGCCGCCACGCACAATCGGCAGCGTGTCGGCCCAGCTATCACCTTCCAGCATCGGCGAGGGGCCTGCCGTAACCCTCCAAAACTCCTGCCCCCGCCTCCTCACCGTCATCAGCTCCACCAGTTGCGACGGCCTGCTCCCCGTCCACCACCATGCGCGCCGAGCCACCGCGGCCGCGAGGGGCAGCCAGGGCCTGCGCCGGGGGCGCCACGGCTGGCGCGGGAGGGGTTGGCCTGGCCAGCTTGGCCACCACCGTCCTGAGAAGCCCTTCAGCAGCACGCGCGAGCCGAGCCACCTCGCGGAGCTCGGCGCTGCTGGCAAGCCCTGCAGCCGCGTGCGCCACCAGGACCGCGCCGCGCAAGGCTTCCAGGGGCGCAGCAGCGCGGGCGTCCGCCGTCGGCCGCACCGGCGACGTCGCGGGACAGAGTGCCGACCCAGCTAGGCGCAGCGTGAGCCGAAACCAGCTGAGGAGGGAGGAAGAGGAGGAAGAGGAGGATGCGGAGGAGGAGGAGGAGGAACAGGAGGACCAGTGGAAACCCAAGAGTCACCAACGATGGTGGAACAACTTCCCTCCAAGCTCCCTCCTCACATGCCCCATACAGGGGTTATTTCCACTTCGTGAATCACTTTTGCGAGAGAATCGTTGGAAGACCCTGAAGCAAGGCAAAGTATCTTTCTCGGGACTCCACCGCCACGAAGCAACTTGACTGGTGCGTCTTGACGATCCTGAACCCTGCCAGAACACCATTGTTGGGATTTCAATACCACGAATCAGCGTAACTGGTGTGCCCTTACACTCCTGAGCCCTTCCAAAACATCATTTCGGGTACGTTGACTATGATAATCCGTGAAACGCTGGCAACTTTTTGAAACGCATGCGCGCGGCGCGAATGCGGTAACCACATGTTGAAAACGAACCGCTCTCAACCCGTGAAACTCTGGCACGTGTTTACAACGAGTGTGCGCGGCGCTGAGGCGAGAACCACATCTTGAAAACCACCCACAGTCAATCCGGGAAGCTCTTGTGAATATTTGAAACGATTGTGCGCAACGCTCAGGGGAGAGCCACATTGAAACCACCCGCCCTCCATCTGTGGAATTGCTGCCAACTTTTAAACTTCAGGGTCATGAGTGGTGATCGGCCTGGGGGTGCGATAGGGAAGTATAAGGGAAAGGAATGGAGGAGGGAAGGAAGAAAGGAAGGAGGGAGGAGGGACGAGGAGGAGGAAAGGAGGAGCAGGCGGAGGAGGAGGAGAAGGAGGAGGAGGAGGAGGAGGACGGAGGAGGTCTATGGGAGAGGAGATGGAAGAGGTCGAGGAGGTCGAGGAGATTTCAAGGAGGAAAAGGAGGCGGTCGAGGATGGGTCCGAGGAGGAGGAGGAGGAGGATGCGGAGGAAGAAGCGGAGGACGACGAGGGGGAGGAGGATGATGAGGAGCGACCGCACCGAATGAGTTCGGACCTACGGCTCGGCAGCGCGATCAGCAGCCGACGGCGGCCTTTGCTGCTGCCAAGAACCGTGCACTGAAATGAGGAAGTGTTGAAGACGCCCCCTCGCGCATCATACTCCGCCTCCAGCTTGTGATGCATGTAAAACGCCAAGGCATTGCTTTGATGCAAGCGGGTGGATAATCCAGCTCAGGATCAGGCTCCCTGCCCCGTCCGAAGCGAGTGATGAGGGACGCGGGCAAGTGAGCACGAGGCAGAGCAAGAAAATGAAGCAGGCGAGGTCAACTTATGGAATGGCCGGAATTATGAAGGGTTGGGGACTCGCATCCAAAAAGACAAGGTCGAATATCCATAGCTGGGAGCCCAGTTGAGGTTGTCCAAGCGCTGGCTAAAGTTTCAAAGGTGGGCCCAGACCCAGGAGGGCGGAGTTTGCGCAAGTATCCTACGGATCGCGGCCCATCCATGGCTGATCTCATCATCTGGGAGTTGAGGGATGGGGGGGAGCCGGGAGTAAATGCGTCTTCGGAGGAGCACCATGACGTCAAGGAACAAAGATAGCTGGAGTGACCGAGCGAACACTCGCTGTGGGCGGGGGCGACGGCCGTCCATCACAGCAGTGCGGAACTCCACATTGGCCGCTGCAACGCTCTATTGCCAGGAGTGCTAGGGGATATCAAGCGGAGGAATTGAGGAACGCGATGCAAAGTACTCGACGATGCTGACGAGATTCCTCCACCACTGACTGGAGGGAGCAAGTCGGATGAAGTCCACGCGAGGGCCATGCATCCAAGCATGTTGCTGCAGCTGCTTTAGCGAAGCCCTCCACACACCCACCGACCACGCCTCCAAACTGTGGTGTGCTGTCCGTCACGCCGCTTCAACAGCGAAGAAGACGAGGAGGACCCTGAGATCCGGTTACTGCATTATGTTCACACCTTGCGTTTTCGCCTAAGTCCTCGCCCTGGGACCATAACAGATCGATCCGGCTCGAACATTGCAGCAGAAAGACGGGATACAGGGCTCCAGCCAGCCTTGATTTCCCCCCATGTTGTACTTGTTTCGCAGTGTCCGACCTCAGATGATGAGGAGGGCGAAGAGAATGACCCATCGTTACATGATGTGTGTCTGTGTCGAATATCCGGACCTCTCATCACCGGCGATGCTAAAAATCGTGGTCAGCCGGAGGTCTGGACCAAGGGCTTGCCAGCCAGAGGTCTGGTGAGGAACAAATCCTGTTTCAAACGCAGTTGCCCTTGGGTTTACAACATCAGATTGGCCCTCATTCATGTAGAAAGACACAACGCGACTCCACCCGCCCCAGCCAACCTGCACACCTGTGCGGCTGCGACCGCGCACTTGAAGCCGACGAGGGAGCCGGTCTCGGAGGCCACGAGACCGAAGCTTTGGGCATGGTCTGGGTCGGGGTCGCGGCTGAGGGTGCGGGTGAGGACCTGGGCGAAGGCTGGGCAAACGAGGCAGTGCCGTATGTCGTGCGCGCAGGCGGGGCAGCCAACAATGCACGCGGCACCCTCGGCGTTGAGGCGAGAACGCGTGGCAGTGACGCCGACATACCACCTGAGAGCACCGAAGGCCCAGGATGGGGGAGTGCTGCAGGAGGATGGGTCGGATGTCCTAGGCCAGGAACGACCAAGCAATGGGAAGCCCGAGCCATTTGCGCCCTCGACGAGTGAGCGCCTGCCGAAGAAGGTCTGGGATTAGCTCGGCGTCGGTGCACGCCTGCCGCACATCCTGGAGGCAAATTTGTGGGTCCCTCCGCCGTTCGCGGATGGAGGTCTGGAGGACTCGCGGAAGAAAAGCGTGCAGCTGAGGTTCCAAGAGCCGGCCCGAAAAGCACAGAGAGCAAGGGTGCATTGTCGGGGGAGAAGACCAGATGGCCGGCCCCCCTGCCCATCCGTGCGAAGTCTGCAAGCTGCAAGGGCAGAGGAAAGGATCGAGCAGCCCGTGAGTCTGGCATGCAAGCCACGCCACTCGGGGAAGGCCTTCGTGGCTGCAATCGCCGTGCACGCAAGGCACTTGGGAGAGGATGCTCGACAGACTCCGCCTCAAGCTTCCAGGGAAAACCCATCACCCCACCTCCAGGGGGATCCGGGAAGCCTGAAGAGTCGGCTCCCGAACCAGCGGCTCATGCTCCGCAGGGGAGCGGGAGAGGGGGGACAAGACTGGAAGACGTACGAGAGCGTCGAAGCAGCGCGGGAGGAGTAGCAGTGAGCTGCGAGCCTTGCCCCGACCCCCTCCGTGGTGACCTCAACCGCCTTCACCCGCCATTTCTGCAACGTGGCGGCGAGATTGGCCAGCACCGCCGCCCCTGGCCCGACCACCGTTCCCAGGTACGTTCCCGCATCGCTCACGCGAATACGCCCCTACCTCGGCTCAACGGCCTCCGGCCTCTCCCGGACATCGCTCACGACTCCCGGTGTGGTCTGGGTCCAAGGGGGGATCGCTACACATCTTGCTACGGCAGGTTCGTGCTGTGTCGACCCCGGCTTTGGTTCACGACACCGCGGGGATCGTTCGACCTTGAACGATCGGCCGTCTCCGAAACGCCTGCGGATTGTTCAACACCGACCGATTCTGGGGCGGCGGCGGCGTTCAACCTTGAACGGCTCCCAGACGACGCGACGCGAACCTTCTGTAGCTTAAGCTTCAGATTGGCGAGCTGCGCTGTCGCCGAGAGCCCTCTCGCCGCTTGTCCCACGGCCGGAGCAGCCGCGTGCCGCTCGACGGCGAGGTCATCAGCAGCGGGTGCGGGTGACGCCACTGCGGGCCTGGCCGAGGAATGGATTGCTGGCGAAGGTGAGCAGCGCTCGGCGAGGTCTTCAGCGCCAGCTGCGGGTGACGTCACGGCGGGCCTGGTCGATGGCTTTTGAGAGGGCCTCGAGGGATGGAGTGCTGGCGAAGGTGAACAGAGGGATGGAGTGCTGGCGAAGGTGAACAGCAGCGCTCCCGAAAGAGGGCGTGCTTGCAGCACGCCCGAGAGGACCCAAGCAAAGGAGGCGTGCGCGCCGTGATCGAGTCTGAGGGCTCGGGCGCAGCTGTACAGCTGCGCTGCCAGGCAACGGAAGCCGCTAGGCAGACCGAGCCCCCTCCTCCCCCTCCTCCTCCCCCTCTTCGTCCTCCTCTATCCCCTCGTCCTCCTCCTCCTCCTCCTCCTCCTCTTCCTCCTCCTCCTCCTCCTCGGCCTCCCGCGCAAGGAACAGCCAGGCCTGCGCCAGAGACGGAAGCGCCTGCGCGCAGTCGAAGAGCAGCCACAGCGGGCGCCTCTCGACTCCCCGTGGCCGCGCGCTGGCGATTTGGAGCCTCCGCGCCGAGCTCCACGACGTCGAGGCCCGGCTGCCGTCCTGGGACGAAGCCGCGCTGGAAGAGCGCCGCCTCGATTGGGGCGCTGCGGATTGAGAGGGTGCCGGCGGCAGCGCAGAGCTCGTTGCCCGCGCCCTTGAGCCATCGGGCGACAGTGGACTGATCTCGCCAGCCTTGCGGACGACGTGGTCGACGCGGTCGCCGTAGTTGTCGCCCTTTGGGGGGCACTCACCGCGAGCCCATCGTTGACGGCGAGGCGCCTTGGGCGGCAAGAGGCCATCCACCCCACGCAATTAGTGAGGACCTTCATGGCGATTGGGGTGTCGCCAACCGCCGTATGGAATGCCGTCGGGTCCTGACGCGGAGTGCCGCGCCCTCCTGAGCGCCTTCTCCATCGTGCCGGGCCGAGCGGCACCGTGAAACGCTCTACGAACCGGCGCGCCGCCACCACGTCAATGTTCGGCACCTCCTGGAAGATGGGCCGCCAATGCTCCGCCAGGGAGCGATGCATGGCCTCCCCACACACACAGGGTCGCACCCCTCGGTGACGGAGACGCCCCAGAGGAACTTGCACCGGCGCGAGGGCGTCCAGGTGGCGGCCTTACTTACCAAAGCGCGCTCCTGTGCGATCACCCTGCGCTTGCCCGTGCCGTGACGTGAGCCATCGAGAGTCGGCCGTGCCTCCTGCGGGGCCAGCGCAGAGGCAATTTTGCTGCAGCACGTGGTACTCCAGATTTCGTAATAAAGGGAGGGGGGTCTCATTTCGGGGGGGGTCTCTTCCAGGCTATCTTGGAGGGCCTGGGGGGTCTGGGGACGATGTTTTGGAGAGTTCTCCCACGGGGGAGATCTGAAATGGCTTGTCTTGGAGGGTCCAGACCCCCTCCCTTTTATTACGAAATCTGGAGTAATCGTCCGCCCATCATTCGTGGCTCTCCGCGCGAGCAGCGCCACCTTCCACGGAGAAGTGCGCCCAGAGGCCCCCGAGCGTGCTGAGCAGCCTCCGCATCCCGCTGCGGCTGCCGTCGCCGGAGAGCGCGGGCGGCCCACCGCGCGCCCGGGGCCCGGAATCTGGAGCTCCGACGGGTCGGCGAGGAGTTCCGGATCCCTGTGCTCGCACGCCTCGGCGGCGATGCTCCGCGCCATCAGATCGTACGGCGCGGGCGGCACGAGCGAGTCGAAGTCGCAACGGCCGCAATAGCGGCCCATCCGCTGCTGGAAACGAGGCGACTTGGTGCCTGTTTTGCTTTGGATTCGGGCAAGTTTACTTGCATGGACGGGGGGGGGGCTGAGTCTGAGGCGAGCCGAAAACAATTCGACGTGCGGAAAACACGCAAGTCGAAAGGCACTTGCACGCTTGTGTTCGATTGAAGAGGGGCGAGGGGGGAGGGGGGGGGGGGGGGGGGGGGGCGAATGCCATGCAAGTAAGCTTGCCTGGATCTAAAGAAAAACAGGCTCCGAGGCGACTTGAAAGAGAGCGCCGGGATGGGCCGCCGCCGCCGAGCGCCAGGGTTCCGCCACCGCCGGAGGCCGCGTGATCGCTGAGCTGAAGCGCCTCCGTCTCGTCGTTTGAGCGGTCGGAGCTCGCCTTCTGCCAGGCGCCGCCAAGCAGCCAGCTTGGGAGGCTGAAGAACATCCCGTCGAGCCGCGAAAAGAAGTCCCCGCGGCGGTAAGGCTTCGCCCTCGAGGGTGAGCTTCGACTTAGAATATCGACTTCCGCCGCTAGAGCAAGGGGTCTCAACTTCGCCATGATTCCCACCTGGGGGAGCACCTTGTCCTTCTCGGTTGCGATGGTGATCATGCACGGGTCGGGGATCCGCTGCCAGACCCTCGAGACGGGCGTGCACGGTTTCCCCCGGGGCCGTGGGCGACCCGAGGAGGAGGAGGAGGAGGACGAGGAGGAGGAGGAGGAGGAGGAGGAGGAGGAGGAGGAGGAGGAGGAGGAGGAGGAGGAGGAGGAGGAGGAGGAGGAGGAGGAGGAGGAGGAGGAGGAGGAGGAGGAGGAGGAGGAGGAGGGAGGGGGAGGAGGAGGGTGCGGAGAAGGAGGAGGAGGGAGGAGGGAGGAGGGAGCAGGGAGCATGGATGAGGGAGGAGGGAGAAGGAAGAGGAGGGGGGGGACGAGAAGGAGGAGGAGGAGGAGGAGGAGGAGGAGGAGGAGGAGGAGGACGGGTCGCCTAAGCAGTTCGGAGAAACCCCCCAGACGGGCGGCGCCGGGACCGTGCTGCTGGCGACGATCAGGCCGGCACGCATGTCGATGAGGTCGTTCGCTCCCTAAGCGCTTCGAGCTCGACGAGCCTCGCGCCCTGGGCCTGCTGGTCGGCCCGTACCGCGTGCACATCAGCCTCAAAACGACCCGCGAGGGCTTGGGTGGAGGTGGGCCGTGCTTAGAAGAATCAAAAAAGGCTATAAACATAAACTTTTGGCGCTGCGCGTGGATTTCTTGGATCTGCGCTGGGACCCCCCTCCCTGGCGCGCGGAGCGCGCCAGGGGCGGCGCCGGAGGCGCCGCCGAGGGGGCCCAGCGCAGATCCAAGAAATCTGCGCGGAGCGCAAACAGTTTATGTTTTATTGCATTTTTCCTTCTTCGAGTGTTGGCGTTGATGTCGGCAGTGAGCTGGGTGGCGTGATCCTCCATCATGTTCGCCAGGAGAGCTTGAAAGACTTGCGTCGGCGGAGGCGGCGGCAGCTGCTGCCCAGGGGCGCGGGGAGGCACTCCGTGAGGGACGCCTGTTGCAGCTCCGACTAATACGAATGCGTGTCCAGGCCCAGACTCACTTGCTGTGGCAAGGTGCGCAGCACCGCCAGCAGCGCTGCCAGGAGGAGGATGAAGAGGAGGAGGAGGAGGAGGAGGAGGAGGAGGAGGAGGAGAAGGAGGCGCAGGAGGAGGAGGACGAGGAGGCGGAGGAGGAGGAGGAGGAGGGGGAGGAGGAGGAGGAGGAGGAGAAGGGAGGAGGGAGGAGGGAGGAGGGAGCAGGGAGCAGGGATGAGGAGAAGGAGGGAGGAGGGAGGAGGGAGGAGAGAGGAGGGAGGAGGGAGCAGGGATGAGGAGGGAGCAGGGAGCAGGAGGATGAGGAGGAGGAGAGAGGAGGGAGGAGAAGGACGAGGGAGGAGGCGGGCGACGGGCGTTCACAACGTCCTCGGGTCACGGCTTCGACACCATCCTGCTCCTCCTCCTCCTCAGCCTGAGCCTTATCCTCCTCCTCCTCCCCCTCTTCCTCTCGGCGGTCTTGGGCGACAGAGGCCCAAGCCAGAATGACCAGCCCCTCCCTTTTACCCTCTATTTCCTGTCATTTCCAATGTTTGTTTTTGCTTATCCGAATGTGTTCCTCCTCGTCCTCTTTATCGTGTCTGGTCCTGCTGCTGTGTATCCACCCGTTGTCCTACTGGCCTGCCTCCTCCCGCCATCTCCCTCCCACATTCTCTCCCTCCATAATCACCGTTGCCACCCATAGCCATTATAGCTGTCACTATAATTCGCGGCATCAATCAAGGTTCCTTGTACATGCTTGCAAGAGCCGCTGTGACCTTTGGCAGCCCACTTCTCTCATAGCAGTGCATGGAGGTCGGATGTGCGAATTGAAACGGTGGGCAAAATTCATGGACCGTGTGCTTCAACAACGGCCAGCGCGTTGTGCATGCAAGCACGTGGTATACTGCACTAGCGGGTGCTAACGAGAAACACTGTTACCAGCTGGCGTTTTCGACACATACCTGCAATCAACGTCGCGGGAATACGTCTTCGTATTCTGATTGGGGGCCGCATCAAAACATATTTGAACGGGCCCCAGGACACACAAATAAATACACACAAATAAAATGATTCCCCATATGTTCAATATGTTTTGAATGTTTGTTTTCCCCCCCACTTCCCATATTTTCCCATATTTTCCTGGGAGTGGACGATTAATTGTGTCTGTGTTTTACCCCTCTTGAAAAGTCTTGCAACCTGGAAGCGTAAACCTCATTCTTATCAACACCGCTCCTGTCATGGTAGCAACAATATCAGCATCACCACATCCACCATCGTGCTTGTCCAGCGAAGCTTGCATCGAGGATGGTTTGAAGCAAATGAGTCTCTGCAACGGCCGCCGCAGCATAACTCAAGGGGGCAGAGAGCGGTACATCAGAGCAGGGCGGAGAAGACGAAGAAGAAATAGATTGAGGGTGTCGGGGAGGAAAGACGGGGAGGAGAGAGGAGGGAAGGCTAAGAGCAGGAAAGGAAGGGAGAAGAGAGGACAAGAGCGTAGGCTAGGCGAGGGAGATCCTCGAGGTCCCAGGACTTGAAGAGCCCAGTTATCATCGGCAGCAGCCCGTGGCAGCGCACGTTCTGCGCCAAGATGTGGGCTGTGAGCTCCCGCGCGCTGAAGCAGCTTGTGGCCTCAAGCGCTCCTACCGAAGTTCTGTCCTGTCCTTCCCCGCGTCCTCACGTCGTATCAATAACACCTTGCCTCTTCCGCTCTCTTCCGTGCACTTCGCTGGGGCGCTGCCACACGAGACCTGCGCACGGAAACCAGACACTGGAGCCTCCGACCTCCAACCAAACTTCTCTGCACCCCCTGCCACCTCCTGCTGCCACCTTTCCTCATCCTGGCTCGAGAGACCCAAGATGCCTCGTCCGGTTTCCATCCAACTTCGACTCGGTGGGCGCGCCACACCGTGACCAGTCATCGCTAAGATGTGCCGACTCCGCAAGAGCAGCCTGGAGGAGGACGAGGAGAGTTGGGTCCCCAAAATCGTGCGCTGACGGACTGCGTGATGAACTCGGAATCCCCAACAAGATTGGGGCGTTGTCGCGAGGGGAGAGGGAAGTGGATAGCGTGTCGCACCGAAGCGTGAACGGCCAGATCCGGCTGAGCGACACGCCAAGCCAAAGCTCCTGACCGCATGAACATTGCTTGGCTGCGATGCTAGCCGGAGAAGAAGCGGCAACTCCCCCCTCGGCCGGCGGCCGACGGCTCTCTCGGCACTCTGGCGCGCAAACTTCTCGGTCGTCGCGCGCTTCCCAGACATCCGGCGCTCCGATTTGTTCGATGCGCACGGACCCTCGGAGCTCTGGACCACCTCTTCCCCAGAGCGGGCTTTTCTTCCTGAATCGTTTCTTGACGGTCCTGGGGCCCTTGACGACCCACCACAGGCAGAGCATAGCAACGAAACCCGCCGCTCCAATTTCTTCGGAGCGTTGGATCTCTGGGGAGGAGGAGAATGAGGAGGATGAGGAGGATGAGGAGGAGGAGGAGAAGGAGGAGGAGTGCCACACGCGAGAAAGGCTTCCAGCTGCGACCGCGATCTGCGGGCGTCGCCGTGGCGTGAAGGCGATCAACCGTCGGTTGTTGAACGACAAGGCGGACTCCCTGAACATAGCCACGAAACCTATAGTGGGCCACATGCGAACCCTGCCCCTGCCCCTCAGAAAGGGTAAGGGTCGGGTTCGCATGTGGTCCCCTAACCTACCCACTTTGGTGGAGGCCTGCCGGCAAGTATGCCGAGACCATGCACGCATGGAGAAGCACGGGCGCGCGCGAACGGACGCGGCCCAGAAACGAGCGGGGTGCAACATCCGACATGGGATACAGACTCGACCCGACGGCATCATTATCATTGCTACCACCGCCCTCGGGAGGGCGCACGAATTGCGTAACAGGCAGTCTAAGTACGAGAACGAGCTGCGTAACAGGGAGCCCAAGTACGAGAATGAGCTGCGTTACAGACAGCTGGAGGACGCGAACCACGACGTACCATTACGACACCAGCCACCAAGATCGACACCAGGCACGACACGAACGAGCAGCCCAAAGGGGTTACTAAGTACGTCCTCGTGGAGGTGCCGGTGGACCGCGGCCGCGCCGCTCATGACAAGTACGACTACGACGCCCATAACAGGCACGGCGAACACAACTGCTACGACGAATGCACACACACCGCATACGGCTTCCTCGCCTCGCCACCAGAGCTACGAGGGCAACAAGCGGAGCTGCGAGATCCACAAACAGAGCTACCAAAGCAACCTGCTACGCAACGTGGGCCACCGGCGGAGCTACGAGGGCAAGAGGCCGAGCCCCCAGCACCACCCCCGGTGATACGAGGGCCACCAGCAGCGCTTCGAGAATCACCACCTGCGCTCCGAGGGCCACCAGCAAAGCTTCGAATACCACCGGCCGAGCGCCGAAGACCACCAGCTGTGCACCAGGGCCACCTACCGAGCTACCTGCGCGTGGCCAGTACGATCTCCCGCATGGCGCTGGCACCCAGAACGTGGAATACCACGACTTGGCAGCCGAAGATATTGACTCTGATCTCGTGGACTCCGACATCCAGAAGGACGTACCGGTGGACGTGGTCCTGGACTACTTTCTGGGCCAGATGTCCGAGCACGAGGAGGGCATCAAAGCTGCGCAGCGAGGACCAGCGGAGCTCCGACGACCAGCAGAACCACAAGAACCTCCAGGAGAACTCCGAGGACAACGAGCCGAACTACGCGCAACGAACATTTCACACATTACGGCCCCCCAACGCGGTTAAAACCACTGCCATGGAGCTTCCAGAGCCACAGGCAGAACTACGGAGACTCATCAGCTGAGCTGCGAGAGCCGCAAGCAGGGCTGCGAGCGAGGACCACCAGCTGAGCCCCAGGAGGAAGAAGCGTTGAAGGATGAGGAGGGCCCGAGCAGCGAATTCCAGGGGGTCCTGACAGCGGGTGATGCAACCAGCCGAGCTACCAGGGCCACGAGCAGAGCTACGGGGGCCACCAGGCGATCTACCAAAGCCGCCAGCTCAACCACCAATGCCACGAGCAGAGCTTCGAAAACCACCGTCAGAGCCACGAGGCCCACCCGCTGAGCTACGAGGGTCCCAACCTCGGCTCCCAGGGCCACTGGCAGAAATACTACAGCCACCAGTAAAGCTAGCAGGACTACCAGTATACCTTCGAGAACCACACGCCGAACTACGAGGATCACAGGCGCAGCTACGAGAACCACCCCCAGAGCTACATGGACCGCAAGCTCAACTACGAGGGCCACAGGAGGGGCTACGAGGACCACCAGCTGAGCAACGAGGGCCGCAAGGTCAGCTACAAGGGCCACGATTATGGCAACGAGGACCACCAGCTGTACCACGAGGACCACCAGCTGAGCCACGAGAGCTACAAGCAAAGCTACGAGGACAACCAGCTGAGCTACCAGAGGCACCAGCTGAGCTGCGAGAGCCACCTGAGGAACTATCAGGGCCACCTACTCAGCTACGAGAGCCACCAGCGAAGCTACCAGGGACACAGGCTGACCTGCGAGAACCTCCACCTCAACCACGAGGGCTACCAACTGAATAACGAGGACTACAAGCCGAGCTGCAAGGGACACACGCAAGGTTGCTAGGACCACCGGCTGAGCTGCGAGAGCCACCAGCTGATGCTGGGCGACGAGGGCCGCAGAGCTACGAGATCTAGCAGAAGTGCTACCAGGGCCACCAGAAGCTCTACCAAGGCGCGTGAAGTGGGTCAACCGCCCGCTTCGTAGGGAACGCGTAGGTACAGCGTGAATTTGATTGCGATGTATACGTCGACACAGGTTATATTAACGTTCTTCGAGTCGGGAACGCGGTGTCCTTCATCTGTTCGCTCAGCAATGGCAAGGTGCATCCACCCAAACTACGGAGGCGAGGCCGACCTGCCTGAAGCTGGAAAATGTGACGTACTGCTTCAGCGACGCGGGCAATGGTATACTGGTATACGTGTACGGTGTACACACAAGGTACCACATCTATTTCATTAGCGCTGTCGGTATCATCATCACCATCATGTACAACATTGCGGATCAGGTACTCCATGCACGGCTCTACTGGCAAGGTGCTAAGTCTACGGCATGTACCGCTCCTGCAGTTGTGTGGCCCCACCACTCTACCCCTCTCCTTTCCTCGGAGACCTCAGGAGAATTCTGAGTGTGTGGGCGGCCCTCACCGCCGCCTCCTCCCCCCTCTTCGGAACGGGAATGCCCCGCACCGTGACCAGGTGGTGCGCGCTTGCGCGTGCCGGCTAGGCGCGTCGCGGCGACCGCGTGGGTGACGCGTGAGCGGCTGCGAGATATAGAGAGGAGGAGGAGGAGGAGGAGGTGAAGGAGGAGGAGGTGGAGGAGTAGAACGGGGAGGAGGAGGAAGGAGAGGAGGAGGAGGAGGAGGAGGAGGAGGTGGAGTTGGAGGAGGAGGAAGAAGAGGAGGGAGAGGAGCAGGAGAAGGAAGAAGGGGAGGAGGGGGCGGAAGGGTTCTGGGTCCCTCCCCCCTCGGCCGGCGGCCGCCCTCGGCCCTCCGGCGCGCAGGTACTCGGCCGCCGCGCGCGCTCGATCGATCGAAGACCAGCGCCGGCGGTGCGCGGCCCGGCCTCCACGCCGGACTGCACCGCCAGGTTCCTGGACTCGGGCCGGACCAGCATGAGGCGCAGCTGCGCCTGGCGGCGCGTGGGCAGCGGCAGTCTCCCTCCCAGGACTTCCTCCCCAGAGGTCCAACGTTTGGCCAACGTTTGGCCGCTTTCGGCCTGCCCTCGACGGGCCCCAGGACCGTCAAAAACGACTCATGACGAAAAACCGGCCTCAGTGAAGTGGTCCAGACCTCTGGGGATCCACGCGCATCGGGGAGATTGGAGCGCCCCATGTCTGGGTTCTCATCCTCCCTCCTCCTCCTCCTCCTCCTCCTCCTCCTCCTCCTCCTCCTCCTCCTCCTCCTCCTCCTCCTCCTCCTCCTCCTCCTCCTCCTCCTCCTCCCAGGTCCCTCTCCTCCCAGCTCCTCATACGCCGATCTCCCCTCCTCCGCCTCCTCCGTCTCAGCCTCATTCTTCTCGTCCTTCCATTCCCTCATTCGCCTCCTGCCTCTCCATAAATTATCCGTTCTCCTCCTCGCGTTCCCACCACCGATCCTCTCTGCTTCCTCCTAATTCTTCCGACGCCTCTCCTGCCTACACCATCCCAGCTCCTCGTCGCAAACATCTTTTCCTTGTCGCATCAACAGTCGTGTCTGTAGGGTGGCTCGTGCGTTTTGCCTTAGAGGTCCCTGCACATGATGGTCATGGCGCCTGGAGCTTCCAACAAGTACACGGACGGAGAGTGGCCTTTGATTGTTATATATAAATGTATTTCTCGTTATCTCTCTTGCGTTTTCTTTCGTTATTTATTTATTTCTTTCTTTCTCTCTCTCTCTCTCTCTCTCTCTCTCTCTCTCTCTCTCTTTCTCTCCAAACATGACGATCGCTTGCGACTTCCTCGTGTTCGAAATTCCTTTGAAAACCAAATAAGTGCACGGATGAATCACTGACGGGTGGTCCTGAAGTTTGAGCTTGTAACTTACAACCTTTGCGCGGATGGACAGTGAGCCGATTGTTTGGTAAACGTACGGCTTGAGGGCCCGCGCTTTGAATGGTCTCCATTCTTGCGAAGCAGTAGCACGGCCACCCGACGCATCGAACTGAACATGCGCTCCTTTGCTGCGAGATGTCCTGTGGCTCTGGTTCTAAATCCATAGTTTGGGGACAGCTGATCTTTCACGGTCGAACGCTGCATGGATGCCCCCTGGGCGCCTCCCCCCCGCCAGCCGCCTCCTCCCCCCCCCCCGGATGCCCTTCACTCCCCAGCCACCCATCCGAGCGCGGTGGCGGATCTGCGCGGCAGCCACCGCTGAAGGGCGGATCGTTTTCAAAATCGATGTGTCGCTTGCATCTTCCTGCGTCGTGTGCCCCCTGAACCCCCCAACGGCCACAAGACCGGAGCGCGGTCCCTGACATCGAGATAGCGCTGCCGACCTCCGCCCAATACGTGGACTGCGCGTTTGACATGCTCTACTTCACTACACCTGCACGGACGGAGAGCGGTTCCTCCAAGATCGCGCTCTCGCCACGGGAACACTTGAGGCTGAACATGTCCACCAACAACGCTGACGGCGGGCGGCTCCTCTTCAAGACCGTGCTCTCGCCACGGCGCCGCGCACACTCTTCCGAAACCGCCTGCCAACTGCAGGTCGGAAGGCGGCTCGCTCTCAAACTACTTGCATGGTGCCACGTCATGCGGTCGACTCGTAATCGGATCGTTGGTACGCACCGCTAGGCCGATGAGGCTCTTACAGCCCGTTCTTGCCAGCTCCTGTGGCGGAGCCACAGGGTTCTGGCTCGTTCGTCTTTCCCAAACACCCTGTCGTCTGGAATTGAAACATCAGTGACATGTCCTGGATTTACTCTGGTCCTCCTTTCTGTCCTACTCTCTCCTCGCACTTGGCCCACATCTATTATTACCGTTGCTCTCTCCAGAAGATTCGCCACAATCTCTCGCTTCCCTCTCCCCTCACCCCCATGCACCGTTGCTCACACGTGCTTTTGCTTCTCCTCCTCCTCGTCGTTCTCCTCCTCTCCCCCCCGCGATCGCGACCTCCGGGAGATGCCGAAACGTGCACGCCTCGATCCGCCAAGCATGCAACTCCACACAGCCTTCTGCCGAGTTGGAGCCACGGAAGTAGACGTCCTTCATTTCTAATCGTGCTCATTTCTAAGTGTGCTCGTTTCTAGTTGCTCCTGGCCCCCTGGTGACCAGGAAGGGGCCCAGGACAGAACAATTGGAAATGAAAGGATCTTGGCCCCCCAAAAATTCAAACAATCTTCGAACACTTAGACGTGAACAACGTGTAAACTTCTCCCAGGAGCTGGGGCATCTTTCAAAAGTGTCGCCCTCTCCCCGACGCCCTCGCCCGACCGCCTCCCTCTCCCGTCGCTTCCCTGTCCCGGCTCCTCCCCGCCCCGTCCCTCCCTCCCTACCTCCTCCTCCTCCTCCTCCTCCTCCCACACTTCACCCCACCCCCTGACCAGGGGGTACAGCTTCCGCACGAGCATGGCCGTGTAGATGTTCTGCCCGTCGTCTTCATCCGGCGTGAGGCTCTTCATGTCGGTCAGGATGAACGTGAGAACACTTGAGCCTGGCAGGTCAGGTGGGAGCCTGGGAGGGCAGAAGGCAAGAGGTGGGCGAGAGGAGCAGCAGGATCAGAAGGGCGGTAACTCAGGAGACAAGGATGAGGAGAACAGGGGAGAAGGCAGAGGATGACGACGACGAGCACCATCAAGCGGGTTCAATTAACAACCCCCTAGCCCGCGGATGCCCTCCTCAGGCTACATGTGTGAAGCCTTGACTCTGCACTCGACGTCTTAAATGTGAACATTTCACCATGTAGGTTTACCCGAGGCAAGTAAGACATGTACACATCCACTGCTTAAGCTCTGCAAGGGAGCTGCGTACTCCATAGTGCAATCCACACCATGCACCTTGTAGCTGGTGGACTGAGGACTGATCTGTTGGTCTTTGCGTGGTGAGAAGTAGCGTCGCACGCATTCCAAACACACCCCGCGGCCACGTGCCCAAGGCATCTGAATCCAAAACAGGACCTGTAACCGACAAGCACGAGCGGAACATACACAACGAAATATTGCGATTGCAGCAACGGGGCCGCTGAACATTAAACCACAACCACCACGATTCGTGGAAAACGTGGCCTGGGGGACTAATGCCCTGGTCCCCCAGGCCACGCCTTCATTAGCAATGGGGGGCGATCTTATCTCATACTTTGAGGGCCGATTGTGAGGCATCGAATCCCCGTCAAGAAAATCGTCGTAAACGATGGTGGTTTGACTCGTGTTCCACCCACGGGGAAACCATTACAATGCTGGCGGCCCTCTCCTTCCCGGCGGCACCACATATCCTTGCACATCCACATCGGCACGGGCCTGCCGAGTCCGCAGACTTCCCAGGCACACGCCCAGGCACACCAAAATGGTCCAACTGGCCCCTGCCGATTTTCACGAAATCATCCCCGAAGACCCTGGCACCTGGCGCCTCCCAAGATGACCCGAGGAAGCTGCAATGTCGTACCAACCAACTGCGGTGCTTTTGAAAAATCATGTCTCTTGACACTCCGCACAGTCAAACAACCACAAGCCGAAGTTGATCGATTTTTCTGGGCAAAGAAAGCGCCATGAGCGCTCTAATGGCACTGAAACTCCGCAATTCTTTGTACATCACAACCCCCCCCAGACGCCACGAATATGACCTCAAAATCCTCCCCATACAGCTTGCAGTTACTAGCGGCTCAACACTTTCAATAATAGTCGATACTGGAAGTTTTTGGGAAACTTCAGACCGACAGAACTCGCAATCAACTTCGACGGTTGCTGGAATGCGTCGCACATCCCAGGGACACCCTCTCTCCACAGCAAACATAGCTCGTGGTTCCAACAACATGCGCGCAAAGGTCTCCTAGGCCGTGGCAGAACCCCTGAGTACCTCCAAGACTCCCCCAGTACAACTTCCAGACCAGCAGTAGCACAGCAAGCAATATCTATAACATATTCAAAGACAACGCTGATGAGAGTAACTTCAGCAAAACAGAAGCAGCAACGACAGCTACCTCGAGAACTGTCGTTTCTCCCTAGTTCGAGTGACATCGGATGGCCTCTCTGAAACCCTTGGACCCGTACCTCGATACAGCGTATTATTCGGTCTTTGTTTGTTAGTCTACTTCTTCTTGGTATAATTCCCTACCTAGGCTCTGCTTGGAAAGGTTCTTACTCTCTTGGCTTCAGGGGGCCGGGCAGTGGAAACCGCCCCGGGCGGTTCCCCCAGTCCCCTGGGAGCCAAGCAACAACAAAAACAAAAAGCAAGCAAAGCCAAGCAAAACCAAGCAAAAGCAACAGCAACAGCAAAAGCAAAAGCAAAGGCAAAGGCAAAAGCAACGGCAAGAGCAAAAGCAAAGGCAATACAAAGCAAAAGCAAAACCGATGCGAAAGTGTAGATGTAGATGTAGATGTAGATGTAGGTGTAGCTGTAGATGTGGATATAGGTGTATATGTAGATGTATATGTAGATGTAGGTGTAGATGCAGGTGTGAGTCTCGCTGTTGATGTAGATGTAGATGTCGATGCAGGTGTAGATGTAGATGTGGATGTAGATGTAGATGTAGCTGTAGGTGCAGATGTAGGTCTAGATGTAGATGTAGGTGTCGATGTAGATGAAGGTGTAGATATAGGTGTAGATGTAAAGAACTCCCCAGTGCCCCGCCCTCATCTCCGTGCCTGCTTGCTTTTGCTGCTGTCTCGGCGACTTGCTGCCTGCTTCTGCTGCTGCTTCACTTACGGCGTGGCGTCGGCGGTTCTGGCGCTACTACTACTACTACTACTACTACTACTACTACTACTACTACTACTACTACTACTACTACTACTACTACTACTACTACTACTACGACTACTACTACTACTACTACTACTACTACTACTACTACTACTACTACTACTACTACTACTACTACTACTACTACTACTACTACTACTACTACTACTACTACTACTACTACTACTACTACTACTACTACTACTACTACTACTACTACTACTACTACTACTACTACTACTACTACTACTACTACTACTACTACGACTACTACTACTACGACTACTACCTACTACTACTACTACTACTACTACTACTACTACTACTACTACTACTACTACTACTACTACTACTACTACTACTACTACTACTACTACTACTACTACTACTACTACTACTACTACTACTACTACTACTACTACTACTACTACTACTACTACTACTACTACTACTACTACTACTACTACTACTACTACTACTACTACTACTACTACTACTACTACTACTACTACTACTACTACTACTACTACTACTACTACTACTACTACTACTACCACTACTACCACTACCACTACTACACTACTACTACTACTACTACTACTACTACTACTACTACTACTACTACTACTACTACTACTACTACTACTACTACTACTACTACTACTACTAACTACGACGACGAATACTACTACTACTACTACGACTACTACTACTACTACTACTACTACGACTACTACTACTACTACTACCGCTACTGCTACAACTACGACGATGAGGAGAAGGAGGAGGACGGCGTTTACCGCTTCTACTAATGTTGCTTTCCTAGAGGCTCCAACTCCTAGGTAGGATCGCACTGGGACAATCATTATTGTGCTTATTCTTCTTCTTCTTGTCGTCATCGTCATCATTCGTATTCGGTGTCTTCTTCTCTTCCGCTGCTGAGGGCGAACGATAAGGGGGGACCTCCTCAGGTGAAACGTCGAGCTGGAATCAGCCATACATCGCCGATATCCCCCCGACAGCGGAACCGCACGTTCCTGGGCGGGGCGTGCTATCGGGCCCCTATCGGCAATCCATGGGCAATCCGGGGCCGATGCGCCAATGCATTCCCGCCCGGAACCCCTCCCCCCCGAACGTTGCCCCTTCATGGTTTTCGGGCCATTTCCCAGGAGGTCCCAAGAGGCCCCCAAGAGGCCCCTAGCAGGACCCAAGAGGCCCAGAAGAGGCCTCCAAGAGGCTCAAAAGAGGCCCCGAGGGTCCCCACAACGGCCTCCAGGATGCCTCACAAATGTACCCATGAGGCCCCCGAGAGACCTACCACGAGATCCCAACGAACACTGAAGAGCCCTCCGACCCCACTCAGGCACGGTGGCGGCACTGGCCGAAGGCCACTACATAATCGTAGACGTTACCGTCATCGTCATCATCATGATCAGCCTCCTCTTCCTCCTCCTCCTCCTCCTCCTCGTCCTCCTCGTCCTCCTCCTCCTCTTTCCCCGTCGTCGTCATCGTCGTCGTCAACCGTCGTCGTTAACCCGTTCGTCGGTCGTCGTCGTGATGATCCCACTCGTCGACCGTTGGTCGTCCGTTGTCGTCGGCATCGTCCATCCCAGGAATAGCATTAAAAGCGCCCCGGATCGGCGGCACTGGCCGAAGGCCACTACAATAACCAAATATTTCAAGATTCCACCGTGATGGCGCAAGGCGGTCTAAAACATCTCTTGCGAAACGCGCATGCTGGCTTCGATCCCTGACGGACGCTGGGAAGAGAGGTTGTCGGTGCAAAATGGAGGAGCCACCATAGACACACACGCACACGCGGACGTATACACACAGACAGACAGACAGACAGACAGACAGACAGACAGACAGACAGACAGACACACAGACAGACAGACAGACAGACAGACAGACAGACAGACACACAGACAGACAGACAGACACACAGACACACAGACACACACACGCAAACATAAAATGCCGCGGCAAGGATGGCGGCAGCAGCGGCGGTGAGAGCTCGGCTCGGCTTGGTGATGACGTCGCATGCGGGGCCACGGACAAACGGACTTACGAAAGGGCCTCTGGCGACGACCACGGCGACACTTAAGGCCTTCCAAAGTGGGTCCGAGTACGCATGTCCGATTTATTGCCGATGTATCGGCGACGTCGGCGATGCATCGGCGACGACGGGGTGGAGAATATCGGGCTCCAGATCGAGCCGCATCGCCGATGCTTCGGCGATGCGGCGCGATCACTCGACCCCTATCCACTAGGACCCCATCTGAGAGGCCTGGAGACACCGCTGCACGCATACCTTGAGATCCGTCGTTGCAGAAGTTGCGGCATCGCAGACAACAACGACTGGAACCCTTGACCCCGTCTTGCTGTGGCATGCTTCGAGCGAGCCAGATCGATCCGTGACGGCCCCATGGCCTGAAGCTGGGCGAACGCGCCCAGCGGGAAGAGAGAGGCAACGCCCGGATCCCAGGGGAGCAGCAGTTATTGGTACCAGAAAATCCAGACGAGAACGCCTGGCTTGAGAAACAGAAGCAACGCCGGGATCTCAGGGACACCGCGGCACGCGCAGTCAGGAGCAGCGAGGTAGACGGCACAGCGGCCGTGTGCGTGCTGCCCTCCTCGCTCTTGTCGCCCTCGTCTTCGCCCTCGTCTTCCTCTTCGTCGTCGTCGTGGTCGTCGCCGTCGTCGTCGTTGTCGTTGTCGTCGTCAACGTCGTCGTCGTCGCCGTCGTGGTCGTTGTCGTTGTCAGTGTCGTTGTCGTCGTCGTGGTCGTCGTTGTCGTCGTCGCCGTCGTGGTCGTGGTTGTCGTCGTCGTCGGCCTCGTCCTTGACGTGGTAGTCGTCGTCGTCGTCGTCGTCGTCGTCGTCGTCGTCGTCGTCAGCGTCGTCGTCGTCGTCCTGGTAGTCGTCGTCGTCGTCCTGGTAGTCGTCGTCGTCGCCGTCATGGTCGTCGTCCTTGTCGTCGTCGTCGTTGCCGTCGTCGCCGTCGTGGTCGCGGTTGTCGTCGTCGTCGTCGTCGTCCTTGACGTGGTAGTCGTCGTCGTCGTCGTCGTCGTCGTCGTCGTCCTGGTAGTCGTCGTCGTCGTCGTCGTCGTCGTCGCCGTCGCCGTCGTCGTCGTTGTCGTCGTCGTCGTCGTAGTCGTCGTCGTCATGGTCATCGTTGTGGTCGTCGTGGTCCTCGTCGTCGTCTTTTCGTCGTCTTTTCGTCGCCGTCGCCGTCGTTGTCTTCGTCGTCGTCTTCTCGTCGTCGTCGTCGTCGTCGATGTGGTCGTCTTCTCGTCGTCGTCGTCGTCGTCGTCGTCGTCGTCGTCGTCGTCGTCGTTGCCGCCCTCGCAGCAGGCTGGCGCGCTGGGCGGCCGCACGGCCAGGACTCGGACGGGGGCAGGGGCGCACCGACGTTGGCGCGGCGGAGGGTCTCGGGGTCGGTGGAGCTGCCGACGAGGAACCACCTGGGCCGCCCGGGGGCCAGCGCAAGGAGCACACGAGGCGGCGGCGGCGGGCTCATCAGGAACGCGAGTCTGAGTTCGGCCGAAACTGAAAACAAAAAGTTAGCTCTGGTTCCTCGAGTGCGCATTTTATGCGGTGACTTAGCACGTGGGGGGGGCTCACGCGCTCCTCGACTCACAGAACGGACATATCCCTGTGCACACGAGGAGGCGGGTGGAGGGCAGGACGCAGGCGGCTGTCGGCGTCGCCATCTGGCGGCGCGCCGCCGCCATGGTTCGCGCGCGCCTGCCCGCGCTCACGCTGGAAGAGGGGCGCCTGCTGGTCAGCGAGGCGGCACCGGCGTGGGCTCGAGGCGGCCGCGGGCTAGCGTTGCGCGGAGGGGTTGGGGTCGTGGGTTCCCGACAAACAAAAGATCCTGGCGAAGGACCCAACCATACGCAAGTGTGAGAGAATCGCACGGCAGGTGGGACAAAACAACAAATATTCCCAATGGGGCCACGAAGCGTGTGAACGGGTGCGCCAAAATGGCGCGGGGCGACCACGCGAACCCTGCCACAAGCGCCTTCGGTGGAGTCCCCTATGGGGCCACGAACCGTGTGAGGGGTGCGCCAGAAAGGCGCGGGGCCGCCACGCGAACCCTGCCACTGGCGCCGTCGGTGGAGCTCCCTATGGGGCCACGAACCATGTGAACGGGTGCGCCAAAATGGCGCGGGGCCGCCATGCGAGCCCTGCCACTGGGGCCTTCGGTGGGGCTCCCTATGGGGCCACGAACAGTGTGAAGGGGTGCGCCAAAATGGGGCGGGGCCAGGTCTTCGGAGCTCCTTATGAGGCCACGAACCGTGTGGAGGGGTGCGCCAAATAGGGCGGGAACGTCATGCGAACCCTTCCGCAAGCGCCTTCGGTGGAGCTACCTATGGGGCCACGAACCGTGTGGAGGGGTGCGCCAAACTAGGGCGGGGCCGCCATGCGAGCCCCTGCCACTGGGGCCTTCGGTGGGGCTCCCTATGGGGCCACGAAGCGTGTGGAGGGGTACGCCAAAATGGGGCGGGGCCGGGTCTTCGGAGCTCCCTATGCGGCCACGAACCGTGTGGAGGGGTGCGCCAAAATGGCGCGGGGCCGCCATGCGAGCCCTGCCACTGGGGCCTTCAGTGGAGCTCCCTATGGGGCCACGAGCCGTGTGAACGGGTGCGCCAAAATGGGGCGGGGCCGCCATGCGAACCCTGCCACCAGGGCCTTCGGTGGAGCCCCCTTATGGGGCCACGAGCCGTGTGATGGGTGCGCCAAAACGCGGGGCCGCCATGCGAACCCTGCCACTGGCGCCGTCGGTGGAGCCTCCCATGGGGTCACGAAGCGCTGTACTGGGTGGGTGAAACGCAGGGAGGAGGGAAGGGAGGAGGGGGAGGAGGCAAGCTAGGTGCGCTCGCGTCATATCTGACATCCTACCTTTCCCTCCCATCCATTACCATGGCGTAGACCCCCTCTCTACTCGCACAGTCGGATGTCGAGCAGGGCAATGATCCCGAAAGGGTACGCGATGCATTGTAGAGCACGGCGTGGCATGGCGTAGAAGAGCACCGCAAAGCGTAGTATGTCACAGCATGGCGTGGCGTGGCGTAGTGAAGAATTGCATCACAAAGCTTTGCAACGCAAAGCATGGCATCGCACAGCGGCCCCGAACATACATTGCATAGCATGGCGTTGAAGATCAAAGCGTAGCATGGCATAGCACGACGTGGCACTTAAGCACTGCATATCACAGCTTCAGCTGAAGGCATGGCATCGCGCAGCGGAACGCGACCTAGCATTGCATTGCATGCCGTGGCATGGCACGGGAAATGACGCCAGCGCTGCAGCGGGAGCACGATTCGGAACGAGCGGAAGCGCGGAAATGAGGCCAGCGCTGCAGCGGGAGCACGATTCGGAACGAGCGGAAGCACGGAAATGAGACCAGCGCTGCAGCGGGAGCAGAACGAGCGGGGCCCGAAAATGAGGCCGGCGCCTCAGCGAGAGCAGCATTTTGAAACAGAATCCAGCCAAAAACCCAACTCCAGGGAATCCTGTGTGTAAAAAAAAAACAATACGCGGGGGGGGGGGGGGAGGGGCGAACACTCCCAACCCGTCATCAGGGGAAGGAGGAGAGTAGTATACGCATTGAGTAATTGTAGAGGAGAGGAGAGGAGAGGAGGAACGTGGGGATCGTCTCTTCAAAACGAGGACCCAACACCACAGGATGGTTGGGAAAAACGGGTGGAGGGTGGGATCAGGACCCTGACGCCTGACGCCCTCGCGACGTGGACAAAAAACGACGGGACATTTTTGGCCGTTTTTGGCTTCCAGGGGCCATTGCCGAGCCTCGGGGCATTCAAAAAGTGATTCAGGTTGAAAAGCCGGTCACCAGGAGGCGCCCTGAACCTCTGGGGGTCGACGTCGTGGGGCGGGAGGTAGAGACGGAAGCGAAGGACGAGGATAAGAGGGAGAAGGATGGGGAGGAGGAGGCCCCAGCGTTGCGTAGGAGGAGGGATGATGGTAGGGAGGAGCAGCAGCAGAAAGCAATCAGAGCGTCAGAAGCGGACAGGTGCAGCCTGAAACGAACTGGCTTCTCGTGCCCTGCTGACTATCGGCGGGCACGCACGCGCAAGAGCGGCGCAAACGTGGATCCAAGTGCTCTGGACAAAAAAGGTGCTCATCGCAGACCCCTAACACGCACTCGACAATACACCGTTGCTGGATCATTAGCTGGATCCCGACCACGGGAAACTGCACCAGCGGGGCGCGCCACCGACTGCGCCGACGCAGCCTGACATTCCACGAGCTCGCGCGCAGCCGCGTTGAGCTCTGGTCACGACTGGGGAACCACGAAGCCAAACACGCACCGCCGCACATTCACGACGGCACATGTGCCTGCACCTACTTGGGACGGGCCACTGGCGCCCGCCGCCTACCATAACTTATCCTCACGTGCTCACCAGTCTGGACGTTGTGCTCCCAGAATGCTCCTGCTTTTGCTCGTCCTCCTCCTCCTCCGCCCCGTCATCCCGCGGGCGCGGCGCCCCTAGCGGAAACCCTCTTATTCCTCCCCCTCCTCCTCCTCCCCAGGGTGCCACCACCAGAACCTCAACTGGCCGCGTGACCTCAGATTGCTCCTCCTCCTCCTCCTCCTCCTCCTCCTCCTCCTCCTATCAAGCTCGCTCTCCGTCTCTTCCTGCTCCCGCTCGGGCTCCTGCGCGCCGGCGTGCCTCTGCCCCCGCTCCTGTCCGGCGGCTCCCTGAGCGCCCACGGTGCACCACATGCCTCCCCAACGCCCATCAGCTGTGACGGGGCGGGTGGCTGTGACGGGGCGGGCGGCAGAGGCAAGGGCTTTGAATAGACGTAGTCAGTGCACCATGTAGACATGCAGCTCCATGCATTCCCCAATCAGTGTGCTTGCACGGAACCTTGTCCTGGCGGAGGTTGCAGGATTTGGGGGAAATTTCCCGACGATGTTGGTCGCACGCTGGGTTCCCGGGTTCCCAATTCCGGGTTCCCGGGTTCCCCGGTTCCCGGTTCCCGGGCCGATTTCGGTGGGCGGCGAGGTTCCCAGGCTCCCGGGATCCTGGTCGATCTTCTTATCGACGTCGATCGGTCTCAGCATTGATCTCATTTCCCACCTCTCTATCGATCTCACCATCAATCTCACAGTCGATCTCACAATCGATCTCGCAAGCGATCTCACTAGAGATTGCCCGAGCGATCTCGCGATCGATCTCCCTATCGATCTCATTGAACCGATTTCACTCTCGGTCTCACGATCGACCTTACAATCGTCCTCTATCGATTCCATTATCGATCTCATTATTCAAGATCCATATGAATGAATTTCAACTCATCCACTGATTGGGTTTTCTCAAATGTAATGAGCATCTATGTGTGCACGACAGCATTGGCGCTTCGCGCCATGCTCTTTGGTCCTTGATGTTTTGCATGCCAAGGGAAGGGCAAGAGGTAAAACGGACAACCAATGCGGTAAGTACGTCATCGCTACAATAATGATATTCAATATCTGCCCCTCATGTTTTCCCCTCCTCTTCCTCATTCTCGCCTCACCTTGCGAATTCGTCTCCATCATCATTAGCTCTTTTTGCGGGTGCACCTTCTTGGGGAGCCTCTTAGTGGCCTCACGAACATGTTTAAAAGCTACTTGGGGCTTCTGGAGGCCTCCTGGACTCCTTCTGGGGACCTCTGGGAGCTTCCTCGGGCCACCCTGCTTCCAACCGCCGTCTTGGGGCTCTGCCTGCAAGCCCAATTGGGCAACTTTGGGGCGATCTTCTGGACTCCTGGGCGGTCTCGGACGTTCGGACAACCGAATAACAGAGCAGTCCCAATATCGTATTACACCAGAGAAAAAAAGCCCAATCAATGGGTGGTTTGATCGATCAGGAGATCGACCCGGAAGCCGGGAACCCGGAACCCACCGAAATCGGCGTGGAACCAATAACCAGGAACCCGGGAACCCGGAACCGGGAACCTGAGAACCCAGCCGGCCACCAAAACCGGCGGGACCCTTTCGCCAAATCTTTCAATTTCCGCTGGGACCCCTTCAGTGCAAGCACTGATTGGGGAACAAGAGCCATGCTGTTCTGGGTTTGGAAAGACTCTTCTTGGGTGTCTTATTCGGGTCGTCTTTGGGCGTGTGGTGGGTGTCTGGGGGCCTCTTGAGGCTCTCACGGGGCTGTTCGGCCGCCCCCCTGAGCGCTGTGGGCCCGCTGCCTCGGCCCAGCGGGGGCCTCCCAGGAGCGCTGGAGATCCTGGGGGACCTGCAGGGGCGTCCAAGGGCCCCCCTGGGCCATGCATCCGGGGGTCCCGTTTTGGGGGAGTGCGGGCGCCCTCCCCCCCCCCCTCCCCGCGATTGTAAAAGCATAAAACCCATAGTACATCTATGCCTATACATGTGTCTGTATACGTGTACACGGGTTCATATCATGACCCTTCGCGACCACACCTACAGTGTGGGCGCGGCCGCAAGAAAGCCTCGCAAGAAACCCAACCCTGAGAACACGTGCGCGAGGTGCATCTGAGCGGAAGCCCGGAACACCCTGAACGCAGCAGCTCCTTCAACGGCTGCCGGAAGTCACCGCGCAGCGCGAGGAGCGAAGAAACCCAGGGCACCCTGACGAAAAGCATATGGTTTCTTGATGCGCGCCCCCACTGTAAGCTACACCCAGTATCAGACCACATTCCGTGGTCCGAACCTTATTGCCATACAACGCTGGCGTGTTCCCAGTGCTCCATGAATGTGATCCAGCCGTCTTCTCGCGGCTAACACGTGCACGCACAATCTAGTCTATGTGCGGCGCGGTCGAGGAGAATATCAAGAGGACGTGCCCCGTCATCTCCAGCCTCTCTGTGCAACGTTGGCCGTATGTGGGCTTCTTCCTTTTGGGCGGCGGGGTGCGGAGGTGAGTGTGGATGAGGTACCCTTACCCTGAACTTTCCCCGGCCCCCCTGCCCCGCCCGCCTGCCTGCCATGTCCCTGTCGAACGCAATCGAAGGAGCCCAGTCGCAAGGCCGCGTCGACTGCGAACCGGCCAAGGCGACACCACAACGGCGAAGAGCAGCAGGAGTCTTCCGCGCGGGGGCACGGCGACCTGGCGCGATGGTTCACGCAGGCCGCCGGCGAAGGCACGTCACCTATAGAAGAGACGCGGTCTGAGCAGTCCCTCGGGGTGGATAGAACAGGGCGAAGCCCATCTGGGCTCCTGCACCTCGAGCTCGGATCCGTCTCGTGTTGGGCGCCCGAGTTATCCGGGGTAGCTCGGGTCCGGGGTAACTCGGGCTCGGACTCCCGAAAAACGAACCCGAGTTAGCCCTGACCCGAGTTACCCCTGATGATTTTTGGGGCTCTGGGCGCCCGAGTTATCCGGGGCAACTCGGGTCCGGGGCAACTCGGGCTCGGACTCCCGAAAAACGAACCCGAGTTAGCCCTGACCCGAGTTACCCCTGATGATTCGGGGCTCTGATTGTGACTCACCTCTATAGGGGGCAAACAAACCTACCTCGCTTTTGACCACCCTCGCTTCCAAGAGATACCAAGCGATGCCAAACTACGGCCTGTACTGGTCAGGCCGCTTGACGAGGAGGCGCGTGGTATGACTTGGTTTTGCCTGGAAGCGAAAGCGGGGTAGGACATTCACGCTCTGACTCTCTCAGCATCCCCCCCTTCTGTCCCCTCCGGGGGCCCAGACGCTCTGGTCTTGAGAGCTGCGCCCAGCCGTGCCCCCCTGGAGGCCAACCACCGTCGCCTCAGCTCGCCCTCCTCTGACCGCCCCCCCCCCCAACGTTGCCCTTTTGTGGGTTTCGGGCCAACTCGGGCCTCCAGCGGTCGGAAGGCATCCCGAGACTGGAAAACTGCCGAGAACCTTTGAGACCACCCAAAAACCTCGAACCTCGGACAGTTGTCTCACCGGGCCCTCCTCCCCAGATATCCGGCGCTCCAATTTTTTCGATGCGTGGGCCCCTGGGGGGCTGGACCACTTTAAGAGGACCGGCCTTTCGTCCCGAGTCCTATTTTGATGGTCCTGGGGCCCGGCCCGCCCCCCAGGGGCCAAAGACGACCCCAACCCGGCCGCTCTGTGTTTTTCGGAGCCTCGGATCTGTGGGTCTGATTCAACTGGCCCTCCTCTGAACACTTTCTGTTGGATGGATGATGGATCTCTCATGCTCTCCGTCGCCTCAAGCGGTGCGCGTTTCGATCAGGAACGCAGCAAAGCCAAAAGAAAGCGTGGCGCTGACAGTGTAGCTCCGCACACGCGTCAGATGCTCCAGCAAGCAAGAACACAGCAAAACTCCAGGACAGCGAGGCATTGACAGTGCAGCTCAGCATCCACAGTGGCCGGGGAGCCCACGCGACATGTCCCCGAGGAACGCCCCAGGCAATGCGCAGCTGCTGGAAGGCGCCCTGAGGCTGGGAGAACGCCGAGAGCCATGAAGACGCCCATAAACAAACCTCGAGCACCTCAAGCTCATCTCCTCGACGTCCAAGCCTCGAACCTGGGAAGACACCTCCAGCTCCGCGCCTCCTCGGAGCACCGATCCACGGCCCAGGACAGGCCCGTCGCACGGGCGAGTCGCGCTGACCAGAGCCGAGGCGGGCCCCCCAAGGGCGGGAGCCGGGCTGAGGGCGGCACACTCTGCCGCGCGCCTCCGTAGGCAGGTCCTGCGCCAGCAGGAAGTCCTCGGCGCCCGCTCGCTCGCGGATGGGGGGCGCCAGAGCAGAGGCCTCGGAATTCTCCTTCTCCTCCCCCTCCTCCTCCTCCTCCTTCTCCTCCTCCTCCTCCTCCTCCTCCTCCTCCTCCTCCTCCTCCTCCTCCTCCTCCTCCCCTCCCCCTTCGTATTCTCATCCTTCTCATCATCATCCTTCGTGTTCTCTCCTCCGCCTCTTTCTCCTCGTCCTCCTCCTCCTCCTCCTTCTTCGGATTCTCCTCCTCTCCTCCGGAGAGACGAAAGGAGCGGGCCAGAGGGGAGGTTCTTTGGAGCTTCCTGGCAGCCGCAAGTCAGTGAGGGCCCAGACACCTGAGAGACATCCGACGAACGCCAAGCTCAACGGGAGTGCGGCGGAGGGCCTCCTAACGCCGCCCTGCCCTCGTCGCAGGCCGCCTCCGCCGACGGGGCCTGCCGGCATGGAGCATGGATGCAGGCCCCCGGACGGGAGGCGCGCGACGGAAGGAAGGGAGGGACGGGGGGGCGGTGTCTCCGACCACACGAGTTTGCGCACCCGCGGCTTTTCTTTGCTCCCGGCCCTCGGGGGCCGCTGTGGGGCTTCGGGACGATCAGGCATGAATCCGGGACGGAGCACGGTCCGCACAGGAAGCGGTCGGGACCCCTGTGCCGCAGACGGGGAACAACAACCATCACATCGGCGGATGTCAGGGGGCGCCTGGAGGAGTGGAGAGCAGGGGGAGAGCGACGCGAGGGAGCGGCGACTAATGATCCAGGCGGGGCGAGCTACGACCTGGAAGCCCCAGCCGCTGAAGCCAAGTCACGGCGAGCAACGCATCCCCAGCCAGGCCTCTGCTTTCGTGGAACGGTCGAGCCTTCCAGGCCGTGGGCGCAGGCCAACTCAATTGTCCCCCCCTGCGGGTCCTTGGAGAGGAGGTGAAGAGGGGGGGTCCCTCCCGCCTCTGCGCCTGCATGGGGATCCCTGAGATCCAACGTGGCAAGACACATGCAACACATCGCAATGACCAGAATCCTAGACCTCATAATTGTGCCGCATTTTTCAGGCCGGTCGACATGTGATGGTTCTGGGGAGCCGGGCGAAAACGCCCGGTGCGAAAACCTGGCAACGCCTGGATCTCAGAGTGCGCCTCTGAGAACGGGGAGGGGCGGGGGGCCTGGCGCAGGGAGGGCAGGTCGCGGTGACCGAAGGAGGGGTAGCGGAAAGGGGGAGCAATCCTCGAAAGAGGCCGTCTGGCTGTCCTCGCAAACCCCGCCCCGCTCTTCCTCCCACAACGACGGGGAGACGAGGACCACGTTCGGCCAGTCGCCCTTGCGGAGGGGCCCTTCCCCCTGACGCCCTCCCTCTCCTGGCACGTCATCCTGCGATCGCTCTACCCCTCTATCTCTCCCTTCTTCCTTCCCAACCCTCCCTGTGTCTTTTCTTTCGTGCAGCGCAGGGCACCAAAGTTTCAGAGGGCGCGCCGCTGGACGCCCTAGAGGGAGGGGGGTCCAGAACCCCCCCCCCTCCCTCCCCCCCCTTTCCCCGGTCCGTTGTCGGCGGACCCCCCCCCTCCCCCCCTTTCCCGACCCGTTGTCCAGGACCCCCTCCACCCTCCCCCCCTTTCAAAAGAAGGGGGCGCGGTGTGGACCCCGCCCCTCCCCCCCTTGGACTCGAAAATCGGACCACCCCCCCCTCCCCCCCCCCTTTAGCCACGCCGCCTCCCTGGCTCCGAAATCCGATACCTACTACCCTACTACCTTAACCTCAAAAACTCTCACCCTGACACCCCAGCCCTGACATCCAAATCCTACCACCTTAACCCTAATCTCTAATCCTAATCTCTCACCCTGACTTTAGCCCCTAACCCTATCGGTAACCCGAACCCCTACCCTAACCCCATAAACCCTAACACCCCTACTCTAACCCTGTTCCCTAGCTCCTAACCCTAACCTCTAACCCGAACCCCAAACCCTTACCCTAAACCCTACACCCTAACCCGAACCCCAACCTCTAACCCCAAGCCCTAACCCTAAACCCTAACCCTGACACCTAATCCGAAACCCTACCCTAACCCCTAACCTTACCCTAAACCCTAAACCCTAAACCCTCACCCTACACCCTAACCCGAACCCTAACCTCTAATCCCTAACCCAAAACCCTAAACCCGAACATTACCCCTACCCTAAACCTTATCTCAACCCCTACACCTGATCCCGAACCCAAAACCCTAACCCTAACAGTGACCCCAGCCTAACCGCTCATTCGAACCCCGAACCCTGACCCCTGCCCTAACCCCTAACCCACCACAAACCCTAAACCCTGACCCTAACCCTAACCCTAAACCCTAACCCTCACCCCTGCCTTGACACCAACCCCTCACTCCTAAATCCTAACCCTTAACCTGGACCTTAGCCATGAGCCGAACCCTACCTTAATTCCTAACCCCTAGCCCCTTAACCCTAGCCCTAATCCTGACTCCTAGCTCCTAACCCCTACCGAACCCTCAACCCTAACCCTAACCCGAACCCGAAACCGAAACCCCAACCCGAAATGCAAACCCTAACGCTTACCCTGCCCTAAGCCCTAACCCTAACCCTACTCCCCTACCCCCCAACACCGGACCGCAACACCCGAACCCTCACATCCGCACCCTGAGACCTTAACCCCAGCACCCGGACCCAAAGCTCGGGGATGGACAGACCTCCCTGTAGTAAAACGTGGTTTAGTGAAAACGACTTCGGGCCCAAACCTGGCGGGCGCAAGCCTGGAAAATGACGGCCGCGGCGCCCTGTCGAAAACCGAAAACGGACAATTCACTAATCGACGTGTCACTTTTGGGAGGTCTGCCCACCCCCGAAAAGCTTGACCCCGCAACCCCAGCATCCCAACCCCACCACCCGGCGACCTCACCCGACCACCCTGGCCCCAGCCTCCTGCCCGAACAACCACCGCACCCTGCCGCACCTGGCGCTCCGGCGCGGGGAGGGCCTGCCCTCCTGCCCCACCTGTCTTGCGCAAAATGGGGGAGGGGGGGGGGTCCGAAACCGCCGCCCCCCCCCCTCTGTTTTTTTTCCTCTCGCGCGCCCCTGATCGAGTTGCGAAACATATGATATACTTGTGTTCCTACTGCTCTGGTTCCCACTTTCTCTTCCCGGACAAAGGCCGCCTCTGGCGGAATAGTTCCCTCTCTCCAGAGCCAACAGAAGGGGAGGGGGCGGGGTCCGAAACCCTTACGCCCCCCCTTTGAAAGAGGGTGTGGATCCGAAGACGCCGCCCCCCCTTGAAGTGGGGTGAGAGGGGGGGCAGGGTTCTGCAAGCCCCCCCTTTTCAATTACGAGGGCATCCACTGGCGCTATTTCTAAGTCTCAGCTTGTGTTTTTCATCGGTTGACGTTGAAACGCGCTCGGCTCTGAAGCGCATTGTCGCAGAAATAGTTCCAAGGTCATCAACTCCCGCAAGGTCGGTTAACCTTTCGAGTTCAGCTTCTGGTCCTGAACACATATCATGGCCTCGCCTCTCCTCCTCGCTCTGCTGCTCTCCCTCTCCCTCTTCCTCTCCGCACGCCGCCCTGTATTGTTTTTTGTTTGATCTGCGTGTGCTTATTCGTAGTATGGCCTCCCTTTATATCACACTTATTTCCTGCCGCGCTCTATTCCGCTGTCGTTCGCTGCCTCTCTATGTGTGCCCCTCTCTTTATGTTGTTGTTCTCTCTCTCTCTCTCTTTCTGTCTATTATCGCTTCTCTCTCTCTCTCTCTCTCTCCCTTCCGCTCTGTTCTATCACTCTCTGTCCTCCTTATCAATGTATAAGGTATGTTTTCCTTCCCTCTGTGTCTCCCTGTCTCCCTCTCTCTCTCTCACTCGGTCACTCTGTCACTCTCTCTCTCTATCACTCTCTCTCCCTCTCTCTCTCTCTCTCTCTCTTTCCGAGACCGAAGTGGAGCGGGGTTGCCCCTACAGGGAATCGGTTTCGACTTCGATGTGCGTTGTGATCGACGCTCGCGCGGGCGATGCAAAGTTGCGCGAGTCCTGCACTACCTGGCCCCCCTGGCAAGACTCGCCCACAGAAAATGCATGATTTTGCGAGCGCACAAAAGTTAGCTGGGTGAAGGATCCAACCATACGCAAGCGTGACAGCCGCAAAGCAAGTGAGACGAAACAAAGGGGGGTCCCAATGGGCCCACGAACCGTGTGAGGGGGTGTGAGGGGTGCGCCAAAATGGGGCGGGGCCGCCTTGCGAACCCTGCCACTGGGGCCTTCGGTGGGGCTCCCTATGTGGCCACGAACCGTGTGAGGGGTGCGCCTAAATGGGGCGGGGCCGCAATGCGAACCCTGCCACTGGGGCCTTCGGTGGAACACATGATGTGGCCACGAACCGCGTGAGGGATGCGCCAGGATGGGGCGGGGCCGCCATGCGAACCCTGCCACTGAGGCCTTCAATGGAACTTCCGGTGAGGCCACGAACCGTGTGAGGGGTGCGCCAAATCACTGAGGCCTTCGGTGGAGCCCCCATATGGGGCCACGAAACGCTGCACTGGGTGGGTTAAACGCAGGGTGGAAGGAGGGGGGAGGATGGGGAGGAGAGGAGAGGAGCCACGCGGGGACCGTCTTCAAAACGAGGACCCAACACCACAAGATGGTTGGGAAATCTATGTATACGTGTGCATCTACGCACACCTATGTGTATATATATATGTATATGTATAGGGAGAAGTATACAGAGAGAGGGAGAGAGAGAGAGAGAGAGAGAGAACAAACAAGAGAAAGAGAAACAAAGAAAGAGAAAGAGGCATAGAAAGAGAGAGAGAGAGGGAGATATAGCGGGAAGGAGGGAGAGAGAGAGAGAGAGAGAGCGAAACAACAACTAAAACGAGAAAGGCATATTCCCCTATGCTTCTTGCCCTCTCTTCCTCTCTGCCTCGTTCGTTCCCTCTCGCCCCCTCCCTCGCTACCTCTCCCTCTCTGCCTCGATCTTCTCTCTCCTTCTCTCTTCACTTCCCTCTATCTCTATCTCTACCTCTATGTATTCCCTGCCTCCCTCCCTTCCACCTTCCATCTCTTTCCCCTGTCTCTTTATTTCTGTCTCTCTGCTTCTCTGCCTCTCTCTCTCTCTCAAGTGCTCAATTTCTAACATTGTCGCCCTCTCTCTTCCTCTTTCTCCCTCCAGCCCGAGCTCCTTCCCTCTCTACCTGACCCTCCCTCGCTCCCTTCCCCCTGTCCCTCCCTTGCTCCCTTCCCCCTGTCCCTCGCTCGCTCGCCTCCCTTCTCCATCCCTCGCTCCATCCCTGACCCTCCCTCGCTCCCTTCCCCCTGTCCCTCACCCTTCCTCGCCTCATCCCTGCCCCAAACCCCCGAGGTCGTGCCTTGTTCGGCACGTGGGCCTCTGATTGTGCCGTTTCTTGACGGCCCCGCCCAAGCCTACAATAGGGGCTGCCAATTTTGGCGCTCGTGTTCCTTGATTATGTTGCACGGTTTCCATGTCTACTCGTCGTGTCTATAAGTTTGAGCCGCGCGCGTTGTAAACCACCAGGTGCTGTGTGCCCAAAGAGGGATGTATAGACGGTGTCGAGGTTTATTGACGTAGGCACGAACCCATTGAAGATAGACGTGACCATGATATTAACACATATATACGGATATCAACACGGCTGCAACATAAACACGAGTGGAGATGTTTGAAACGAGCCTACATAATGGACACGTTGCGAACAGACACGCAAGGCATACCCCAAACAATAGAGATGGTGTAATAAAAAACACGACCTGTCGGAAAGCCTCTTGAATCCGTACACGAGCAGAAATACGACGGGATAGATTGGAATCCGCCGTGACGCTTTGCACTTACATAGATCGGAGCTGGCGTTATCGCGGAGCCCTGCGGATGAGTTGGGAGGAAGTGGGGCGAGCACGATGGAGTCTGGAGCAGGAGAAATATCCTGTGGTCTTCTACGGGTACTCTGTTGGGCGAAGGGTGTTGCAGATGTGTGTGTGTGTGTGTTCATGGAATGCGGTGTGTTCCTAAGCTTTCTGCCTGGCTTTGGGGCTCATGCGTGCCCTTATGACTCATATTATTCCTACGGGACCCGATGCGACTTTGAACTGACCCGTGGATTCTCGGAGGTGCTCCTATGGAGTCCTACTGGTATCCCCACGTTTACCCACGTGGCTTCTGAAATGCAGTCCTGTGGGCGTACTTTTGGACTGCAAGTAGTATCCCCATGAGAGTCTCTATGTATGGGTTACTGTGGGAATGGCTGCGAGTCTTACGGGCGCGCCATGGGCGTTACTTTGGGTTCGTACTGATGCCTTCGGCGTCGGGCCCTTCTGCTTCGGAAACGCATCTTCATATGAAATCCTCTGGGCACTCCTTACTGCAATCGCGTGTTGTACTCAAAGGTGTCCCTGGGATTCGGATGGGCATTACCATGGGTCTTCCTATACAAATTCACATGGACTCTCTATGGGTATTCGCATGCTGGGCATCGTCACGGGTATTTCGACACATCTCCACGGGCCTCCCCATCATAGCCTTCGGGACAGGTTCCTCAGGGCACTCCTATGCGCAATTCTCTGCATGTGCCAATGGGTGGCATCAAACTTCCGACGAATAGTCTGGATGCCTGTGACTTCCGTGAGCGAACCGGTTAGCTTTTAGGCTACTTTTGTATCCGATGACGAAAATGCAACGGGGGCTAAAGGCCAAATGATGCAGCACATTAGCATGAATCCGGTGGTGGTGAACCCATGTCGGGGGAATCGGCGATGATTTGGACGGCTCTCCTCTCCTCCAATGTTTGAACAAACTATTTTGCAAATGATACACATGCGCCGTGAAACGTAGACACGAACTACGAGGCACGAATCTGCCACAATTTTGAACACTGGGCACGGCTAGACATACGCCAGGGAGACACTTCTGTCAAACATAGACCCGACGGCATCTAGACACGAATAGACACGAACGAGACATGAGCAAGTTGCCACGTTTGGACAATAGCTTAGTTTCTGTGCTTAATTAATTGACACGAGGAAGAGGCAATCTCCATTATTATCGGAATTCGCAGGCAGTGATAAACACCCAACACGTCCGAATCTGGCTTCTTTGTTCCTGGTATGTAAGCTACGGCGGGGCCAAGTGAGAACCCCGGAAGGCCGAACATCGCCAGAACCCTTTCGTCGTAACTTTTTCACGACGCGACGGTGTTTGGGGGACTCCACGGGCATGCAATGCCCTGAATCTTTCGATACGCGGCCCACGGAAGTCCCAACCCGTCCCTCAAGACTGACCTGTCATCGAGAATCATTATTCTGGCGGCCCCAGGACGCGGCAAGGGCCTTCAGGGGCCGAACACGACGACCCCCCCCCCGTCCTGATTTTTCGAACGACGCGAGCCTGTCAGGAGGTCTCCCGCTCTCGCCCTCTCTCCTGCTCCCTCCCGCCCTCCCGCCCTCTGCGCCAACTCCGCTGCTGGCCTCGCCCTCGCCGGCCATCAGGCCGTTGTGCGCAGGGTGGAGGAGCTCCAGCAGGAAGCCGGCCAGCACCTTTGGGGCAAGCAGCCGCGCGTATATACTCTAAGGTACCTTGGCCCTGTCCAACGGGGCTTGGCAGAAACGCCACAGGACAACGTGCCGAGTGTAATATTCTGGCTGGTTCGCTGAGCAGGAGGTGTCAAAAGAGCTGTATACACCGTGCTTTGGCGACATTTGCCCGTAAAGAGTGGACAAAGATAGCATCGTATAGCGGAAACGCTCCTGGCCCCGAGCCGGAGGAGGCGGGGGTGCTGCCGTGAGGAGGTAAGCTTGAAACTCCTCTATCTGGCAGCCCCTGGGACCGTGGCGGAGGATGAGGTTCGAGGTTCGAGGTTTGAGGTTCGAGGGTGCTCTCTCGCAGCTTCTCGTCGGTCTTCCAGCCTCGGGGTGCTCTCCAGCAGACACCTCCGAAGGGTGGGCGCCAAGGGGGAAGCAAAGCAGGCGCCGCAGGGAGGAGGAGGAGCGGCGGCCGATCGCGTGATCAGGCCATGACTAAACTGGTCACCGAACGAGCCCCAGGAAGGTCAGGGGTGAGCAACGGCGGCAGTAAAGCAAGGCGTACACGAACTTTCTGGGCGGGCGAGGGTGGCATGAACGGGTGACAGCGAACGGGGAGACTCAGCATAGTCGCAATCTGCTGAGCTGCAGTGCGCCTGCAGTTGCACTCCACCGAAACGCCCTGGAGCTCTCTCTGAAGCCAAGATTCACACCCTAAACTCCGACGGATCAAGAGAGTCGCGCAGAGACAGCGGCGGGCGGACTCGCTCTGAACTGCAGGTCCACCGAGAGAGGCAGAGCATCACGCGAGCAAAAGAGAAAGACAAGCGAGAGAGGCGGCGGCGCAAAAACAGATGCGCCACCCCAATGGATGTCGAATCCGCCGACCCTGTCGGCGCGTGGAAGAGGCTGTTGAGTCTCAGCAACTTTCTAGTTGAATTGAAGGGAAACCCTTTCCCTTTGATCCCTTCCCCCCCCGGGGGGGGGTTGGGGGCGGCCTCCCGGGGGGGGTCCCAGGGAGGGTCCCCCGGAAGGTCCCGAGGCAGATACGACTCCTCCCCCGGCGGTTTTGCGGCCAAGAAAATGTTGTAAGCCCCTCTGCCCATTGACCACTTCCCCACGGGGGGGAGGTCCCGGGGAGGGCCTCCCGGGGGGGTCCGGGGGCAGATGCGACTCCTCCTCGGGCGGTTCAGCGGCCAAGAAAAGCGTTGTGGTTCAGTCCAAGGGAAGCCCCTTCCCTTCGATCCCTTCCCCGCCGGGGAGGGAAGGGTCCCGGGGTGGCCTCCCGCGGGCCACGGGGCAGATGCGACTCCCCCTCGGGCGGTATGGCGGCCAAGAACAGCGTTGTGGTTCAGTCCAAGGGAAGCCCCTTCCCTTTGATCCCTTCCTCGCCGAGGGGGGAGGGGGATCCCAGGGGTGGCCTCCCGGGGGGTCCCGGGGCAGATGAGACTCCTCCTCGGGCGGTTTGGCGGCCAAGAAAATTGTTGTAGTCGAGTCAAATGGAAGCCCCTTCCCTTTGATCCCTCCCCCAAAGAGACCATTCCCGGTCCATATGGACGACGTATTGGTACAAGTCCCCCAAATGACCTCCAGACGGCACAAAATTCGTCCACAACGCCCCAGGAAGCCTCCACGAGGACTTCCGAAACGGCCTCCAGGTATGCTTTACAAAGATTTCGGCGTCGTTACCTTGTCACCTTCCCGACGATCCACGACCAGCCACGAAGCCCCCAAGACCGCCCCAAGATGGCCCACGACGCCTCCAAGAGAGTTCCGCAACGACCCACGAGGCCCCAAGATCGACGAAGAGGAATCCAAGATAACCGAAGAGGCCCCCAAGACGGCTCCAAGGAAGAGCCCGGACGGGGGACCCGAACGAACATGTCGAGCCCTCGGCCTCAGATGCTCTCGGGAAGCCCCCAGAGGCCCCTCAAAAGCACCCCAAGAAGCCCCGAGAAACCTCCAAGAGACCCCCAGGTAGCCTCAAGAGGCTCCCACGAGACTCCCAAGCAGCCCCCAAGACCTTCCCAGAACACCCAGGAGCCCCCAAGGCGACTTCAAATTACCCTGGCGACGTACCCAACCCTTGCGCAATGCGGGGCAGAAGTACACCAGGATTGCTACAACGGGGGCAATGCCGTAACACGGACGCATGTGATTTTGCACGCAGCAATCGGAAGGCTCGCAGGCCCCCGATCAAGATATACGGGCTACGACATGACATATCACCCCCCGTTGCGTCTAACGTATCTCACAGCAGCTCTCTCTCTCTCTCTCTCTTTCTCCAGAGCCCCCCAGGGACGGCGAGGTCTCGCTCAAGTTCCCGCGGTGCCTCAGTCCGCTGGGCCCACGAGCAGCCCTCGAAAGTGGCGAAAGTGTCGCAAATCGCAGCCCCCCCCCAGGGACGGCGAGGTCTCGCTCAGGTCCCCGCGGTGCCTCTCTCCGCTGGACCCAGCAGCAGCCCTCGAAAGTGACGACAGTGTCGCAAATCGCAGCCGCCCAGGGACGGCGAGGTCTCGCTCAGGTCCCCGCGGCGCCTCACTCCGCAGGACCCACCAGCAGCCCTCGAAAGTGGCGACAGTGTCACAGATCACAGCCCCCCAGAGACGGCGAGGTCTCGCTCAGGTCCCCGCGGCGCCTCTCTCCGCAGGACCCGCCAGCAGCCCTCGAAAGAGGCGACAGTGTCGCAGATCGCAGCCCCCCAGGGACGGCGAGGTCTCGCACAGGTCCTCGCGGTGCCTCAATCCGCTGGACCCAGCAGCAGCCCTCGAAAGTGGCGACAGTGTCGCAGATCGCAGCCGCCCGCGGACGGCGAAGTCTCGCTCAGGTCCCCGCGGGGCCTCACTCCGCAGGACCCACCAGCAGCCCTCGAAAGTGGCGAAAGTGTCACAGATTGCAGCCCCCCAGGGACGGCGAGGTCTCGCTCAGGTCCCCGCGGTGCCTCACTCCGCTGGACCCACCAGCAGCCCTCGAAACTGGCGACAGTGTCGCAGATCGCACCCCCCCAGGGACGGCGAGGTCTCGCTCACGTCCCCGCGGTGCCTCACTCCGCAGGACCCACCAGCAGCCCTCGAAAGTGGCGAAAGTGTCGCAAATCGCAGCCCCCCAGGGACGGCGAGGTCTCGCTCAGGTCCCCGCGGCGCCTCACTCCGCAGGACCCACCAGCAGCCCTCGAAAGAGGCGACAGTGTCGCAGATCGCAGCCCCCCGGGGCCGGCGAGGTCTCGCTCAGGTCCCTGCGGCGCCTCTCTCCGCAGGACCCGCCAGCAGCCCTCGAAACTGGCGACAGTGTCGCAAATCGCAGCCCCCCAGGGACGGCGAAATCTAGCTCAGGTCCCCGCGGCGCCTCTCTCCGCAGGACCCACCAGCAGCCCTCGAAACTGGCGACAGGGTCGCAGATCGCAGCCCCCCAGGGACGGCGAGGTCTCGCTCAGGTCTCCGCGGTGCCTCACTCCGCAGGACCCACCAGCAGCCCTCGAAAGTAGTGACAGTTTCGCAGATCGCAGCCCCCCCAGGTATGGCGAGGTCCGCGCAAGGCAAGAGCAGACAAAATGGAAGCGGGTGACGGGAGGCGGGAGGAGGAGGAGGAGGAGGAGGAGGAGGAGGAGGAGGAGGAGGAGGAGGAGGAGGAGGAGGAGGAGAAGGACTTGAGACCGCAGTGCTCTATTCAAAACGAATACCCAACCAAGGAGGGTTGGGAAAAAATCCCGACTCTGGGGAAAACACAGGTACGCCCAAAGACGCCTCCAAGGAGTACACTAAGAGACATCTCAAGAGACTCCGAGAGGCAGTCCAATAGCTTCGGGCCTTCTGCTGGCCCTCCTCCTCCTCCTCCTCAGCCTCCTCCTTATCATTATCCTCCTCCTCCATTTCCTGCTCCATCCCCCTCCTCAGTCGACAGATAACGGCTGCCCATTTCTTGCTCGTACACTTCCCTGATTGTCCCAACTCTCCTGGACATCGTTTCGGAGACACCCAGAGGGCTCGTTTCCTATGTTGGTTCTGGGGACGTCCGCCACTCCCGTTTGCCTCCCTCTCCTGACCTTCTTGCTCCTCTTTCGGCCACGGACGCGCTGTCCAAAAAACAGTTAGTCGTCCATCGTCGTCGTGAACATCGTCGTCGTCATCGTCGTCGTGGTCGTCGTCGTCACGTCGTCCATGTCCCCCATCAGCCTTTCTGGGGAACCACTCTGGACAAGAGTATGTGTGCACACTCACCCTTGTTTTCCTCAATCTCGTGAGCCTCCCCATGCTCGCCCTCCTCCTCCTCCGCCTCCTACTCCCACTCCTCCTCGGCCTCAGCCGTCCTCTTCATCCCCTTCCTCTTCCCCCTCATTACCGTCATCCTCACGTTCCTACTCCTCCTTCGACTTCTCCTGCCGCCAGCTGTACACCCCCCCTCCCTCAACCACATCATCATCGTCATTATCACCGGCATCATCCGCGTCGTCGTCATCATCATTAGCACCCTCGCCATTACTTTCCTCCACCGTCTCCTGCTGCTCATGCTCGCCACGCTCTACCCACCGCTGCCCTTCCTCCTTGTCAGCCGCCCTTCCCCTGCAAATACGTCCCTGCTCGCCTCGCTCTCCCCCCTGCTCTCCCCCCCTTCTCGTCTTCCCCTCCCCGTCCCTCTCGCCCCCCTCCTCGTCCTCCTCCTCCCCCCTTGCACCTCTTCCTCCCTTTTCTCGCCCTTCCTGCTCCCTAGCGTCCTCCGCCACCTGCTCTTCAACATCCTCGTCGTCCTCGTCGTCGCCGTCTTCAAGGTCGGCGGCACCGGCCGTAAGGCCTTCGCAATATGCTGCACAGCTACGCGGATGGGAGGGTGGCGCTGCATGAGCACACGGAGGCCATCCTCGAAAATCTGTGCAGGAGTGGCTCTCGCAGTCGCAGTGCGAAGCCGGAACTGCGAATGCGCGTGGACAAAGCTCTCGACCAGGGCAAGCAGAATAACATCACGTTCAGCGTTGGGAGCGGCCCCTTCGGCGCAGCAGAGGACGGGGGAGAGAGGGGGGG